CGACCTTTGCCAGACAGGCTGACTGCCTGCTAACTGGCACTGGCGGGAATAGAGCCTCTGACGCCTCGTGGCTCTTGCATTCATTTCCTCCACTTGCGCTGAAGCTACAATCCTCAACAACCTACCTACACCCTCTCCCGAACCCCATCCGCATTCCCCCCCCCCCCCCCCCCCCCCCCCCCCCCCCCCCCCCCCCCCCCCCCCCCCCCCCCCCCCCCCCCCCCCCCCCTCCCCCCCCCCCCCCCCCCCCCCCCCCCCCCCCCATCGCGGTTGGGCTATTCATCCTGTCCCTCTCCCCAGCATATCCGGTGAGCTCCCTCAGCGGCCCCGCTCCAGCTATATCTCCTACGAGCCGTGGCGCCTGGTGAGTTTCTGTCGCCCTGGATGTCCTGCATCTCCGTGGTGGATTGTCCGTCATTCACCACCTTCACCATTTGTTCCTCAACTCAGACCACTTGTGTCCTCGCTGTAAAAAACCGTCAATTTCAGCACGCTCCCCCAACTAGGCCTAGCTAGCTAGTGCTAGCTATTCCGTCCCGACGCCGTCTCCAGAGGGCGACGTCAGAGCCCTTTCCAGCCCTGTCTGCAGTGGCCCTTTGCACACGACGGAGCTACTGGCGCCACCCAATGGTACTGCACCTGACCCATTTGCAATTCACCGAGGAGCTTTTACTGTGTCCGCTTGGCTCCCTGTGCATCCAGCTACAAATATAGCTCGTTTCCGCCTTGTTCGTGTCGGCCCGAAAAGCTTCGCCTCTCTGTACCAGCGCCTTTGCGAATTGTGGGCGCTGACGTTCAACACCTCCGCTTAACACCCAACGAACATCGTCTTTGACGACCCTATAAAGCGAACGCCGACCCGGCGACTGGACTGGCCTCACCGAGTCACCACCAAAGATCCATTCTTTCGAGGGCAGGCGCTGGACCTTCACGTCCGTCTAAGGGGATACCGCCTGGAGCGCAAGAGCTTCTCTTTCACCACGGACTCTCTTTCGTCACCTCACTCGGCGCTCTTTCTTCGCAGCGCTACTACCCCTACCGCAGAGAGCGCTCCGCAGCTGCCTATACGGAAAGCAGGGCTCTAGCCGAGGACCGTGAGAACGCATCGTTCTTTCCGCGACTTCCATCTCGATAATTTCCAGATTAGGACGGCAGAGAGAACGTCTTTTGGCTTTTTGACACCGTCCGCGCCTCCTCCGCCTCCTCTCACCTCTCCAACCGCCTCCGTTCCTCTCGAGTCTCTTCCACAACTACCTATACCCCCTTGCGCCTCGGGTAGTGCTGCAGCAGCCTGCCGCAGCTCATATCTCTTCCTTGGAAGTCACGATCCGTCCCTCTCATACTCGGCCTCCTCCCATCTTAATCTCAAGGTCCAGGATTCTCGCCAGGCGCTCCATCCACTGGCAGGAAAGTGGTTAGAACTTTCTCTCCTCAGCTGCTGCTCCTGCCGATTCTACTCGCTTCCTGCTTCTCGCCCCGCCGGTCCTACGACCGATTGACAAGCTGGCAGTTTACGCTACTCCTCCAGACTCGCCCTGGGCGGACAGGGCAAACGGTTCTTCCCCCTCCACCAATCTGTTAGTGACGGGCCGTCGACCGAGCAGCGGTGGGATGGAGAATGCGGCAGCAACGGCTCGACGGAACCAAGCACGGATACCAATTCAACAAGGTGTTATGCTAGGTATGAATCCACAACTCGACCCCCACGGCGGAGCACCCGGCCAGGTATACTCGCGGCAAACGACAGGGCAACCATCCACAGCTTCCGCGGCAGGGACCCGAAGTAGCTCGCAGGGCTTTGGCTACTCGTACGATCAGGGCTATGGCGGTCATCAGGGCAATCCGCCATACGGCGCCCAAGAGTACGGTTCCGAGCAAACTTCGCAGCGTGTCCATCACTACGCTCAACAAGGCCACAACTCAATGTACAGCATGCCCAGCGCGCAGGCATCAGTGCAAGGTCCGACACAGTATGATTCTGTGCAACCCTACCAGAGTCGGGAGACACCGTTAGACGTCCTGAGTGGAGGGTATACGCCGGTCGCACAAGGTCAATATTACAATGTGTCGGGCCAGGAGGCGCCAGCGAGTGCGCCAGTTGGAGGAATGCCAGCGCATCCACCCTCACAGTATGCCTCGATGGGATATACACCAACACCGCCTCCAGGCGCTGTCGGACGAGAGTCGGTTACTCCCTCCTACACGGCCGCAGGCATGACAGACCCACACCAACCCGCGTCTCGAGGTCCCTATCCCGAGGCTGGATTCACTGAACAGAGCGCTCACAACTGGGATCAGTATTATGGCCAGTTTCGAGATGCCGCGAAGCAGATCTTCACCGCCGTGAAGAATGGGCAGCTGAGCGAAGCCGGAAGGCACCTACTCTCCCTCACGGATTGGCTGTTCCAAGTAGCCGAAACCCTCGGTATGCGACTTCTTCCGTGTCTCGACTGAATCCGAAGCTAACCATGTCCAGGGCTACATCGCGACGACGCAGAGCAGCAGCAACAGAAGCTCAAATTCTGGGAGGAGTTCAACAATTGCTGGTTGTCTACTTTACAAAAGCAGAAGGATACGACGGAGGGCCTCAAGAAGTCTGGCCACTCAATGTCGTCGCCGTCCCTGATCAGCCACGAATTTCTGAAACGAATGGGTGACCAGATTGTGAAGTTCTCCAACGCTTTCGAGAAGCATGGCCTTGTGGATTATCAAATGGGTATCTGGGAGGAGGAGATCATTGCGAGTAAGTTAATCTCTGGCCACATGTATTGGCGACGTTTGCTAATCTAATCTTTCACAGTGATCATAAAATGCCAAACCATTCTCGAGGACAGTGGCCTCGCAGGGGATCTACCGCAACGGGTCGAAGCTCAATCTTCGCGCAAGTAAAATGGATCGAAAGACCATTGACGACGCGTCCTAGTGATATCGTGGCGCCTCACAGTTGAGGTTAACCACACGCGGTGGCCAGATTGTTCAGTTACTTCAATGGAGGAGGCCCTCGAATCCGCTGGTCGCACTAAGCCTGTTCCGGTCTCATAGCACTCTACCCACCACTGCGATTCCGAGTCTTATTTCTCCGACCTGAGAGTATCCCTTCTCGCTCAGCTCCGCTCGAATTTCCCAGTTGAGGCAGCTTCCCGGCGCTTGACGTTGTAGACGGTTGCACACGCGGCTTTCCAACTGCTTCGGATGCTTCCACAATCCGGAAGCGGATTATTTCCTCTCTAACTCTTACGTCTTGGCATTGGCGTTATCCGCGCGATAGACGGTTTTCGAAGGACGGGCCTAGGGTGGTGGTTACTCTGGGCTTATTCATGGGATGGATGACACGGCATTGGCGCATTATTCGGGCAGGCAAAAACGAATCGATGGGTGTGTGGAATTAGGGTTTACAAGGGCGGCGCTGGCGTCTTGGGGTTTTCTCGCGTTCTTCATTTCTGACGCATGCGAATCTTATTAATGCCGATGCTGGCGTCGGTGGGTGTGAGGGGGGAGATTTAAATGATGTGGGAATGACCAATGAATGGGGGATATGGACAGGAAACGGGTGGTCATGCTGAGGGAAACTGAATCGACGGGAAGATATGTATCAGGGCATATACGCGATATGGTTGGCTGGGGAGCCAAACCAGAGCAAACTAGGTAGTCATGCGGCGGACCTATGAGGTTTATAAGTGGCGAATCAAATTGAAGAGCCTCACTCTTTTCAGTTGGTGCAACGCGTGCCGGATGTTGAAAGAGGTCACGGTGGTACTGAATGGCACGCAGCAAGCACGCTTTTTGTGTAGCCCGCATGACTAGGAAGAGTACCTAGGTGAGAATGAGTGGAAGGGCTTGGGAGGTGGTTAGGAGGGGGTTTAGTTTGCGTGTTGGATAGCAGTACTGGTCGTGCGTGTGATGTCAGTGCCAGGTGTAGGTGTTGGATGGTTCACGTTGGTGGTGGGGTGGTTTGGTGGGGTGAAAGCTCCACGGGTTTCTTTGTTCTGTCAGCAGTGGACTGGGCTAGTGCACTAGCATGACTTGGGGTTCTCAGGTGCAGGTGCATGGGTGGAGCGTTATTTGATATGTGTGGATTGGTAAGTCTTTTTGGGAGGGGGGGTTGTGTGTGGAGGGGTGATGGCACGTCTGCGGCCTCGTCATCGGCGTCTACAGCCCCGGTACATGCGCGGAAGTGATGCAGGTCGCCGTGCTGTGTGTGCGTCTTGTGGCTGAGGCGGCATGTTTCATTATCGATTGGTCCTCTTAGGGTAAGGGATGTTGTGGATTGTGGTTCCGGCTGAGGAGGAGGCGGTGCCGGGGGAGATGGTGCAGGCCGCCGTCATAAAGTCTCTGGGGTATTGAAGTGCGTAGCACGGTAGATAGATATGGTAAGTGTCGATCATCCATAGACGCATGGAGATCGATAAAGGGGCTTGATCGAGGAAAAAAGCATGTTGGTTTGCTGAAGAAGACGGGGGTTGCGGGGATTGGGAATTGGGGATTCGGGGATTCGGGGATTCGGGGATCGGGGATATGCAGCTGCGGCTGCTTGCAGATGAGCTCCTATACTTAGGTGGGTGGTGCATATGGCGTTCCCAAGGTTCAAGTTAGTGATGGTAGCTCTCTCCTGTCTATTGTAGTCTCAGGTTTAGTACATATATAAGTGTACCTTTTCCAGAGCACCTCTCTGACTGGACATGTACCAAAGGGCTCAGTGACGAAGTGTGTCGATAGTGAGTGTCCCCCAACCTCGGAACCACCCTCACCCATCCCATCCCGTGGCCAGCCGCCATGACAGCTGAACCCAAGGAATAATCGCCGGCCGGAATCCCGACGCGACACGCCACCACAGACCGGAACGGGGCCCGGAGCCACGGCCCTGGGCAAGTCTTGCTGCATGCATTTGCTTAGGGGAGTGGCGCAGGATGAGCAGGAGGTTTTGGTGAGCGCTGGTGGGGGAGTATGGTGGCTGGGTGGGAAGGTTATGAATATTGAAGGATATAGTAGATCTGGAAAGTGTGATTTATAGGGTCGTGTGACGCTGATCGGCTGTGGATTGCGGGAGAGAGTAGATAACGGGAAGACGGCGATTAAATAATGAGGGCGGACGGAGAAATAATGAGAGCGGACGGAGAGTTTGGGATGAATGCCGTGTTGGTGGGAGGGGAACACCAATGAGGGGTACCTGCGTATCGATAAGGGGGTCACTCATAGATCGTCGAACACGGAGCACACAACTAGAACACGAGTGCCAGAGAACAACACACAAGGGATGTTACTACCTTTGCCTTTCACTCATCCTTCGAGCACGTTTGATTTTGTTAAGCGTGCTAGACTACCCTATTAGGGACGTCGTACAGCATGGCGTCTCGCGGAAGCAACGGTTGGAATTCGCCGAAAGTGACGGGACATTGGACGGAAAAAAACTCCACGAGTCCCAATTCGAATACTTCTCATGGCTAGGATATGCTACGCTGTTTCAGCTCTGTGACTGGAATTATAATGGTTTTGGTGATGTTGCTCTGTAGTAGTACTGTAGTTCATATGGGACCCGGCGCTGTCATAGGTGATGGGGGTTAGTGGCAGCAAGATACCCCGCCAGTTCCTGTCCACGTTCCTTGCCGCTCGCTAGATATCTATCGGTCCCACGCCTCTCTACTTTGCGGTTCGAAAGTCCCTGTAGCAAGTCATTCTACGTTTTCCGTGTGTTGATTTAGTATATAAACTTTTATGGATTAAAATTATTCATCCTCAATGGCGTGGTGGCGGAGTGGTTATCGCGCAAGACTAGAAATCTTGTTCCTTCGGGAGCGTCAGTTCGAATCTGGCCCACGTCGAAACGTGCTGTCCTTTGGACAGAGTGATTCATTTTCTTTTTTGCTTTTTCTCCCAGTCGGATGTGGGGACTTGTTGAGCAACACACCATTCATTTTTTATTTTTTCTGTTCATGTTCTTACACCTTAATTCAAAACAGTATCGTCGTGGGGTTTTCATGGTACTTACTCAGTGCCCCCATCTGTTTGATTTACAATTCCAATATAAGACTTTGGCGAATGGATTGGCGACTCGAGAGTCGGAAGCTGTTCCATGACAGTGAGCAACGATTTAACTGTCCCCTGGGTTATCGTCAAATTAAGGGGCCCAGAGGGTGCTTTTGGAATTGAAGAAGTGCGATTGGGTGCAACGAGACAGTGCGATGCGTTATGTGCAGATGGCTCGTCAGTGATTCGATTCCATATTGCGCATGATCCAGGTAAACACATTTGCATATTACCAGTCCGGAGAGGGCCGGCTATCTTGAGTAGTTTCTTGAAGAGAAGTCAGTAGAAACCTGCTTGGCTGCACTGCCGTTCAGGGCGCCGGTTTAGATGTGCTGATTACTGCAAGTTCCATCAACGCTGATCCATGAATACTTGATTCCTCTTGAGCCAGCCAATGTCTGCTCAAGTACTTCTCACCGCCTGCCGACTGCTTCATCGATCTTATACGGCACCACGAACCACTCATGCCATCCAGCACCGATCTCTCTTGCCCTCACATGCGGCATCTGGTATTCGTCTACCCAGCCATCGTTTTCTTCCGCAAACTCTGAGAATGGAGGTGTGAAACGATGCTTTAAACACGCTCCCCATGCCCTCTTCCTCTCCGTAAAAGCGCCGATGCAGAAGATCCCAGTTGGGGACCTATGTACAGCAACGAGAACGCCTTCTTTCCCATCAATGGCCACTGGTGCTTTGGGTTCCTCCCCCGCACCAGATGGCTTAGGCGTACTATCTGGCCGCTCCTTGTGGAATTCTGGGTGTCGACCTTTGGGCATAGGAGCTCGCGGCCCAACCCTTTGAATTGTCCTCTTGAGAATCTTGATCCGCCCGCTCGGGCTCAAATACTCCGTCCCATCCCGCATCCCCTCCTTCGAAAACGCATAAGCTCCATGTTCAATCGCCGCATTAGTGACGGTCCCAATGCTCGAGTACGCTCCTAGAATCAATCCTGGCTCCGTGTAGTACGGGTATTTTTCATACTGCAGGACGAAAACCGAAAGCGGAGCGACTCTATCTGAAGACTTCCTTTTGACGCGCTTTTGCAGCTTCTTGCGATGGCTATGCTTTCGCGGGTGCAGCTTTGGTGGTTTGGTGAGGCGCTTGGTGGAGTACCGGCGACTCAGGTGAGTTCCAATCTGCGGGGTGAGCGCTTGGGGGTGTTGCTGTGATTGCGGATGCAGTTGACTGGTATGGGGTGTAGAAGTGGATCGTGCCTTAGGTCTACCATTCTCTGTCGCATTTCCCGCCGTGGGATTCAGCGGTTTGCGGGGAATTATTGGCGCTATGGAGCCTTGCGTGGGTTGCGTCTGCGCCCGTGGCCTGGCGTTGGCCGTCGCTGTTGGTGCAGCTCCGGCTTCTGATGTATTCGGAATATCCGTTGAAGCTCTCACAGGCTTACGACGGATAATATAGCTGGGCGTTGTTGAATCCATCGAGCGAGCCAAAAGCATATTGATCTGAGTCGCCGTTCCCGAGATGGAGTGACAACAACGTCAAGGATATGTGAGTTGCACCTGCTCAACCAGTATATGAACTCCAGCTATTGTACCCGGATACCAAGTGCGGGAACTATCTATACAAGCGAGTTACGGTTTCAGAAGCTATGCAAGTCCACCTGCAGTTACCGCGCCTCATCCAACCAATGGTGGATGGTTCGGCAGTGAGCAACACGTCATCAGCACTGCCCCACGCTAACTGGACAATCGACAAGAAAGGTACAAACGGGTCATTTAGGCTTCCTTCTCGTCCTCAATCGAGATCATGTTGCTCGTGTTATCGTTTGCCTTTTCGTATGGCAATATTTCCCACCTGTCCTTGCCCCCACATCCAGCTCGCGAAACTCCAAGCAGGATTGACCATTAGATCCTTTGTCGGTGGTCCTAAGGAAAACAAGAACTCAACCCAGTTGTACACACTGTTATCGAGATCTATTGGCAAGAATAACAACGACAACGTTTACCGCCCGCTTCCATACGGTTTGATCGGCTTAGGTGGCTCGACCCAGTCAAATGTCCCTGTCGACCTGTACAACGCAACATCACCAGGGCCCTTGATCTGCTTTCTCCTAGCGGTACCAAACATGGCGCCGTTGAGGAATGTATGTGGGAAGCCGACATCGAAATCATAAGACGCTTCGATACGGTCAATATCTTCCTCCGTCAGTGTGACGGATAATCCAGCGATACTGTCTTTCAAATGGGAGACTCTCCGTTGTCCAACGAGCGGGAATACGTATGGAGCTTTGTGCATGACATATGCAAGAGCGATCTGGAAGAGGCCTGCATCTTTCTCCTTCCCTATAGTTTCCAGCACCTTGCACACTTCTCTGTCACGGTCCGTAAGTCGAGCATTGGCAATCTGCCTTCCGGGGTTGTGCTGCGCCCGCGCTTTGAATCCTTCCTCTGTTTGGAATCGTCCAGAGCCGAGGACCCCATAGGGGCATAGAGCCATGCCTTGGTTACTGGCCATGGGGATTATGTCTCGCTCGAAGTCCCTCATCGAAGCATTCCATGCACCTTGATAGACACTGAACTGGCGAAGCCCATGATTGCGTGCGTACTCATTTGCCATTGATACGACCCAAGCTGGGGTATCCGACACTCCCAGGTAGAGCACTTTTCCGGAAGTAACAACATCGTTAAGACTGTGCATAAGCTCTGGGATCGATGTTGCGGCGTCCCACCAGTGGATATACAGGATATCAACATACATCGTCCTCAGATTCTTTAGAGACGCATCCAAAGACAACTTCAAGCTCTTCGCCCCATTCCCCACGTAATTCGAGATTATCTTGTCTTTGCGATTGCGATGGAAGTTCATGGTATACTTTGTCGCCAACACGATATCATCCCGATTGTCGTGTTTTGCCATCCACTCTCCGATCCATTCCTCACTCTGGCCATGCTGATAGGAGTTCGCCGTGTCAAAGAAGTTACCGCCTTGGCTGTAGAAGTGGTCCATGATGGCGAATGCTTCCTCTTTGCTACATTCGCCATAAAGCGCCGTCTCGCGCTCGCCGAAATTCATGGTTCCGAGGCATAATGGGGAGACGTGGATGGAAGCTGAAGGAGCCAGTTGGCGGTGGCGGAACAGAGGAGAGTCGCGGTTGAACGTAATGGTCATTGTCCAAGACTGGCCAGAGGTTCCGAAAGAGGTTCCGAATATCGACGATGATGACCGAACTGACTGTGGGGGTCACCTCATTGTTATAGCTATGTACGTCGATACATAGACGTACATGGCACCCAATCGCTAAGTTGGAGAGGCTCCGCAGAGGCTCACCGCCTCGTGTCATCCATGTCGTCGTACGCAGGTCCGGATTGGCACGCAGGTTGCGGGTAGCTCATCCCACATAGAAGCAGTGAAGCAAGCCATCCTAAATTCATAAAAATGCGGGATCTGGGCAAGTTATACGAGCCCACCAATCTGGCCCAGTGTACGGAGTGGCGATGTCGACGTAGTAAGGCCGTGAATTTTACACTTGCTTCTCTGTCGAACGGAAAAGTCGATGTAGTTTTTGCGTTGCAACTGCGGGTGAGAAAATGAATAGCGCTAGCTTGATTAGACTAGGCCGACATGTCAGCATTTATTGCTTCTCTTCACATCTGGCTGAACAACCCCCAGCATTTCCTGTACTGCTCTTTTCCACTTCCAATTGAACAGCTAGGAAATGCAGTAATATAACACCTTGCAATTCGTTTTGTAGCGTCTCTATCTCTGTATAATAAGCTCTAAAACGAAGCAATACTGACAGCATTATTAGGTGGTAGCCAATTCAATTGCGTTCGACTCGGTAATCTCCCCTACGGAGGGAATTGCAGAGGGGCGTTCAGTCAGACCTGGCAAGCCACGGTACTGTCGTATACTCGGTGTGGTCATGAATCGTTCTCCAGCCTTTTCTTTCGGACGCTCTTAGGCAACCATCTGGCCGCTGTTGATGGGAACTCTCCAGCAGCGTAGCTATTCCCCATGTCCATCTGCCTTTGAGGCAGCTGCAGCGATTCTTTCTTGCCAGCATTTTTCGCAATTTTCCTCAACCGCCTTTCCAAATTCTGGCCCATGGTATCCCCGAAGCACCTCAAGAACCTTCATAGCGGCTCTATATCGCTGTGAGCTTGGCAAGTACCATGCGCCTTGTCGGCCAGCGTCATCCTCTCCATTGAACTCAGAAAGCTTCGTTATATCGATGAACTTGAAGCCTTGCTTTTGGAATACGAAAAGGGCACGGATGACTTTTAGCATATCGGTCTTAGTTTTCAAGCATGCCTGAACCTCTGGGGCGAAGCATAAAGGCGGCTGTTTTGCGAACTCCAAAAGTAAACCGGCAGTGGCAGCTGCGACTGGAGTAGCGAATGATGTCCCACGCCTTCTTTCATCCTGGACTACTGACAAAATGTCCACTCCAAGGGCGGAGAATCTTTCTAGATGTGTGTCGGCTGAGCTGGGGTTATCGCGGGAAGGGTTAGCGTTGTGGTGTGCGGCATCAATTCCAATGACATGGTCATCGCTTGCTGGATATTTGATATCCCGCCCATCGTTGGAGGTAGCGGCAAACAAGAGAACATTCTTGCTTTCCGTAATAATGTTTCTTAGACCCTCGTGGGAGTTGTACTGCCACCCGAAGGACATGCTGACAATATCGACTTTACGTGTGTTAATGGCGTGGTCCAAGGCCTCCTTCACATATTCCGGGTTGATTCCGTCGGCTTCGTTAATATCTTCCGATACAATGCGGTAGGGATATATTACGGCGTAGGGGCAGACGCGCATCAGCAGGCAGAAGCAGTCTGTTCCGTGGCCATTGTTATCCACGTTTGGATCAAGGCCGTTCGCGAGCTTTTTCCCATTACCTTTTGTATCGATGATCTTGTTTTTGAGTTTCTGGGCCACTTTCATCTTAGAAGCGCTTTCGATTGCGACTCCGGTATCGAGTACCGCTATTTTGATCTTGTTTCTTCGTTCACTCTGTTGGTGCCTGTTCAGGAATGTGTGAACTGTAGCCTCTAGCTTGAGGAACCATTTATCCGTTTGGCTGGTCTTGATTAGCACCGTCTGTTGCTTGAAGATGGGTTCTTACTTCTCGCGGGAGGCGCCAAATAGCATGCCTAGATCCTTGGTAAATGATAGGGGAGCACTGGTGTCACAACCTGACGGTAATGATAAGTCTTTGGAGGCTTTGGAGCTGTCTGTCTGAGTCTTCTTGGGTTCAACTCTCATGTTCACTGACCGTCGCCGGCCGACACCCTTGTCAGGGGCAGGCGGCTGACTTCGAGATCGGACACGAGGTGCTGGATCAACATTAAGAGTCGGCGGAGCAAGTTTCTTCTGCTCCTTCTGGGACTGCACAGGTGTTGCGCCGTTGGTGACTCGTTTTTGGTTCAGAGAAGGCGCCTTGGATTCCACATCACTCTTGCCGTCTCCGGATTTTACCTCGGAAGGGGCTGTGATGATGACGCGATTTTCGGATGACGATGGTGATTGAGTTGGCGATGACTCTTCCTTCTTTTTGCCCTTCCACTGTTTGTTCCCACCATTGTTCGCCCGGTTTGGCTCTCTCTGACCGAGAGAAACAGTGTCGCCTTTCAGATAATCCACTGATCTTTTCATCTGTCCAAGCTCTTTCGAAGCAAATGCAAGTTTACTTTGCAGTTCAGGAAAAGCAGCTACTTCTGCTCGTGACTCCTTCACGATCGCTTTGACATTCCTCCACACTCGATCACAGAGGGTGAGATCACGCTGCAGGTAAGTTTTGGCTTCTCCTGACATCCCACGTTGCTGAGCATACTCAAGCGAGAGATCCAGGCATTGAATGGCGTCCTCGCACAATTCATCGATTCCGGTATTCTTGCCTTCCCGTCGCGTTACAGTACAATTTTGTGAAGTAAGAATGGCGCGATACTCCACGATGGCATTTCTGAATTGCCCGCTTCTGTCGTAATTCCTAGCGAGATGCCGTCGATTTTCCAGAAGCGCCCAATCGTCGGGCTTTACCCCCGATTTGAGCCTCCGTTTGAGGCTTTCTTTATTGCAAGATATGGCTTGCTCGTAGAGCTTGGCTTTGTGAAGATTCAATGCCCAGTGGTCCCGTAACACGATAACTTTCTCGTCATCTTCTCCCCTGATTCTTTCATAGAGAAGCACAGCTTGCATGAAGCACGTCGCCGCCTCTTCCCATTCCTGCTTATTCTCTTTCGCAAGTCCTTTTGCTCCAAACTGCTTTGCTCGCGCCAATTTTTCTTCATCCGTCTGTCCGTGGTTCATCGCCGGCAATTGGGTAACATCCGCACAACTTCAGTGGGCGGAACCTGTTCGCAGAAGCTGGTGGTGGGCTCGTCAGACGCATCACAACGCTCAGCCTCATGGCGGGGCTCGGGCTTCCGAGTCAAGCTCATGCTGATATTACAGGGCTATAGAACGCGGACCCACAGCAGAGCTGAAAAGCAAGCGAAGTCGCCTTATTTCTGAGTGTCCCAGGGTGCATGACCAACAGTCATTGATTGGTTTATCGCAGAAAATAGCCCCGCTATGTGCAGTGCACCATAACCAGACCGGAAGGATGACAGAAGGTCGCAGGGGTGCAGTGTTCAGCGGGGCATTGAATTAACAGAGGATCTGGTTCCTGAAAAACAAAGCACTCCAATGACGTACTGACTCCTCCTTCAAACCGATACTCAAATCCATAACATGAATACCAAACCATCATGGTTTCTTGCGCCTCGAGCTTCCCACCCAGATGGTCCCATAAAACTGGGTAGCATCCTCATCACTCCCACGCGCCCCGAAGAGCCCTTATATGATTCCTCGCACCTGTTGTCCAAGTCGGACAACCTCACTGTATGGGCCGAGAAAGACTTTACCTTCGACAACTCGAAAGAAAAAGGAGGCAGTGTGGGCATATGGGCATCCTTTCTCGAACTCATTCTCGGCATCGGCGGAGACGTGAGCGTTGGGGGTGCAAACGGTGGCGGATACAAGCTGACGGCGGAAAGAATGGTTTCGAAGCAATTCGTGCCGTCGATGACTTATCTGCAAGAATGCATACAGCAAGAGAAAGTCCGGAGCTACATCGCGGAGAGCAGGTTTCGGAGCAAAGTGTATGTGATTGTGGGTGTCATGATTGCTTGCGGAGCCTCAAGTTACATCAAATATATGAAAGAGCGAAACATGGCACTGACGCTGGGTGTTGATGGTACTGCTCTTGGAGTGCCTATAAGCGCCGGACCCGAGGTGGAGGTCAATAATAAGCGTGAGCTAGCGATTGGCTCCAAAGAGTCCGATGATTTTGTCTTTGCGTATCGTGTTAGAGAAATCAAGGTCAAGAACTCTGGCAAAATAGTCCAAAGGGTGATTAGGAAAGGCGCACTGTTCGAGGGAGACCAGGCGCAGGAAGATTACGAGGAATATCTAAAGTCGGAAGAGCAGCAGGCAGTGGCCGAGGTGGTTGGACTTTCTGAAGAGGATGTCACAGGTGAAGATTTCGACTATGAGGTGAAGGAGACTGTTGATGAAGCCAACGGTGAGCACGTCCTGTGCTATGCGCCGGAGGAATGAGCATTAGGACTAGCAGACGCCATGAAGGTTACGGTATCATCATCCTCTCTGTGCGTAGCAAAAGCGCTCACTTAGAAAGTTCATTGAATGGTTCCCGATTCTGTTCTTCGAAACCATGCCACACCAGTCGGCGACGTAGGCATCATACCCGAACGTCAGCATACGGGCATTGCGAACCTTGGAAGGAAGCAAGGTCGCTGGCCAGGGAGCAGAGGCACCGTCTCTCTTCCATGTCCCCTCGCGATCTCCAATAAGGCCGTGGACGAAGAGGGTACTGAAGTGAAGCGGCTCGTTAAAATGTGCATTAAGTAACCGGAGGATATTACTTACTCAAGTACGCTGTTTTCACTATCGCGGAGCAACTTGATTCCTGAATGAAATATCTTTTTGGATTGACGCTGTGATGGTAAGGTCGACGTCCTGGCCAATGGCGGGTCGTTTATGCGACTGCTGTTCCCTGATGCGCCCGATAGCCACTTACTCATGTCTCCTGTGGTTCCAGTTCTGAGATCTATGATGGGTAGGCCAAAGTCTCGGTTGTTACTCTGAGAAACGGCAGTGGACTTGATACGTTGAACTCTCGACTGGATTTCGGATAGCTTCATCAAGCAGTCTTGTTGTTGTCGTGTGTGGCGGCGGTTTCCCTCGTGAGAGCTCCACTTCGATCCTTACAACAAACTCGTTCTGATCAAACTCACTTTTCGCCATCCTCTCTCATCTCCGTCCAACCCTCCTCCTTCCATACCCCACTCCTGCCCCCTTCCTTACTCACAACCCGCACATTATGCACCCTCATCCCCTTATCCACAGCCTTACACATATCCACGACCGTAAGCGCCGCACCCATAACCGCCGTGAGCGCCTCCATTTCCACGCCCGTTGGCCCAAGACATTGTACTTTGGCCTGAATATCAACGGCCCCATGCTTCCCTTCGCATGTAGCGGATTCCGGTTGAGCATCAGTGAGGCGCAGGATGACGCCCACATGAGAAAGTAGGATAGGATGACACAAGGGGATGAGTGTGGGACACTGCTTCGCGGCCATAATGCCAGCAATACGTGCAACGGAGAGAACATCTCCTTTCTTGAGGCTGTTGCTGCGGATTAGAGATAGAGGAGTTGGGTTAGAGAAGTAGACGGTGCCGGCAGCGGTGGCCGTGCGGACAGTATTAGGTTTGGATGACACTGAGACCATGTGCGCGGAACCGGACTCCGTGAGATGGGGGAAAGTGTCTATCGGCGGAGCTGAAGCCCTTTGCTCGGTTTCCTCAAGCTTGCTGTTTGTTCCGCTCTCGGTCTCAGTAGGCTGTCGTTGGACGAATGGCGATCCGGTGAGGGTAGAGTAGTGGTGTCTTGGCGTGGAGCTGGTTTCGACGACAATATTCGACTTTGTATAGTCTTTCCCATTTCCACGCCTTGCCCTCCAGTACAACGGTCCGCTTGACCACCTGCCAGCCAGAAGGCTCCTGACTGCCGAGAACTTCGAGACTTGTCCATCTTCATACCTCAACCATGGTTCCATTCCCGCATCCTCCAGCCCCTCCATATCCAACATGCTGTGAGATCTGAATCTTCTTTGGAAGACTATCGCAAACCGTCTCGCCATCCTCGCCGCAGCTTCATGGTCAAGTTCATGGGTCAAGACCATCTCATCGAGCACCTTGGCAAGCTGGCTCCTAGCATCAAATTCCACCAGTTTAAAGCGGCTCTGCCATTTTCCTGCAAGGATCTTGAGCCACATCTGCAGGACATTGCGCCTCCGAGATTTCCAGACGTCATAGGGCAACGTGTCGATCTGGGGGTACGAGGCCTTGAGTCTTTGCTGCAGATTGTATACCTGAGTCTGAAGCGATTCCACAGGCTCATCGAAGCGGATGACTACTCCACCATCAATGACATGCACACCCTCCGTAGGTGATTCTGAATGAAGGTCTTCTTGAGTGAGAGGCCGGGCAAGAGACGGAGCTCCCGTCGGGCGTGCATCATCGCTGTTCAGTAGCGAACGTGTTCCCTCTGGAGAACTCCTCTGGTCCTTCTTTCTGAGTCCTTGTTCGTCGTTGCTATCTTGTGCCTGGATGAGCAATGAATTATCGAGATTAGTCCTCTCTGGTTGGGCCTTTGTTGTCGGCGGGCGGCATACCATACCTGTCCTGCCCCTCAACACCTCCTTGTTTAGTTCCTCAAGATTTCCAATGGGAGTTCCAGTAAGTTCCAAATCACTCGATGGTGACTTGACTTTAGCGAGTGTTTCCGATTCCTGGAGCGCTTTCAATTGTTCCCTCTTCTCCCTGATCGCCCTCTCCAGTTCGGTTTTCTTCTGCATCAGCTGTCTCAATTCGGCCTCCTTTGTGCTCCGCAGTTCTGCCCTGTCTAGTGCCCGCTCCCTAAGTTGCATCCTATTTCCTTTCTTCTTGGCGGAGATTCCTTGCAAGCGCTCTTTAGACTTGGCCAATCTGGCTGGCTTACGTGTACTCTTGCGACGTATACGGGTACTAAACCTCTCCTCTAGTGTGCTTAAACGGGCTGGTTTCAGTGTCTGGACACTATGTACCTTAAACCATCCCTTTGAGGTGCTCGTAAACGGACGGACATGGCAGCCACTAAGAGGATGCCGCGGGCGCATGAGAGATGGCAGCTGTGACGCATAGAGCTTAGAGGTGGACGAAGGATGTAGAGCAGTATGAGGTGGCTCAATCGGCGTCATTGCATGAGGCCAGTGTCGGATAGCTGGGCGGCTTTCTACTGGCAGGTCTGGACACCTGTCAGCTTTCATATACATTGAGATACTCCACCGATACATCAGATGGACTGTGGGATGGTATGAGGATAGTGATTGTGTATCGTAAGATATATAATGACCGACGCAAATCATTGCGCCAGGTGCACAAAATAGGGACGTGCTCCTGATAGTTCTGGTATCATGCAAACGTCGTATACACATGCAAATCATGAACAAGAAAAGGAAACAATTGCTTCACCCACCAATCAAAATCATCGGCCTGTTCTCCATCTTCTCAAGATCGCCAATATCGGCATGCTTCTCAGCCTTGCGCTTGACTGCTGCGCCTATGACACGAAGAAGCTGTCGCTCCCGCCGGCCCCAGCCTAGGATAGTCTCATCGCTTAGTTTCCCGTTGAATCGATCAAGCTCCGTTTGTCTGATTCTTTGAAAGGCTTCTTCGTCAATGGGAAGACCCCCGTTATCTTCGCGTAACAGATCCCGTAGTGATACCTCGGCGTTACCATGCAAGCATACTTTCAGGTTGCCATCGCTCGTGATACGCAGTCGATTACAGGTCCCGCAAAAGTCGTTGGTCATACTGGTGATGAAGCCAACCTTGCCGACAAAACCAGGGACCTCGAAGGTTTTGCTTGTGTCGTTCTTATGTCCCGGTAATCGTCTCAAACCAGGATATTTAGTTCGGATAATGTCAAGCATCTCTTGATATCCAATCATCTTCCCTTCGCTCCACTTGTTGCCACCAAACGGCATATACTCGATGAAGCGTACCTCGATGTCTTTTTCACGGCCCATCTCGACAAATGGAATGATGTCACGTTCGTTGAGGCCACGCATGACAACACAATTTATCTTTAGCTTGACGTTGGCCCCATGGCGGTTCAGCTCGAGTATGCGATCGATGCACTTCATGACCGCATCAAACCCATTGCGCCTTGTCATGATTTGGAATTGGAACGGATCCAGGGTGTCCAGGCTGAGATTAACACCAGTCAAGCCCGCCTCTACCAAGCTGTCGAGCTTCCTGTTTAGTGATATTCCATTTGTAGTTATGGCCAGTTCTCGTAGACCACGGGAGCGAAGGCTGCCAATTGACTGCATCAACGGAACGATGTCGCGGCGGACCGTAGGTTCCCCTCCGGTGAGACGGATTTTCGTGACACCCTGCGAGACGAATAGGGAGGAAAGATAGAATATCTCGGGGCTCGTCAAGAGATGTGATGGTGGCGATAATTGTACACCTTCTGCTATCGAGTTAGCATCCGTATGAGTGAGCCCAAATCACTATACGTACCTTCAGGCATACAATATAAGCATCGCAAATTACAGCGCTCGGTGACGCTAATGCGCAAGTAATCATGCTGTCTGTTGAAAGAGTCCGTCAGGAACTCTGAGAATGGTTTTGCCGTTTTGATAGCTTGTCGGCGATCTTGCAGGCTCCTATTTGATATGGGTTCGGGTATCTCTTGCGGCACATCGTGCATAGATCCTTTCGACCCGGAGATTTGTGCTGTCGTTATAGCTCTTATCGATCCCCTACGGCCCATGCCACGACCCGCAGCCCAGCGCGAGGCATGGCATGCCGCAGCCGCGTTCGACCGCAGTAAAACCATAGGGCCCATTATGAGGAGTGGAGAGGCCCTCTTCCCACATCGGTGCGAGAGGACATAAAATGTAACCGCTGCGATAGCGGGGCAGAAGAAGGGCGTGCTTGTCCTGAGTCGGGAAGTTTGGGAAGCGCGCGGAGATGGGTCATCGTTTTTACGTCGGCGAGATGTAGTGTTACGTTGAGCCGATTGGTTGTTGACATTTAGTAAACGTTCACTAAAAGAAGCTAAGTCTAAGTGGGGGTGGCGCGCAGTTAGCTCCAGCCACGCGGCTTGCTTACTCTTGCATTGCTTACTAAGCACTTCTCCGTCAGAGGTCCATAGATTTGAGAAAACCTTGGAATACAGCATCGCGCATGACTTGCTATTGTAGACTTATTTGTGAGTATACTTGATCACTATTTGATAATTGAATCGGGTAAGCGGAGGCGTGCAGCTGATTTCGATATATGCTTCAAAGTAGTATTACTAATAATTCAAGAGCGTCACATTGTCTTGAGGACTTCTGGCATATCCGCGCAGAAAGGCACTGCTCGCGAAGCAGTATCAACTGCAAATGGTTGGAAGACGTGTCCATACCCGATCCAAGGGGATCAGTTTGCACCATGTCACGTGCTTTCGCATTCACCGTCTTGGCACCCTCTTCACCTCGCTCAAGTACGGCAGCATATCGTCAGCTTAGGGGGCCCTAGGGGCTTGAATACTATTCTTACTACAGCAGCATGCAATGAATTGGCAATCAAGCTCACTGCTACTGTTGGAGTTGATGTTAAAACAATTACCACGCTGGGGCACTTCCAAACTCGCGACAGAGTCGGCGAAAGTAAGTAGCATTTGTTTACAACACCTGAGATTCTCGGCCTTTCCTTGTTCGCCCACACCGCTCCAGCACAAACACAAACACCATTCGATACGGTGATTACGTCGCTCATCATGGACGTTAATCGCCTCACAGCAGGGCTTACGACTCCACGCCGCAATGGTGTTGGGCAGATCTCCCATAATGGAGGATACGACCACAATACGGACAAAGGGAGCAGGCTTGTGTCGCCTAGTCCGGCCAGTTTGTGCGGCATGGTGAGTCGACCTCCCGCGCCTTTGGACTTGCGTTATCGCCATAAACATAGGGTTCAATAACTATCATCAAACAGCTAACGCAGGTAATCTCAGTCACCCGCGAAGCAAAGACCCGTAAACATTCCACACAATTCTTCCCAGTGCGTCGATCTCGCGATCTCCATTGAGTCCCGATCAGTTATACTTTGCGATCCTTTCTGGGGTAGACCAGATGCAAAATCAACATGGGACCCTGGAGATATTACAAGGGAAGTAATTAGGAGATCCATAGTCAACTCCTCCAAGGGACTAACAGAGATCACGACATCTAAGCTTCCGAAAGTCTAGTTTATTCACGAGTCGGTACGCGATTTTCTTCTAAAAGAAGACCGTCTCAGCAACATCTGGCCTGACCTGCGAAGCAATCTCCAGGGTCGAAGCTATGAGTGGTTGAAGCAGTGCTGTCTCACCTACATGACCGTGAACGTATTCACTGCACTGAAAATTCCCGAAAACCTTCCCAAAGCCTCAACTCCGCAGGCCGCAGACATTCGCAAAGCAGCTGACGACACATTCCCCTTCCTAGCATATGCTATAAACAGTGCTTCACCATGCAAACGCAGCAGAAGCAGCCGGCATCTCTCAGGCGCCATTTCTTGAGCGCTTCCCTCTCCTTCAATGGGTCCGGGTTGAGAACCTATTGGAAAAGCATGAAGTTCGCAGGCACTCAGCGGATGTGAGTCTTGTATATTTACTTGGGGAGCACAACCTGCCAGATCTTATCGGAGTATATCCACACGCTATCCCTGGTCTGAATTTCGAAAACGAGCGTTATGGGTGTCCCGTGTTCGCTGCCATGGCGATTGGGAGCAAAGAGGCTGTGAAGGCATTGCTTAAAGGCCTAGTAGTGCAGTCTGCTGAAGACAAACATGGCTTAATCAACGCTAATACGTGACCGCGTTCGGCGGCACAAGAGCTCATCACCTGCCTTAATTACCCTCGGGTATTGAGGCAATTAATTATTAGCTTAAGAAGGAGGCTAAAGTGATGATGCTCTTAGCTGAGCTAATGCGCGATGGGATTGCTACCCTAGGGTACATAAGGGTAGCCTTGAGAGAGCTAACCCTCCCTTGAATGAGGCAGCAAGGGCATAAAGCTGAGGCAGCTCATGAAGAACCCTGGGAAGCGGATCCAGAAGCATAGAACCTTAACAAAGGGAGCAGGAGAGGATATACTAGCTCAACAAGACGTTGAGGAGCAGATTGCTCTTGAACAGCGTTAAGGTGGTGCGAGATTAGGTCTCAACCGCCAGGCTAGCGCTCAAGCGCGCTGCTACAGTAGAGAGCCCGGTCATAACTCACGTACGTGTAAAAAAGATACTTAAGATTCTACTTGATCTACTCTATTAATATTTTATTCTGCAAAGCGGTTGGGTTGCACGTTTGAACAGGTGGGCAGAGTAACATCGCCCGTGGAACACGTCACCAGATCCCGGTGTAGCTGGATGATGTCCTGGATGATGGATGGTTGCACTGCTAGCCAATTGGATATATATTCTAGAGTGCCATCTACTCTCGTCAAATTTCATAGCCGGTGGTTCTTTTTATATAGCAAAACGTGTTATATAGCAAAGTCTACAGAAACTAATATCGGTAATGTACAGGATAGGGTAGTTCAAAAATAAATAAATAAATTTATGCATGTAAGAGTACTAGTTCTGGGGAGGGCCGGCCGTGCTCCACTGCTAGTGAACAAAGCTCTACAACTACAAAAATATGGCTATCAACCTTCCTTGCGAACTAGTCAATGTCAACTGCTTTCTCTGCATTGGCAGACGCGTGGTAAAATAAGAGAGAAGTTCGACCAACAGACACCCGTAGGACACTACCCTACTTGTTACCCTGCGACTATTTTCTGGGCCGCTCTCTAGGTAGGCGGAATCGTAACTAGGAAAGAATTTTCTCCAGGATAGGATCGAGAGGTCACTTCCCGGCCTCTCTGTTGCCCTCGTGGGTTGTTCACTACTCATATCCTCGACTCCACCGCTCGTCACAATGCTCGCCTTTACCTCCGTCCTGGTCGCCCTAGTCTATTCTACCACTATCCTCGCCAACTTGATCAACGTGGAGAAGCGCTACATTACCCACGGTCTCCCTACTCCCACTAGGAACGGCACGCACGACGGCTTTTACTACTATTTCTGGACAGACGGCCAAGGCTCCGTGAACTACACCAATAAGGTGAACTCACCCCATCAATTCTCTTGTTTACCAACTAAAGATATAAACAGGCAGGAGGTCAATACACTGTCACATGGTCCAACACCGGTAATTTCTTCGGGGGCAAAGGCTGGAGCCCCGGCAGCGGACGGAACGTCACATACAGCGGTTCCTGGGACGGCGCACAAGGGAACTCATACGTCTCACTCTACGGGTGGATGCAGAACCCGCTTATAGAATACTACATTGTTGAATCGTTTGGGACATACGACCCTGGATCCGCGTTTTCGGCGCCAAAGGAGACCATTACCGTGGACGGCGGCACGTACAACATCTACATCACTCGACGCACCATTGCTGGCGGTGAGGGGCCTGGTCATTGGACTGTGCTTACGCAGCTCTGGTCCGTAAGGCAGCAGAAGCGCGTTGGTGGGACAATTAACGCGCAGGCTCATCTTGATGCTTGGGCTAGGGCTGGTGTGAAACTGGGGAACACGCACACATTTCAGATTCTCGCAACAGAGGCATATTTTTATAAGAATATCGGGACTGCTTCTATTACTGTGCAAGGCCCATGACACAGTAAGGCAGATTGTTATAGTTCATCAGCTAGTACAAGCTTACCATAGCGGCGTATTTGATCGCCCGAATATCCACCTCTACCCTTTCTCACTTCACACGCGTCAATGCCACATCGGTCCGCCCAGACCGCAGTATTTGTTATTGAACATGTGCCGATCCCCCCCTGTCGTATGAAATGGTAGCATTTGTCTTCATCATCCATCTCGGCATAATTATTCCCAGGCTGTTTCGAATACCCTTGCCAGGCCGGATTGTAATTTGGCGGCAGGTTCAATTTTGGTGATTGTTCAATGCCTGAGGGTGGTTGGGTGGTCAAAAGCAAGGCAGTGTTGGTGTCAGATCAAGGTGCAGTGATCCTGACTTCTTTGTCATTCATAGTCTAATAAGGCGGTAGGAGTTATTCAGCACAGCTGCACTCAAATATAATCGGAGAAGTCCTCACCCTTGCTTGAAGTAGGCACACTCGCATAGTGTCGTCCAGTTTTTGCACCATGAGTGATCGTTTTAGGGGACTCATTGGCTCAAAAGAGGGTGCCCCTCCATGCATTCCTATATGAGCGGACGCCACAATGGTTCGCGTGCACGAAACTCTACCGTTGCCAGTCCAAACCCCTCTGTATATCCCCCTCCCCTTTCCCTTCGAGGCTGTTGCCTTCCGTGGTTGTCAGTGTTACCTTGTCTCAGGCATTGCGAGCTTTAGTTGGCAGCTTGTGGAGTTTTCCAAATGGCCTCCACTTGGTCATGTCGGTGTCTTCGGTGTCTAGGGCCACCCAGAATTGCTCCAACAGGTTCGTGTCAAGCAGCCATCGACCTGCTATTGTGGCTGTGTCTTTTTTCCTAAGTAGTGGATCGATTCGTTTGGTTTTTCTTCTTTTGATCAGCTTCAGCCCCGCCCTCGTAACGCTTCTTTACGCTGCAATTGTTGACAGTTTTCAACAGGTGAATTGTACGAGACTGACCTGTAAACTGCAATATCAACTACAAGAGCTGGTTCCAGGATATTGATAGCCCGCTTCTGATTCTTCGTCTGAGATCTCCCAATGCTGACCACCTCTCGCAAGTGCATGCGAAGCCTGGTTCGGTAACCGTTTTCGAATTCTTGGAGTTGCTGAGATTGAGTGAGGGTGGAGAACCGGTTCCGGTTGCGATGGTTGTGAAGGCGTTCGAGATGGCGAGTAGGATGGATATTGTAAGAGAGAAGGCGCTCAGTTCCAGGTCCAAGGCAATAGCTTAGAGGCGTTGGATGGTGGAAAAATGCACGGAGGATGAGCAAGGCTTCTGGAAGTCCCGTACCCTTGGATCCGGCGGCAAACTATACATTCGGTATCAGTTAGGATGTGCTTATATCTCTGAGTCCAGCTAATCCTACGAGAAAATGTAATTTTTCAATAACAGATTCTGAGAAATAATGAAATTATGGGGAAGGCGCAGAGTATAGAAAAGAGACGAGGTAGACCTCAGAGGAAGCCGGTCGTAGAAATGCAGGTTAAACAGAGGGTAGATATTCCTGGGGATAAGACAGGTGTGGCACGGCTCAACCCTAAGTATACATATGTAGGATACCCATGAGTACTACGCCCTGCAATCCTTAGCCGCAAAAGGTAGCAACTGCTGCGAAGAATTGCAGAAATGAACAGCTCGACAAAACCATATACTCGTTAGAGAAATGCTGGTAGCCTCGGCGATCAAATGTTGAACAGCATTTGCGGTTTCTGCAGTAGAGAAGAGAAGGAGCTCCTGGCCATTGCTGTATAGTTTCTCTGAGAGGAACTGCTATGAATAAAGTATTGAGGTAACGATTGAGGTGTGGAACTTAGGTTAGTGCGTGCGGAGTCCATAGGCAGCTGTCTGAGTGCTACATTACTCCAAATTCGGCTTCATTGTTTCAGGCTGCGGATGATGCATATTCCTTTGAGCGGATCACATTGTGCCTGCGATTAGAATGGACAACAAGAGTGCTCTTGAGCAGACACAGGAGCTTCCAAGGTTCGCTCAGAGGAGTTATGATGCCAAGACCGAAACAGTTGAGCTTCGGAGTAATAAAAGATCCGCGCCGTGCTAATCCCGCCAACCTCCGGCAGCAGGGTCGGAGACAGCTCGCAATGCTCTTCCCCTCGAATAACCGCCCATCCGCCCACCCCTTCCTTCCCTCCAGCTCATATGTCTGTCGTCGAGCCTCGGTTTTACTCTTTGCGTATTGCGCGACTTAACCGTACATTCAACTGAACTGGAGCGCTACCCGTCCTGTCTGTACCGCCGTCACCACCACAGCATCCCAATACACCCGTCAGTCTCCCGACCGTAGCGCTCGCTCACCATGCCCCCAGCGGGCAGCTCCCGTGGCGCTGGGGCTGCCGCAGCTTCAGATCGCCGCCAATCTGCCCGACAAGGTCGTACCAGCGTAACCCGCCCTACGAATTACTATGCACGCACATTTACAAGTCGACTGTCCGCGATGGACCAAACACCCCCATCATCGGCCCCGACACCGGGTTTCTGCCCGGTGCTCACACACTTCAGCCAGGCTGTGGACGCCTTTCCCAAGGAACTCATCAGAAACTTTTCCATGTTACCGGAGGTTGAAGCGAAGCTTCATGACCCGCAGCGAGACCTGGAGCTTCTGCTCGACCAAATCGCTCAGCTACCCGTACCTACCATCGCCGAGCGCCGAGCCGCCGACCAACACAAGAAAAGTGGTGAGAATAGCGCAACCGGAAGCGTCATGGGGTCGATGATGCATGACGCACCATCGCGCCATCAGCTGCTTTCGGTTGAGCTTTTCTCTGCGAACAACGAGAGCCTCTCGCCGGCGGAAAAGGCAGAACTGAAGAAACGCCAACTGTTTTTCCGTTTGCGAGAAGTCATGGCGAACATGCTTCCCGCACTTGACGAGAAACTGGTTGTGCTTAACTCAGCGACCAAGACCAAAGACAAGGGTCTCGCCCGCATGAACCACTCGTACGCCGAGCTGGACAATGAGATTAGCCCAGAGGCACGGTATGGCAGCTTGACTCACTGGGCATATGCGGACAAGGAGGAGAAGAAGAAGGGTGGCACTGAGAGATCCAGGCGAGAGGTCGCTTCAGCCAACAATTTGGCGGCGGCGGCCCAACACGTCCATGAGGCGGACTCTATTGCTGCCAAAAGCGAGGCGAGGCGTGAGGCCGTGCTGGCAAAGCGGAGCAGGAATCAACAAGTTGACTCGGACTTTGACGACAAGCCTGTCAAGAAGACTCAGAAGCGGAAAGCTATTGCGACGGATGCCGCGACGAATGGTGCTGTTGGGCTGGGCATCACGAGTAATCCAGCGGCGCCACAGAGCAAACGTAAGAAGACCGAGAAGGCTCTCGCGGCTGCAACGGCCGCCCCAGCTATGGAACGGTCGTTGAGCGGCGCCTTACTCGCCTCGACAACAGGACGCGGTGTGACGAGCCCACGAGCCACGCCAGGCGCAGAAACGACCGCAAAGCGAAAGCAACGAGCTGCTCCTGTCCCTGCCCAGCGAAAACGCGCTGCGCCCGCGTACTCGCCGCCTCCTGCATCATCCCCGCTGGCTTCAACTTTCGCGATTTCGAAAGCCACTGGCAACACTACGGATCGCCCGTCCTCTTCACGCGCAAGAAAGAACTCTATCGCGAACTCCGTCACGTCAGCCGTACCGGATCCTTCGACCGGGCCCCGTCCTTCCTCGTCACACTCCATTCCCCAAATACCTCCCAGCAACGTGATCACAGAATTGGAGCAAGCGGCAGGCATGGCTCGCGACACCAACTCCATCAAAGATGCCTCCACTCCCAAAGAAGTAGTGGATCATCCAGCACCCCTTGAGTCGTCCAACCTCAAGACTGAAGAGCAAGAGGCAATGGCGGTCGAAGACATGGAGATTGATGCTCCTACGTCGGTCCCTATCACAACAACGCGCGGTGGACGCGCTTCCAAAACAGCAACCCCTCTGGTTGGTACCTTCCCTGAAATTCCCATGGCGAGAAGTCGGAGCACACGTACCGCCAATAACGGGAATGGCAATTCGCAGACTTCGTCGGAAAACAACAGTACCACTACCGGCAGTATCTCTAAGCGTGGTAGCCAGAAGAAGAATGCGCAATCCACAGCAGCCGCAGCTCTACCTGCAGGTAGCTCAAAGGCCGGAAAAGATGCTGTCAAGTCTGGGACCTCTTCCAAGGCATCGTCAGTGGCCCCTGATCCTGAATACAGCGACGGGGGCGAAGATGGTGACGACGAGCCGCGGTATTGTTATTGTAACGAAGTAAGTTACGGTAGTATGGTGGCCTGCGACAACGAGGACTGTCCCCGAGAGTGGTTCCATCTCGCTTGTGTCAATATGGACAAAGCCCCCAACGCGCGGACAAAATGGTATTGCAGCGAGGAGTGCAAAGAGGCCGCCGCTCGTGCCAGCGGCAAGGCCAAGGGTGGACGCCCGGGAAGCAGTAGACAATAGGAACTCGGAAGGCGTTCAAGGAGTTCAGGGTCCGGATCTGGGTCTAAGGTAAAACGGACGGGCAAGCTTGGCCTTTGGGATGGCTGGAATGCTCTCTGATTTTGGGTTTCACTTTAGACCTGGGTCCACTGGCGTTGGGAACGGGAAACAACGGGCTCTTGGATTTCTCTGGCACACTTCACCGCAGCGGATGATTATGGGTCTTTCTTGGGTATTTGCTATTTCATGGTTTTTTGCATTGGGATCTGTTCGACTTCGCTTTCTTCATGTGTGTTTTGGACAATGCAACGGCATATCTCCGAGTCGTCAGTTATTCGCTAGGATCGCGATACTAGCAACGTGATGGAGCTTATTCGAATAGAGAAATCTCTACACTCTTCATACGATCCCATCGTGGCGTTCTGAAAGTCATGGATGGCTGTCGTCATTGATCTTTATCCATTGCGGCTCTGCGGCTGAGGTAAATGGACCCTGCATCTATTGCCAAGCCAAGTGCTGTCAGGCCCGCACTCACCGCCAGCTCCGTAACAGAGACATAGGAACATCTGCTTCTAGAAGAAGGCTTCTGGGCACTTCTAGATACACATTTACCTTGTCCTTTGAAGTAGAATCATGGGTGCAGTCGTTCCTACAGCAGAAGAGCAAACCATCATTACACCGGAGCACGGCCCCTCAGCCCCGCCGGACCTCCGCTTCCTCCACTACAACGATGTCTACCACATTGATGCCTCGTCAGCAGAGCCGGTAGGCGGTATTGCACGATTCCAGACGCTGGTGAAGTACTATAAGGATGATGAGCGGTTCAAGGGGCAGCCGAGGCTGCTCACCTTCTTCTCGGGTGATGCGTTTAATCCGAGCTTGGAGAGCAGTGTGACGAAGGGTATGTGCAAGCTTGGTATGGTCTAGGGGAAGCTATTGATGTGTTTGGCAGGTAGTCATATGATTCCTGTCCTCAATGGTATAGGGACTGATGTTGCTTGTGTCGGGGTAAGTTCCCCTTCCCCGCCTCCAACTCTCCATCTGAGAGCTTACACAATGCTAGAACCACGATCTCGACTTCGGCGTCAGGCAATTCCGTCACCTCACCTCGCAATGCAGATTCCCCTGGCTCCTGGCCAACGTCCTAGATCCTGCCCTCGGCGACTCCGTCCCACTGGGCAATGCCCAGAAGACGGTTATGCTCACCTCTTCGAACGGAATCAAGGTTGGCGTGATAGGCCTTGCTGAGCGCGAATGGCTCGACACGATCAATTCTCTCCCACCGAACATCATATACCAGTCAGCGTCCAAAACGGCGAAGGAGCTTATACCGGGGCTGAAAGAGCAAGGCGCAGAGATCATCGTAGCGGTTACTCATCAGAGAGAACCGAATGACAACAAGCTGGCTGAATTGACAGGCGGCGGTCTGATTGACATTGTGCTCGGTGGACATGACCATTATTATAGCCATAGCTTCATCAATGGGACGCACGTTCTCAGATCGGGCACGGACTTCAAGCAGTTAAGCCATATTGAGGCGTGGAGGAAGCCGGATGGTCAGGGGTGGGATTTCAAAATCACGAGGAGGGATGTTGTGAGCAGTATACCGGAAGACAAGGATACGGTGGTGTTGGTGGATAAGCTGACGGCGAAGTTGAGGGAGCATTTGAATAAGCCGGTTGGTACGATCAAACTACCCTTGCAATGCCACTTTCAGGTACTGACAAGACCTACAGGTTATACAGCAGCGCCTCTCGACGCCCGCTTCGTCACCGTCCGCACCAAGGAGTCTAATATGGGCAACTTCGTCACTGATCTCATGAGGTACTACTACGATGCCGACTGCGGTATCATGGCAGCCGGCACGATACGAGGCGACCAGATTTACCCTCCCGGTCTATTACGCTTGAAAGACATCATCAACTGCTTCCCCTTCGAAGATCCCGTAGTCGTACTCAAGGTCACCGGTAAAGCCATCTGGGACGCACTAGAAAACGGCGTGTCCAGCTATCCTGCATTAGAAGGTACGTTGACACATAAACTCCCTCCCTCCTATAGAAGACACAAACCTAACAAAATCGCAAGGCCGCTTCCCCCAAGTTTCCAACATAACCTTCACAACCGACTACTCCCTCCCCCCTTACTCCCGCATCCTCACCGCCCACATCGACGGCGCCCCCATTGACCTCCAGAAAGAGTACGTCCTCGCGACGCGCGGCTACATGGGCCGCGGCAAAGACGGCTACACGTCCCTCCTCATCGAGGAAGAAGGCGGCACCGCAAAGGTCCTCGTCTCCGAGGAGAACGGCGTGCTCATCTCGACCATTTTGCGGCAATACTTCATGTCGCTCAAGGTGCTGGGCAAATGGAAGTACTGGGGTCCAAGCATGGACAGGAAGTTCGGTCGCATGCAGGGGAATTTGAAAAGGACGCATGAGTTCTTGGAGCCGAAGACGGGGGGGAACTCACCTGTGGCGGCCACACATCTCGATCGCGACCAGAGCAATGGTAGTGATATGGCGAGGTGGGAACTCCCGGCCTCGTGTCCGCGCGATTCGGAAACCTACCTCGACGAGAACGAAGATGAAGAAGATGGTGCGGAGTACGATGATAATCAGCCGATCAAGTTCTCGGAACGGGAGTGCGACTTGCTGAGGAGAGTGATGAATAAATGGTGGCGGTTGGCGGGGTTGAAGGGGAGTCCGAGGTTGTGCGATGCGCTCGGGGGTGAGGAGTTGCAGGTCAATTGGACGAGGGCGATTGCGCCGCGGTTGGAGGGGAGGATCAGGGAGGTTAAGGCGGGTGAGACGTAGGGGTGATGGGTTTTGCGCTGCGTGTTGGAGGCTGGACATGGGTGAGCGGTCGCTCTGGGATATAAACTCCAGATTAACTCGAGAAGATAGACAGAGAGTGTGGTACTAAAAAGATACTCGTATCAACAAATTCGCCAATTACCACTCTCTGAATAGAAATCGACTTGGATGCCATCCCCATTTTTGCTTCCCATTTCCGTCTAAACCGTTATCCTGTACATCGGTTCACATAGTTAATTCCTTTCAAGCGAAGAAACCTACTTTCCCGAGATTCCCTCGCAGACGCACAAAATTCCTCTAAACACCACACCACAAAACAACCTCCTGATAAGGTACGCAAACATTATCACATGACTACCACCACCTGCGTGTCACCAGCAGCGCCACTGGCACCGCCACTGGCACCTCCTCCGGTGGTACCGGCTGTATCTCACTGACTCGCACCTCATCACTGAAAGGGAAATTCGCCAGCGGGTGATCGACCACGCTAACTAGAAACAGTATACGATTCTCTAAAGGGATAAGCGTCCTGTATGGAATTCCATGTCCGAGGTGTAAACGTTGTTTGGACTTTCGAGGTTTGTACTGCCTGGCGCTGAAGGTTTGAGGAGGAGGGGCGGTATATCTCGCAATAGTGATTCAACGATCCCGTGAAAACGCCGAACGCGGCCTGCCAACGACATGGCAGGCTTGTGAATTCGGACACACGTGAACTGCTGCGAACCGCAAGTACTACTGTAGGAACATAGTAATGGTGGACTCTGAAGTAAGTCATATCCTAACTCAGTGTCCAAGTCTACCGAGGTAGTCGTCATCCACCGCTATCAACCGCCCTTTCGCTCCGTCAAACAATGCAAATCCATGCCAGCCATGATGTCTGCGAACAGACGGAACGAGTTTCCACTAATACATGATCAGATCTGCCAACGCTGAGCAGATCCATGAAGCTTTCAACGACAATGAGACCGCCAAGTTTTTCCTTTCCCAAAATCCATTAACCGGGTCCATTACCTCTTAACACCGGTCGTTTACCTGTTATGATGATGATGTTGATGTTGTTGATGTTGATGTTGTTGATGTTGATGTTGTTCAAACAAGTCTCCACGAACCCAGCTCATTAGCGGGTTTAGCAGAGCCTGTCGTCTGTGTTGATCGATGGGATTGGTATTGAGTCCACCGCAACGATATTATAGGGCAAATCTTTGATTCACCCCTGATTTTGCAGAGCCCAAGCCGAGCTGGGTCCGGTTTCCATCGAACCCGAATAAACCGCACTCTCAGAAGCCATCCGCGCTTGAGACTGGTATTGTGCGGGTAATGCGTTTTGTTCAGGAAGCTGATGCAAGGAAAGCCCGAGCGGATCGGCCAGTGTGTCTGTCCGAGGAATGGAGGAAGGATAACTGAGCTCAGCGGTTGCCCCTAATATTGATGCGTGGGGCTGCTGTGAAGTTCCCAGTGGCTGCACATGCCGTTCCAGGATATGGTGTGCCATTGATCTAGGTTCTGATGCGCTGGAGGGGCCTGCTGACAATGTCGCTTGATCTAGGCTTACATTCGGCCTGGCGCGATAGGGAGACGGTGCAGTTGCGCCGCCCTGTGGTGGGGTGCTGTCCGAAAAGGGCGGGAACGACGTATAAGCTCGACTACCTGATTGAAGCGGAGTATGCGTGTACCGAAACCCTGGCATTGCACTCGACGTCGGACTGGATGCAGTGTCTAATGCCGGGCCGAAATCGTTTCTGATTTGGCCTGAGCCGAACCTGGGCTGATAGACTTGCGCTGGATCTGCGTTGGCCTGTCTGTAACTGGAGTATTGGCCTGGTGAAGCAAAGGCATTTGAGGTGCTGGGTTGATAGAGGGCATATTGTGAAGCTGAATAACCCCCGGGAATCGGAGTGCCAGCCAACCCCAAGGTCTCCACGTATGCAGCATTATGTCCAGTCTCGGAGCTCCGCCGTCTCTTATGCGGGAGTGGCATCATGCCCAGGTACGGGTTCGGGTCCGGTTGCATGCTCGTATGAAGCAGGAAGTTCGACGAGCGGTACTCATCATCGTACGGGTTTTTCCGTTTGTTGCCTCTGGTTGGTATTTAGTGGTAGGTCTTTACGCTGTCTGCGATACCTACATTCCGCCCCCCTTGGGCTCCTTCCGCAACCTTAACCGACAGCCCTGGTCCGAGAAAGCACGAGAGAGGTAAGTGGACTCTTGCATCCCTTTCCAATCCCTCGGTGGCACGACTGAGCACGTCTTAGCTCAAATGAAGATAAGGATTGCAAAGGGGTGTACCTCTAAACTTGTCGGAAGTGATACTTCCTAGGTATTGCACCTCGTTGGTATCCCTGCCAGGTGTCAGTTGAGTGGTTTTCGAGGAGGCAGGCTGTGCGCACTTGTGCAAATTGAAAAGGCTGAAATGCAAACGAAATTCGCCCGCTATCTTCACCGATATGTCACCCCAGATAAAAAAGGCTGTGTCTACGTAAGTCTTAGCGAAGAGTTACTTGATAAGGCAGCACACACCCCCCCAGTTAAGGTAGTTACCTTGGTTATCAACATCCTTGAGGCGGTGAAGCGACGAGGCTAAACAACCAAGCAGAACGTTGCTCCCATTCTTCGCTAGAGGCTCGTTGACATCCGGTTTGTAGAGGGTCGTGCACATAAACAGGTAAGGGCTTTGCATGTAGAGTCTGCCCGTGTTAGAGTGACGCCAATGATCTCTCTGGGAGCCCACCCACTCAGCTGGGTCTGCACTATGTCGAACTTTGAGCTGAACAACCGGCGGAGGATCGACGGGCTTACGTCCTTCAATGTGTCAATGCTGAAAAACGGGAATGACTGACAGTAGTTTTACCTTTTTCCTTCCCGTCCGCTGCCTGCAGTGCTTCTTTTGGCTGTTGGCGGACGCTCAATATGATGTCTCCGCTGATGAGCTCAAAATTAGTCGTTTCTTCTCGTTTGAATGCCGGATTGGAGCGTGGGTCTGGCGGAAGGCTTCTTTCGTACCTCTCCAGGTTCGAATATGCGTGCATCGGCTGACCAGGATGGCTTCCGATCATGCCAGGAAAAGGATATTGCAACGGTGCCCTGGCTTCCATTCTAACTCTTGATTCTACAGGAACAGAGATCAAGAGGCCCAGACATTCAAAGCAGACCAATGATTTGAAGGTGCGGCGTCTCGAATGACGTATATTCTGGACGATGTGGACGGAGTGTGACAGGGTCAGCCCGACAACAAGTTCATCGAGGCTACGCCAGGGAATATCTTTCGTGCAGGTAGCGAGCGTAAAGGGGTTAAAGACCCCAAGGATAAATTCTTTGACCGAATCAAAGTCAGAAGTCCGTTATCGTGATGACCGTGCTAGGAAGGAGGTCTTGCGAATGAGGTAGACCGGCAACGGCGGTTCCGTTCCGAGGCCGTTCGACGCGTGCAAGAATCAAGAAAAAAGGTCACAGCCAAAGATCCCATGTGAACAATTCTGGACGGCCGAGGACTTCTTGAAACCACCACAATTCCACGGGTGCCGAACTCGTAGTTGCGAGGATAGCGATCGCATCGACCGGAGGAATGCAACTGATCCAGACAGCCAACACGATTCCCCGTAAAGATCTTCGAGTACTTCCAATCAGCTCTTACAGTACGAGGTGTATGGGCCTTCAAGCGGGTCCTCGATTAGTCGAGTAAGTCTTTGCGGCTGCAAGCAATCGTGGTCAGGTCTGGAGCAGTCGAAGTGCGAGGTGATGCGTATATTCGTGTCTGTGCGGGTTTGGAACGGAGAAAGAAGGGGTATGGAGACGAGTTGGCCGAGGTCGACACTGGTGGTAGTGCTTATCGTTGGTAGATATGCTGAAGATGCTCTAAACTCGAGTTTCCAAGAATGATTTCGAAGACGTTCGGAAGATCTCGCTTGTTCTCAGCCCACTCGAGTGAAATCGCGCAAGTCAACTGCTCTTTCCTGCCAAGTCGATACGATTGAACGAGAGACGGTAGATGGTAGTAACCAGGGATGGTGTAAGTGGCCGACAACAATCTCCCACTCTTACCAGCTTGCAGCACTTGGCCAGTCGAATATACAATAATAGCCCTTTATCGACCTCAAGGTAAAATAACTGCGGCCGTATTCCTCAGTGTCCGTCTTCCTTTTTGCCAAGGTATTCGGTCAAACAATTACACAGAACGCGCTCAGCATGGATGGAGCACACTCAGGCAAGGAAGGCAGCATTGACCGCTGATGCATATCTGGGATGGGAGGGCTGCACGGCGGAGCGGGGAACGCAGGGCTTGGACGGGAGGAGTGACCAAAAAGGGCCTGAAACAGAGTGCCAAAGGAGGCTCTATATGGTCGACTCCCACACGGCGCAGACGGCTCCTAACAGCCAAGGCATGTTTTGAAGCACTCTGTAGAACGGGACAATCTACGGTCTGTCACATCTAGGTCTGCGAGGGGACCCATGGCGGCAATGAATGACTTTTGACTGCATATGCGGAATCGACCGCGGCAGTACATGGGCCATGAGGAAAGGTCCCTCTGTTGTGCACCAGCTAACGACATTCCCAGGTTTGAGGGGTGGGATGAACGGCGGCCAGGGCGTCGAACGGGGGACCCGGGTCGCCAGCGAAAGATCCAAAGAGCGTTCGGAATTTAGCCTTTGAAACTACTTTACCTGAAAGGCATGTATATAAAGTCGCCGTTGAGGCCCAATATCTCTGAAAAATGGTCTCCGCACAGCGCTCGCTGTTACAGGCTCAGGTTCCTCTGATCCGTAGGCTCGAGTCACAGGACACATTTGGCTCGGTGGCGACTGGTCCGTCTGAGAGCTCACAGCGGACAAGGTCGTACGGAACACGTCCACGCACATGGCCGCTGGTATGCACATTGTCCGGCAACGTCCGGGAACAGCGCTCATTGCTCAAAGGCGGAATTCGAATGTGGGTGTATCCACGGTGACAGACGGCGTGGGCGCTAGGGGTTTGCTGGCATCTGGTGTGCATCGACAAGCTTGGAATCAACACTGCATATTCGCGTCACACAGCAGAGGCAGGCTCGACAGCGAGATCGAGGACCCGGTTCAACGCATTCTCTTCGACCCTGATCCGCCGGGGATACAGCATGCGGTGGAGATGCAATTATTGGGACATAATCACGGTGTAGCTGTCCGTCGTTGCTCGCCAGTCCTTCTCTTTTTCTCGAAGATCGACCGGGTAGCGTGGGGCGGCGCTGGCGGCAGAATGTGCAAGGAAGATCCGCCGGCGGAGACAGCGGAGAGTGGAGGGGTTGTTGGAAAGGCGGATGATATGGCGGATTGAGACAGGGCTGTGAGGGCTATGAGCGCAGACGCATGGGGAAACGGTGAACGATCGCCGTTGGATCGCGGTGGCTGGGAGCGATCACTCAGAGATGGTACCGCGCCAAGCCTCCGGGATGTCGGCGCCGCGGGACTGGCCAGCACAACTCTCTCCTCCATATGGCTCCCTCCCACAACACCACCACCTTGAGAGAAATTCTACGAGGTTACACCACAACCGTGACCACCCGCTCCCCCTATTCGTGCCGTCGTCTAAACCATCAAGTCTACTCCCGGCCCGCGTCCCAGCGCCGACGCTTGCGGACTAGACAGCCGTCTGAGTCGCTGCCAGCTCCCATTCCAATATACCCAGCCCTGTCCTTAGCACCGTTGCGGTCCCAGGTTCTCTAACTCCTCAAGCTCAACCAGCCTGTCTCTTGCCAACCTTCCACGGCAATCTGCGTGCGACAGGCGCCTGTGCGGCGCAGACACGGTGCTGGGAATGGCGGTTCCGTAACCCGTTCTTGTGCAACCTCCTTTCCCCTTACGTACTCTCAGCCTTCCGCCCCCCATTCCTGCGGGCAGAAGAACATCATCAAATCTGGTGTCCGCACGGCCAGGCGCCGCCCAACATGTCTCCATATCGTTTAATCAAAGATACGCTCCGTACGCTCCTCAATGCGTGAGCTCGGGCCCTGGGCACTCTCCAGCATCGTGAGGCAGGCCTTAGCGACCCGACGTATCTCGAACTCCCACAGAACCTGCCTTCTCCTCACCGCTGGAATGCTTCTCCGCCGCATTTCAAAATCGAATGGCAGCTTCGCCTTCGTCTGGACTTGATTCGACCCTCTCTGTAACGTCAATCTCGGAACAGTGAAAGCGTGTAGGGCTGCTGAGGAGGGTACCTCTACTTATTGGCAGCACCAACAACCCCCAGTACAGCGACTATCTATCTCTGGCCGCCACGAGCGAATGTACATGCGCCACAGAGTTGCTGCAATTCACGGCACATTTTTCATCAGCTCCGCATGTCCTTGGCTGACGAAACCGCCGGCCTTTTTGCCGTTTAATATCGCATCAATCAATATTGAAGAAGCCACCCTGCACGCTTAATCCGCAATCTAGCCGTCGTATGGCCATGCTATCGACTACTCTGAGGTCTATCAGCAGGCTTCCAGGTACACTTAAGTATTGGACTCTTTCAAGCCTCAATCATAACAATCTACCGCGTCTCACTCCGGCAGAGAGGACCTTACACGTCGTTGCTCCATGTCAGGTGGGCTCACTACAGACGAGTCGTCTTCACTGACTTGAGCCATGTCCTCAGATCTCCGACCGAAATCATTTTGTACAATTACTCCGTTCCATCTTTGACAACCAGAAGACCGCAAGAAACGATGCAGCCTGACTCAGACCACAATTTGAACTCTCCTTGACTATCATGTTTTTTTCGTTTGTGTATCGCGAACGTGCGGCGGTGACCCGACTCAACCCCCCGCCTAGGACGCCTACGAGACGCTCCGTGTGCATACCAACATCAGTTGGCTTGCTTCACTGGCGTAACTTTGACATCTGATCACATCACTACAGCTTTTCATCTGAGATGGCAGTGACGTCCGAATCTCATATGGTCAAAGACAGGGACAGACCACACAAGGTCTTCTCTCGTCAACGGGGTCATTTCCACTATATCACTTCCAGCTACATACTTGAATCCCACCGAGAAGGCGTTCGCACCTGGAAATGCGATTCATTCACCGCCCCACAATGCTTACCAAAACTTCTCTGTCCCCTTGAGGGTTTTGAAGCTGGAGAAAGTGCAGGACCTGGCTACTTCATAATTGATTGCAGATTTGGCTCCTATCCCGGTATCACGCAGAAATGGCTTGGCACTAACGTCGACTCTTCCTGGCCCCATAATTTGCGCCATCGATACTCTTCTCATGACATACACGCGTCAGTAGCCTTCACTGGCTGATGAAGGGCAATACAAAAACACCCGCGCTTTTATCTACCCGGCACTTCTCCGTGTTCACTCGTGGGCTGTACCAAACTCCGGAAAGAGCGACCAAAGCAGGGGGCTCGCTGACTTGCGCATGCTGTGTGAGCCAGAACGCAAGCCAACTGCGGCACATGTACGTGTAGTGGCACCACGTTGCGGACGGCACGCGTGCTGAACAATGCTCTTGCCAGTCACATCTCCCATATGGCGCAATGAGGTGGAGAGGGCTCGAGTCGCGCAGGTAGCATGCTCCATGCACCCAACGGTGGGTCGCCTATCGGACCCATGAAACACACACAAAGCGATATGTCGTGGACATTGGCAAAGGCGGGGCGTACCTCAACGGCACTTGTGCCATGTTATGATGGGTCACAACAGCAGGCTCGAGTCCTGAAAAGACGCCGCATATGAGACTCGCGAACCCTCTCAACACTGACCCTTCTCACAACTGTCAACCTTGAGAGACGACTTGTTGATGATCCCATATGTTTACCAAGTCTTAATGGGGCATCCTGCGCCGCATACATGGCCTGGGCGAGCCCAACCTGGCTTTGGCAGCGGTCCCACATTGGTGCAACCTTCGCCGATGGTGACTTCCCGACTCCGGTACCGCTCAGTTCTGCCTATCTGTTATACAGACTGGATGCGGACGGCATATTCCTATCCAATTGCGGGTTTATATCGCACAAATGGTGCAGATATCTGCTGATATGTACTTCACTTATGCGCCAGTTTTATCCGGACTATGCATATTGTAGCTTGATCAAAAGCTTATCACTGTGCGGAGGTGCAGTGTATGCGTCCATCTGTTCGATGCCGGCGTCGTCCACGATGGTTGTGGAGTAGGTGGAGTACAGGGCGGCCACGATGTACTTCATTTCTACGGCAGTGTATCAGCACAGCAGAACGAGGACACCTTTGACGAAAATATCCCTTTCACCGGAGACACAAACGTCAAGAGGAGGGGCAGCACTTACGGTAAATCGCAAGGTGGCTGCCAACACACATTCTGCCGCCACTGTCCACCAGTCAGTCATACGTCTCAGATCATATTCAGCCGCATCACTCACCTCCCAAAGGCCCAGAACCATCGACTCTCCATATCTTTCCTCTTCTCATCTGGAACGTCTTCCAGCCACCGCTGCGGTCTCCACTCGGAAGCCCGCTCATACACATCCTCGTTCAGATGGAGTAGTCCGGCGCTTGCACTCACTCGCACACCGCCCGGAACATAGTAGCTCTTGTCATCAGGACCCAGACGACAGCCTTGTGGAGGGGTAAAGCGCGGCTGCGGACCCGGTATCGCGGAGTGTAGACGCAACGTTTCCCAGATTACGGCATGCAAAAGGGGTAGAGAGTCAACGGCCTTTGCATCTGGTAGGCTCGGTGTAGAAGACGGGACCAGTGGGGGTGATAACGTGAGCAATTCCGCTCGCAACTTCTCTTGGATCTCTGGATTCCTCGAGAGCTCATGAATTACGTAGGTCAGAGTTATACCCGACGTGTCAAAACCTGCTGCTAGATGGTCCAGCACTTCGGACGCGAGTTCGTACTTCCTCTCGAGATTGTCAAGTCCGCTCTTCTTTGCCTCCTTAGCCAGCGCTGTGGATAGCTGTTGATACACTACTGGCACATCCTCGGGCTTGATGTCTGACTGCTCGAGCACCCTCGCCGCACCATCGCACATGGCTTCGGTCCACTTCTCGATTTCATCGTTCGCGTCGTCTACCCATTGCGGAGATAATCGGTAACGAAACCACTTGCGCAGTGCAGTTGTCAGCCGTGGATACTCCTGCGGCCAAAAGTTGTAGGAGCGGCGCGAGTTATACAAGCTGAGGAACCGGGACAGCTCGTCGGGGTTGTCGATGAGGTTTGAGCTTGATGATAGGCCGAAGATGTAGCCCGTGACGATGTCCATGGTCGTTGCATAGAGGAGTGGAGAGATGTTCAGGACGCCTGGCTCTTGTTTTGCATCACTGGGATTGCGGTCCCCAGAGAAGGTGGCAGAGAGGTAGGGCAGGAAGCGGTTGTAGAGGATGGTGGAGATTTGAGCTTTTAGGTAGGGAGAGGTGGTGACGACGGACTTGCTGTAGATGTTGCTGATCATGCGTTTGCGACGTGAGTGCGTCTTGTTGTCCGGCGTGGAGAACATGTTGGGGACTCTGTGAGTTCCGGAATCAGCATTTGGTCCCGTTTTTGAATCAGAATCCCCTAGGGTAGGCTGCAGGCCCACTACACGGCACCCTTCTCACCACCGTCTGCAATCCTAGCCTCACCTTGAGCCGACGAAATCGTCGTCACAGCCCTCCTCCAGAAAAAAAGGGGGAAAAAAAGAACATGCCAACTTACCCCCCATAATTCCCAAAGAAAGCATACCAGTTATATCCCTCCAGCCAATCCCCCTTCTCAAACCCACCCCCGTACACCTCCCTAATCCCGCCCCGCACACAATTCACACTCACCTCCTTCGGGCCCAAGCGCACCACGGGTCCCAATCGATCATGTGCCTCCTTCAGCGTCCGATTCTCGCGGCCTCGGAAGCGGATGGTGGAGATCCAGAGGGAGGTGTATGGGGCGAGGGGGTGGGCTGGTGGGATGTGCGAGATGGTGAGGTGCGAGGTAGATGATGGCGAAGGAGGAGCGCGAGCGGGGCGGGAGACGAGGATGTAGATGAGGGAGAGGAGGAGTAGGGATAGGGCGATGAGGGTGTGGAGATGGGAGAGGTGCAAGGTGGATGGGAGGAGGGAGAGCAGTGAGGATGGGGTAGTTGTGGTCATTCCGAGATTAGAGAGTTGGTTGGTAGAGTAGGGTTGGTTGTAGTTGGTGGATTGCGGCTGTTCCAGGAAGGATTGAGTTGGTAAAGTCCCCGTACCAATTATACTCGGGTGCACTCCGCCCACGGCGTGATGTTCAGAAAACAAGCGCAACCATTTGTGAGGGGAATGAGAGGAGTCACAGTTTCTCGAGTGCGGGCGCATCTATCCGTCAATGGCCGAGGTCGGGCTTTCGGCTTATCGATAAAGGGTGGCCGCCGCTCTTTGCAGACCGAGTCTGTATGTATAAAACTACAACTCCAATTCTTTCTTTATAAGGTGTAATTATTAAAATCTTCATTGCCCGTACACAAGGAACGAAAAAGGTCTAGTAGCTTACAAGGCTGGAGTCATGCTGTATAGCAATGATTCGGCTGCTCGACCTTTTTGCCCTCGAGAGGGCCCTGGTTCGAGTCTTACTGTGTCCACGGTTTTTTGACTTTTTTTTGATTTGAATTAAGTGCCCAGGCGTTGTATTAGTGGTGAAATGATTGGAGAAGAAAGTATTTTCAAGTTTGGTTGGATGAAATGGATCTGTTGTAGCCTGATTGTTGTAGATGTAATGTGATCGAATTATAAATGAGGGCCTATTTGTTCGTAAGGGAATCAGGCCGTTACCTAATTGAACTCTGCATAGTTAGATACAAGGGGTGTCGTTATTGAATAATCGACGCGCGCTATATATATGTGGCCTGATCTTTTAGCAAGAGCTACAAATAACTAGGGAACGATTATATATGTGTAAGGGTACGGAGCTCACGCTGTCCTTGCAGGGTTGTACACAGAATGTTTACGTATACCGAGCAATTCAATTCACAATTTGTAGTATGAACTTTTTCCCTCCCCACTCCCGCCTGCTCACCATCCCATCCAGCTCACACCAGTCTAACAGGCTGCGCCGGCTCCCCCTCGCCCGGCAGTGGAAAACAAGAACACCCTCCATTGCGACAGTTGTACAGTGTCTCATTCCAGCAATCCCTCAGCTGCGTCACAGCCATGTAATCCCACCTCTTGAGATACGCCGGCGTGCTCCCATTTCCTCCATTCGTCGTCGCGTACGCCCCCATCAACGCCCCTGTGAATCCCCAACTGATGGTTTCCGCTGGGACGTCGACTAGTGGGATGACCCAGGGACGGCGGCCTGAGGGTCCGGCGGAGAAGCGGTAGACGGTTTGGTCGACGGCGCGGAGTTCGAGGGTGATGGTGTCGTTGAGCCAGTCGGTGGGGATGGGTTGGGTGAAGGGGGGAGGGACGGGAACGTGGGATTCGGCGCGGAAGGTGAAATGGGGGACGAGAGTTGTGCTGTTTGCTTGGGGGAGGAGGGTGACGCCTAGGCGGGCGTGGTGGTTCTGTGAAAAAGGGATGTTAGGACGTGAATGCGGGTGAGTAGAAAGCGGATGTACCTGGCTTAGGAAGAGCGCGATGCCTGCTTCTTCCCCTTCGTTCTTCGGCCGGAAATCCAAATCGAATTGGAAGTGGGCCCAAGAGTGGGCTTGTCTCCTGCCAACGAAAGTAATTCCCCCTGGTCCGTTTGAGTTGCCATCAATGCCGGTTAAGTTCAGCTTGGATGGCTTGAGCTGTAGCCAGTTTTCGTGACCCTTCGGCGAAATGACATAGTTGCTCTTTACAGGGGGCCGCCAGTATACGAAGTGCGGTGGTAGCTTCGAGCCGGGCGGGAAGTCAAGTAGAACGTCTTCACCGCCAGCAGCTTGGCTGGATACAGTATATCAGTATGATCATTCAGATGAATGAAGGTTGGGAGCATGTGTATGACATACCCGTCTCCAGGAATAGTTCCTTCTACTTCGGGCAACTCCAACCCGGGAATTTCACCGTGAATTGGACTGTTGAATACAGGCCAGGCTCCACGGTCCCACGTTACGTTTGTCAGAACGGTTTCACGCCCCATTGGCCAGTTGATATATTCCGGGCCAGAACGGACCGCGAGGGCAGCAGCCCACCTACTTTGTCAGTGCCGATATACTAAAAGAATCGATGGAGTTGTACGTACCAGTAACCATCTACATCTTGAAATAAGTCGGCGTGCCCGACCGCCTGCACTGCCGTTACACGTTAGATAGAACAATACGCTGTTGGGCATGATCTCTTACAGTAAAGCCCGGTATTCGCATTCGTCAAGACGGGGTTCGCCGGATTCGGGTCATATGGGCCGTAGAGATTTCTCGATCGAGCCATAGTCTCCTTATGTTCCTTGCCGGTGCCGCCTATACATCATCAGCTATCAAAAGCGAAAGTCATTACAACGACACTTGCCCTCCGCAATCATCAAATAGTAGTATCCATCCTTCTTGTAGATACGGGGTCCTTCAGGCGCCTGCAGATCAAGGTCAGAGAATCTATGCAAACGAACACGTATATAATCATCTCACCAAGCCACCCGTGCCATTCCATATCTTCTTCCAATCGCTCTTCACTTTTCCAGTCTTCAGGTCGACCTTGGCCATATGGATGCCAGGACTAAGTTTGTCAGCTATACCAAAATCTACTGCTCGAACGGCGCTATAGACATACTCAACGCGCCATGCATGCGCAGCCACAATATGGGATTCCTCATTGTCGTCCCACCACGGGCTAGGATCATATCCTTGGAACGGGAAATGCACTGGGTCCGACCAAGTAGACTCATCCCATATGTTGTCTGTCTCAAATATGATCTTCACTTGCCTGTTAGTCAAGAACCCCGGAAACTAAGATACGGAATACATACGTTATCCCATCTCGACGGATCCAGCTCTGGTCGTTTGTCATGCACCATGGTGGTCACCAGATAGTACGTGCCCCCGTGGTATCGAAGCGTAGGAGCCCAGATACCGCTTGTGGAGCCGACGGATTCGGCGAGTTCGGGGAGTTGGCTGGGACGGTTGAGGACATGGCCTGCAATTATCAGAAAAAAAGTCTTTGAACCGGGGGCTTTGCATGGGACAAAGCAAAGGAGAGAAGATTGGTAGAGAACAGTATGTCTTGAAGAAGGAGAAGATTGTGATGAATTATGCTGACTCAAAATGTGAAGGAGAAATTGGGCAGGTAGTTCAGCAAAAGGATTTCGGAATGCTCGAGGTCCTATGCGGCCTCGTGCACAACATCATTGCAAACCCATTACGCTGCTGCACAACATGTTTCCGGAAAGGAAATCTTGAACTCACCCACCAACTTCCAACTCTTCAAATCCTTGCTCGCATGAATCGGAATCCCCGGGAAAATATTGAAACTGCTCGACGCACAAAAGTACGTCTTTTCCTTCGGGACATGGATACAACTGGGGTCCGGATGCGCCCCGGGAAGAATGGGATTGAAGAGGTTGTCCAAGTCATGGTCTTGCCCCCATCCAGATCCCGAGAACAGCGACAGCGCTAGGAGAATCCGTGAAACGACACTTGAAGCTGGTGCCATAGCTACCGCTGAGGAGTGGTAATGAAGATTTGGCCCAGTGCCTGGATTCACAAGCGTGGGACGGGACTCTTTCGCACAGAGCTCGATTTATCTCTTTTAAGGTATATCATATATTATTCTCAAACCTCAATTGAGTAACGTATCCGCCTATACTGCGTATAAAGCGGCTGGCTACATATAGAGGGGCCGCGCATCCCTAAGTAGAAATCAGCCGCGACATAGATTAGATCTTCTTGTCGTTACCGGGGTTGGGCTTCCTGTAGTAATGGCATTCCCGAGGAACGCTTCTTCCATGTTCCAGAGGATCTGGAGTAGTACCGGGTAAAACACATACGCTTGCATTTCTTTCGAAAACGCACATTAGCCCCACAGCCTGTGTTGGGGGAATTATATTAATTGAGTGGGCACGGCCGTAATGGGGAGGTATATTGAGATCGGGATGAACGGAACGGATGGGAGACGATGAGCTCGGGCGGCCACGAAGCCCTTTCAGTGTGTTTCTGGTGAATGCTGGGTGTTGAAAAGCGAGGCCGCAAGGAAGGCCTCGTCGACGCTGTGGATTTTCTGCAATCTGCCAGTGGAAAGAGTATCAGTAGCACTGATTGCGACGAGGAATGCACCCACGTTCTGTTGAAGCAAATGCGGGGTGTGCGGTGCCTAGCTTGTCAGCATTGCTCTGTGAATCCTGATTAATCTTCATCATGTCGGCGAGAGGTAGGAGGCTCAATGATCGACATCGAACTCGGACAAAAATCCGTCCAAGCCGACAGTAGCCTTCCGCTTCTCGAACATCCAAGAACGGCGTAGGGTCTGTAAGAAAACAGCAACAAATGATACAAAGCGCAGAAAGCGCATTATCCGTTCGTGTGTTATTGAATTCCACACCCGAGTTATCTCTACAAACAGGCAAGTCCCAAGTCGAAACAGCGTACCCTCTAAGTACCCAAACAGAAATCAGGACTCGGCGAGCTGACACCAGAGATTGGACATCTGCGCAGGTGGAACTGGGCTTAGGTACGCCTCACGCGTTGGCCATCATTACATCCGCCATGTCATCCTCTTCTCCTTCCGCATCGATATCGTCTAGCTCACCATCTGCGTCTAGATCGCTGCCGGCTTCATCATCCACGGCACTCTGTCCGCCCTGAATGGCACCGCCCTTTCCCTTGAAGCCAACCACGTCCCGTGGGCTGCCAGTATAACTCCTCGTACGCCTCGTGACAATACCATTCATTGGCTTTACTGCTCCGCCATCACCGCTATCGTCACCGTTGATGCCGTTGATCACGCTCTTCCCAAGTTGACTCCTCGTGCGCCTAAGGTTGATGCCAGCGGTGGTGGAAGCGTTTACCGAAGGAGACACCGCACCATTTCCGTTCTTGTTGGGCGAAAGTTGCATTCTTGGAACGGGTGCGGTGGTGATCGACAGTGGCCTCTGGCGAGAACGGTTGGGTGTACTGGTCCGGCGGCGAGAACCAAAGGGACGACCTGGCCTACGCTTCGCTGACGGCAATCCTGGTACCGGTGGGAAGATTTCGTATCTCGTAGGTGGTATAGCAGTGACTCCAGGCTCGGACTCCCCTGCAGTGGATGTCGAGCCGTTCGCCAAGGGAGTGGAAGGTGCTGGCGATTCCCCATTTCCAAATGGTTTGCCGACCACGGCGGATGAATTCTGTTCATCGGCCGCTTTGACAGCCGATTTACTGTTGTTGAGAGTTTCTTTGGACACGCCATTTTTGCCTTCAGCAAGTTTCAGTTGCCGAGTCTCTTCCTCCATAGCAGGTTTCGCCTCTTCAAGAGGCTCGTCTCGCTGCTGCACCGTATGCATCGCTGGACCGTCCTCGTACTGCCCCAGGCGTCCCTGCACATAGGGTGTCCAGACCAGGCATTCGGGTTTGATCTTTGGGTTGTTGTTCGCGTTGCATTTCTCGATGTACTGTCTGAAGTAGGCGTAGTCCAGACGAAGAGCGTACGTCTTCGTTACAGGATCCCGGACCAATGCGCGCAACCCTTCTAGTGCGGAGACAATGTCATCGGGCGTCATTCCCGTCCTCTCCGATATCGCCGCGATACTGATGGGTCCTTTCTGATGGAGCAGTTCTTCGCATAAGACTAGTCTCCAATATTTGCGATAGCTAACCAAACCCATATCGCTTAGTGGCTTCTCAGGACTCCCCGTCTTCTTCTCTTTGCGGGTAAGAAGGTAGGAAAATTCGATCAGATACTGTCCGTACCCTTTGCGCATGTGGATGGGGAGCACAAGGATGCAGGAAACGTTGTTCATCGAACTCGAACGCTTTTCCTTGGAGAAATAGCCCACGAAGTGACAGCCATAGCTGTCGTTCTCGGTCATGACGTAGAAGAGGAAAGGTTCCACGTCGTAGTAGAGGGTTTTGGAACCGAGGAATAACTTAGCAAGAAGGCAGAGATTCTGGCAATACACCGGATTCTTCCGGCCGTCGACTTCGAAGAACGAGTATTTTCCATCGCGGTATATTTCGTCTCCCGGAGGATGCTTGGCGGGACACTTGAGCTGTTCGAGCTATGAGCCTGATCTTCTTATCACGTGAAAGGATTCACTCTTACCTTATGTCGCCAAGCCACATAATCAGAGGCCATGTACTTGAGACAGAATTCACAAATGTACAGAATCCGGTTCTTGCTGTATTCCTCAGGATATGGTGCAGCATGCCAGGTATCAATCTCCCAACCTCCGAAGTTGATGCACTTGATTTTGCTGGGTACCGATTTCGAAGCTTTTGGCTGTGGCTCCTCGCGAGCCTGTTTCTGCTTCCAGTCCTCTTCTGCCTTGAGACGCGCGTCCTCAAACCGCTTCCTGTCAGCTTGTGTAGGATAAGTTTTCGATGTGTCGGCCTCGGCCTCAGACAGTATGCCACCGTAGGGCTTGTTTTTGCTCTCATCCATTTCCTTCTCCACAAAGCCGTAGAACGGCGCAACGGGATACGTTTGGATGGAAGGATAGTGCGAGAACTCTGGCGACGCTGGCTGCTGCTGAGTAGCCCTCCTGTTTCTGTCACGGCGCTCTCTGTCCCTCTCGCGTCGCGCTTCCAGGCGCGGATCGACTATCTTTTTCTTAGGCTTGGCAGTAACGATCTTCTGCACCTTCTCGTTATTGAGGTGAAAGACGACCACCAAACTGAGCGGCCCAAGCCCCGACTCCTCCTCGATCCAGACCAATGGCCGTTTATCAGTCCGCTTGGGCTGCGTTTGGCGTGAGCGTGTCGAACGAAGGCGCAGGGACCCGTGTTCTGAAGCGGAAGGGTGGATGCCTTCACCGTCAGTGTCATTATCAGTGCCCGTGGCATTCCTAAGCGAGGCAGCGCCTGCCTCCGACCTGGAAAATTCAGATGATCGCCGCTTCTTCCTGGTCTGCCTCACTGAATGTTCCTCGTCATCCAGCGAAGACTTCCGTTTCCGTAAAGAACGCGACCCGTCTAGAGGGTCGTCAGGGAGAATTAGATGGTTGAACATAGAGTGACTGGCAGGACCTGCGCCACGCTGAGAGGGCAGCAGATCTCGAGCCAGTTTAGGGACCGTTGATACTCTACTTCCCGATGGGGATACTTCAGAGTCCTGGGCTCCACTGAGCTTGGCGTTCTGTAGGCACGCCAGGCACCGCCAGTCTTGAGCATCTTGAAAAGGGTCAGCAAGAACTTCGGACTGAGATGGGAGTTTCTAAATCCCAGGGGGAGTAGATGCGTTCAAATAAGGTTGAAACCCGGCGTACCTTCGTCGGAGCTAAGCGTATTAGCGTTTCGGGCGCATTGCCGATGAGCTACGGAACATAACCATGTCAGCGATCCGAAAATATGCAAGCCCAAAACACGACAAATACTGTTCCACGCACCATGATCTCCGCAGTCTCTGCAGGTAAGATACTCTTCGAATTCCTCGCTCGGATCATTTTCTTCGTCATTGCCGCAAAACCTGTCACTGTATCAATCTCACTTCTCAGGAAAACATCCACCGACGCTACTTACGTGCAATCATTCGAGCTTTCATGCTCTTCTCCGGAATCCTCGCCATCTTCGCTCTCGCCCTGCCAGTCATTCTCCGCCTCAGACGACTCGGAACTGCCATCTACCGATTCTCCGGCCTCACTGGTCTTGGCATCTGAAGCAGTGTCCACTGCGCTTAGATCGTCGACATCGTTCTCCTCGTCTTCCTCGGACAGTGCGTCTGTTCCTTCTGGCACCTTTACAGCGCCAACATGATCCTCCTCATCATCAATTTCTTCGCCCTCAGCGTCCAGATCTGAGTCTTCCGCGTCGTTCGGTCCCTCGTCCCGGTTGCTCGCCTGACCTACTTGATCATACGTCATATCGTCTTCTTCGTACTCCCCATCTATGTCGTTCTCATCCTCACTGGCGTTGGTAGGAGCTTGACCCATGAACCGGACAGGCTCCGGCATCCCGAAGGAGACGGCACTCGCCAGCTTGTACACCAGAGAAGCCAGCGTAACTTCTTTAGTGAGTATACAGTGTCTATTGTATTAGCCGTGCAAACGACGGGTACCGCGACGGTGTAGTCATGAAGTAGGGTGAGTAGAGCCCGAGCTTGTGCTTAAAGCGCGTCCGTAAAGCTCGCAGAGCGTGGAGGGTCCTAAGAGAACCGTGTTTCAGCTTATATCGGACCCTCTAGAATGCGTTAGAGGTTTGGGTTTGATGCGGGCGGTCCTAGGTCGCGTTGTCCCAACACGGCGAGCGGATGGGTGCTGGAGGCGGGCGCAAGGTGGACTTCTTCGTAGCTACGGCGGAAAGGAGGCGTATTCGCGACTTGGCGGACGGAGAGAGAGTGGGCGACACTTAGAAATGTGGTCTTATTGTGTTTAGAGCGCGTGGTGGATGAGTTTTGGCTCTCTCGACAGGTGCCCCCCTAGCATGAGTGAAGGTGAGGGTGGGCGCCAAGCCCGTGGCTTCTCTCCACGGAACTAGCTTCACGCTCATCCCTCAACCGCACTGCAACAGCTCCCACCATTTCATCCACCACGCACCGCCTTGGGCGACTCTCGCAACCATGGGTGTGCCTTTCGAAGCCTTGATCCCTTATGGGATTATGCTTGGTGTACGCAGAGCCCCCAATTGTGTGCACCGACGCCGCTAACATCGGACCCAGATGTTCGCATTCAGCGCTGCCTCTGTCAGCAAACTTAGGGAAATCCAAAACGGAGGAAAGAGGGCGAGACGCGGTATCGACGCTTGGGATCAAGTGAGTGGCCTGTCGTTTGCGCAGGGGAGCTCCAGCTAACCGTCTTGCAGCAAAGTAGGAACTCCCACGATGACCTCATGCCTATATACTAAACATAGGCTCAGTGTTGGAACGCGATAGGAGATTGACGGGCTTTGTACGAGGACAGACAGATAGGCCGGAGGCGCCGCCAGGGTTCGAAGTCAACAACCCATGGAGGGTAAGGAATCCCCAGAGGATGGTGCAAAAGCGTCACCAACTGACAGGTTTATAGGTCGAGAAGAGGTTCTACTAGATGGAGTCGCCAACCAATATGAATTTCATCTTTCAGATCACCATATTCGTCCCAAAATGGTCACCCTCTTGTCTGAGGTGTTTGCATGACGATATCCAATATGTATATACGAAACATGAACAGAGCGCTCAATGCTGCCTCGCTTCCACACCTCAGCTCAACCGCGACGGTAGCCCCTTAATATGCTCTCTCTCTACTGGTGAGAAGACGATTCCGAAATGCTCCTCAAGATGCTTCAGCCGGTCCTCTTCGGTCTCGAATATGATCTCCTTTGTTTTCTTCCCATTGATTCTCCACTTGATATCGCCATTATTCATTATGAGCTGGCCAATGATATTGCCCTCATCATCCAATACCTTCCTCTCTGCCACTATCACCCTCGTGAAGAAACTTCGTTGGCTGGTACTGGTAAAGTAGTTCATGACGGCATAATCGCAAGGCAGGAACTCGAGCTCGGTGAAGCAGTACATCATCTGGAAGTCGCTTTCATCATTTATACGAACTTCGTACACCCAGAGTCTCTGGTCTGGGTCACTGTTGCCGGGAATGTTGCGCCACTGGAGGCGTGCAGATGCCGGGTTGATGTGCGGTTGCACAAGCCCATCCTTGTTGAGCTTCATTGGGACGACGGGGCCATTTCCACCAAAGCCGACATCAACATGATATCTGTCACGACCAATCGTCACAATGTTCGCCATATGGCTCCTGAGACGGTACTTGTCAGCGCAGCGATTGGGTGAGGGGTACGTCGCAGGGTGATTATCATAACTTGGACGGCGGGAATGGCCGAGACGCGCTTACCATCCAATCCAGTTGCCAGTATCATAAACACGGGCCCCAACGCTGAAGATTGTGAATCCCAAGGTATGCAAAACGGTGCCAAAGAGCGTATTGTTCTCCATGCAGTAACCGCCTCGTCCATTATTGTCACCGACAATCTTCTTGAAGAGATCCTCGGGATGGATAGATATCTGACGATGGAACGAATAGTGCAACGTGAGGTTTTCGAACGGCACATAAGCAAGCTGATATCTCTGAAGGAGGGAGAGGTACTCCAATGCCTCCTCATTGGTCAGTCCTGCAATGTCATATTTTCGGTGCTGTTCTGGTAGCTTTATGCGGTTGAAATACGCCTCAATCTGCTCCCTGGTGTATGTTGCTCTTTGAGGGCTGGATGACATTTTCCCTTGCAGTGAATCTGTTTGCTGACTCTGCTGACTCTGTGTCTTTGTCCCAAGAGGAGGGGTCAAAGATGACCATGCATAATTGATGCTGACAGTTCCTGGCACGTGACTAGTTTAGTAAGTGCCCAGGGTTAATTCGCGCTTCCCCTAATGTGGCTACGCGCGCTCTTCCCCGACAGCCCGCCCCTGACGGTTTCGTGGAACTGGGACATGGTCGAAACGTTGGTCGCCGCCAAAAGAAACGAAACTTTCACTGCATCGCGCCCTATTCGGTTTCCCATCGTTCTCCTTTTCCTTCAATACGACGCCATGTCTTCCAGCCGGTAGACTCGGGGGCTTGCTTCTCGCTCTGTCCCCGAACGCGCGTCCGTACCTGTTCTCTCACTGCGCCTCGCTTTTCAGCTCCGTTACACTCATTCCCGACACTCCTTTTCCAAGATGGCGGCCAACGGCCTGCGAACCCAATATCCCTACGCCGACGCTCGAAGTCCACGAGCATTGTACGATTATCCATCGCCCACGTCGAATTATCCTTCTGGCATAGGCGGCGCATCCCCCGGGTTGTACCCCATGGTTTACCAGAACACCCCACGCTTCGGCGGCAGCGTGTTTATACCTCCTCCGGATGTCTTCATAGAGCGAGGGGCGGACTCCGGTGAAGACAAAGGCTCAGAAATGGCGCGCGAAGGCCGCATACGGCGTATGGAAGCCTTGAGTGACCCAGTCGCGGCGCATCTGCTGGTCGAGACGGCTATAGGGGATAGCCAGCACTTTGAGGTCCTTTCTATTGAGGAGGTGGAGGCGCTGAAGCAGGAGCAAAGGGCACTCGATGCTCGCCTTGGCCCACTGAAAAAGAAGCTAGAGTCGGAAACGAAGATTCGAGATGCAGCACGCTCGCTCAATCGTCTCAGCTCGAAGAGGGATATGGGGCATAAGAGGGGTCTGAGCAGTCGGGGCAGCAATGCGGTTCAGGGCCCCTCGAAAGGGTCAGAGGAGGAGGAGCTGGCCATCAGCAATCAAAAGGTGGACGAACTCACAAAGGAATTGCTCGAACTGGAAATGCGCATGCGCACGATTGATACGCAGCTTCTGATGCACACCGCGGCTATTCTGCAAATGACACACAATGGACCTACAAGGAAGAAACGTAGTCTACAAGGAGCACAGGCCGGAGTGCAAAGGCCAGATAGCCCCGTCAGCCTTGATACATACGATACCAGCTCGAAAGGACGGTCAAGGAGGGATGATGAGTTTGACGAGAGGAGCTTTTACAGGACACCGGAGAATCTCGATAGTCTGATGGACGCGTTACTGAATGGCACGCACAACCATCAGGACTCTGTAGTTGCAGAGTTCGACAGTGGATTCCTGGATGCTACGACAAAGCGTATCGAAGAACTTAATGCTCGCGCTCGGCATCTGCTTGTACAAGCGAACCCCCAGCGGAACAGGACATATTCGATGCCACCTCCACTGCCCGGCGGTACCCAGGATCCCTCCGTAGTCGATCAGCAACTTGACTTCCTGGATAAGAGTCTTCGCGATATGAGCGTTGAACTGGAACATTCGAAGGATTCTTCAAAGCAATCCTTGCAGGCTGTTGAAGGCCGACTTGATGGAGTCAATAACCAGCTCTTCGCCATGCTCAGCCGAACGGACGACAAATCGCTTCCCCCTCCACCAGCCACTGATGATGGCGTGCAGGAACAAGTCAATTATCTGGAGGATTCGCTCTACCAACTTGAGCAAATCCACTCTTCCATGTCTGAACAAGTGAGAGAACTTCAATCCCAGGCCCAATCTATGACCGAGCAGATGGACCAGCTGCGTTCTCAAACATCCAACAGATCAAACAATGAAAGCAGCCAGTACGAGACTACGCTCATGGGGCTCTGGTCTATCATGCAGGCAGGCGATGAGGACGCGCGACAAAGAAAGCGACAGCGGCGGGAGATGTTAGCAGCGGATCCAGATGCCGACGAAGAATTGTCACCTGACGAAGACTACGATCCCAACGAGCAGTTCTCCCTGACTGCATTTTCTGCGAAGGTCCAATCGTTATATAGCAAGGCAACTTCACTCAAGGAGAAACAACGCATCCTTGTGCGTCAAATCAAGCAGCAGCGCGAGCTCAACAGTCGCTCAGATGCACAAAAAGAAGAACAGTTCGAGCAGCTCAGGGAGCAGATACTCAGCGCGAGGTCGGAGAAGGTGTCCATGGAGAAAGAGCTGGAACGGGCCATTGATCAGTTGAGACAATTCGATCAAGAGAAGATTGAGGCAGAGTCCCAGGCTTTGAAAGAAGCGCACGAGCGGATCCATACCTTGGAAACCCAATTACGTGAAGCTCAGGATGACTCCCACGTCGAGGCTGCCACCATCCGCGCTGAGCTAGCAGAAGCGTCGGCGAAAATGGATGAGGTCGCAGCGGCACTACGTACGGCGACGCAGGAGAAAGAAGAGGCTCAAGCTCGTGCTGTGGAAGCCAATAACCTGCTCCAGAGTAAGGAGACTGAGCTGCAGAACCTGAGCCAACTCATGGATGCCAAGGAAGATGAACTACGCAACCTGGGCGGTCGTCTTGAAGCTCAGGCGAACGAGCTTCAAGAGATGAGCAACCGTGTCCAGGCTCAGGAGAGCGAACTACGCGAATTGAACAACCTTCTCCAGTCCAAGGATAGCGAAATCCGCGACATGGAAAGTGAATTGGTGCGTCTCACCACGGAGGTGACGCTCGCGAAAGCGGAGCTTGACGGTGCTTACGGCACACGCGCCGAAAGAGCGGCGGAAAGCGGTGCGCCCATCAGGAAAGAACTGGAAGAGCTCTCAGCAAGAAACGCCGCTCTGCTCACGGAAATCGAAATGCTCAAGAGTGCCCAAGACGCAGCATCGCGCAGCGAGGCGGAAGCGCGAGAGTCGGAGAGAGCGCTCAAGCAGGAGCTGACAGGCATGGCTGCAGACTACGAAGCGCTCACGCGTGACCTGATCCAGAACGAGAAGGATCGCGATGTCCTTGAGGCTTCGATTGATCGGTTGCGAGATGAGAAGGAAGCTCTGGAGTTGGAGCTTTCGGATGAGAGGGTCAAGTGGCTCGGCATTCGGAGCCCGGGTGCGCCCAACGGCACACCAGGAGCTGCTGAGGCAACGTCCATTCGTATGCTTAGGGAGGATTTCAGGAAGATGATGAGGGATCGGACCGCAGAGGGTCTGAGAGCATTACGAGTAAGTCCTCCTTGTGCTGGTGATCGAGGCGGAAGGCTGACATAATCCTAGGCTGAGCAAGAAGAACGACGCAAACTGGAAGCACTGGTGCGCACGCTTCGCCGAGAAGCAGCGCCGCAAAAGTCGGGCCTTAGCAAGCAAATGACGGCATGAGATGTCGGGATAGACAAAAGGGATCGACTCATGATATACGCATCGCACGTGGTTGATTGATATATAGACATGTAGCGGAGGATGTGCTTGGCATTTAGCGGAGTATTGTGGTTCTTGTCCTCATTTCCATCTTGTTGTATCATCAGGAAAGCACATGTTGGATCATCGGTTTCTCGAGGGTTTGTCCTCGATAGGCGCAGTACATAATGTTGATATAGAAGGGCCTATAAGACGGGCCTATAGTGCGGTGTAGTATTATCGGCGGAATCCACATGCTAGTACAATGATCATCCGGACGGCACAGTTATACTGTGTTCAGACGCCGTCCTGTTCCCGTCAAATGCCCTTTTTGTACGGAGCAATTTCGTTATAAGCGGAGATGAGGTTGGGGGGTATCCACCTCACCGTGCGGAACAACGTCCAAACGCCAAGGTCCGCCACCGTTCAGCGTTGCAATCCGTCGGTTCCGCCCCAGCATTGTGGCACGGATATTACCATCTGTGACGGGTTTAGAACTGTATACGGAGTATTTATTATGTATATCCACTGCTGACTGACTTGATTCATATGAAGGCGGCACAGCACCTGCTCCTCACCCATCCAATCTCTACTTGCAGTCTCACCGTTGGCTCTGATCCACCCGATGGGAGACACCCAGCCGCTTTCCCCGGCGTGAAGAATATATTATTGAAGGAGGACGGCAACACAACTCAATAGTGAATGGCGGAGCGGGGCATCATGGGCGTCTGAAACGGCCTTGTCTAACGGGGCGCTGATTGGCTGTGGAGTGGTGTTACGAGCGTTTCGAAACGACACTGTTCCTGATTTGGAGAAGACCTGCGGGCCCTGTAGGCGGCCGCGCGGCTGGGCAAGCCTGGGCATCAAACATGTGGCTCAGCGTCATCCACACGTCCTCCAGCGTCTCGGCCTTTCACCTGCCTCCTTAAACCGTCACTTGCTCAGCGGACAGGGGCTGGCAATCGGGGAGCAGGGGGCAGCAAACAAATATATCGGTGCGATTGTCCGTCATCACAATGACCACTCTTTCAACCTCTTCTCTCCTTCTTTTCCCTCTCCCTCTTGCGGCTTCAGTGAAGCATCCACGTTCTTTTCTTCTCTTTATCCTCGTTTCCTAGCTACCGACTCCTGTACTCTCCGCCTTTGGAGAGCACCGTCTCGCACTCATGCGCTTCTTTTCTTTCCTGGGAGCTGCGCTCTTGCCTTTTGCTGCCCATGTGGCCGGCGTTAAGCTCGACCCAGACAGTGAAGGTTTGTGAGGTCATTCTTTTGATCATGTCAGAATCTCACGCACTCTTCGGTTAGCATCGATCAAAGCCGCCACCGCTCAATATGCCCGAGGCCTCCTATCATTCTACAAGGGGGATGCTGAGGGCCTTCCCAAAGAGGAAATCGGTGTATTTCCCAAACCGCCTTATTATTGGTGGGTATCTGGGGCAGCATGGGGGGGAATGATCGAATACACGAAGTTTACTGGTGATACTTCGTATGTCAAGACGCTTACACGTGCCCTGGTTGCGAATTATGGTCCCAATAACGATATTCTCTTGCCGTGGAAAAAGGACCAGGAGGTAGAGGACATGTCGTCTTCGTCAAATGAACATCCGGTCTAACGACGTCACAGGGCAACGACGATCAAGCGTTCTGGGCGCTTGCACTCATGTCGGCACTCGAGTACGACTTCCCAGACCCTGACGAGAAGCCGCCTGCATCCTACCTCGAAGTCGTTGAGAACTGCTTCAACAACATTGTTCCCCGCTGGGACCTCACCTCCTGCAATGGAGGCTTCAAATGGCAAATCTATCCAGAAAATGCATACGGATGGAACTACAAGAATTCCATCTCCAACGGCGCTGTCTTCGCCCTGGCTGCCCGCCTCGCCCGGTACACTGGCAACCAAACTTACGCCGATTGGGCGGTCAAGATATGGGACTGGTCAAAGGCCATCGGCTTGGTCACCGACAAGTACGAGGTCTTGGACGGCACCAGCGACAAGGAAAACTGCACCGATCATGATAACACGCAGTGGACGTACAACATCGGCATGTACATGCACGGCGCCGCAGTCATGTACAACTACACCAACGGAGACCAGGCCTGGAAGAGGCATGTCGCTGGATTCATCGACCACTCTTCGTTCTTCTTCAAACCGCACGATAACGCCCCGGATATCATGTACGAAATTGCATGCGAGACTGGGCAGACCGGCCGCGCTTCGTGCAACGTTGATCAGCAGTCATTCAAGGCGTACTTTGCCCGATTCCTCGCCAAGACAGCTATCATGGCTCCCTTTACGAGAGATCAGGTGACGAAGTGGCTTCGAGCTTCTGCGATCGGTGCGGCTAAGTCTTGCTCCGGAGGTGCCGATGGAGCTACTTGTGGGAGTAGGTGGTACACTGGCTCCTGGGACGGTGCTACGGGCGTAGGACAGCAGTTGTCTGCGTTGGAAGTTACGCAGGCGCTGTTGACCTTGAGAAAACACGTTGTACCTCGTGTGCAATCGGGCCCTGAGCCTGCTCCTCCGTTGAGGAGCTCGACGGGAGGAGCAGTCCCGACAGCTACTGGGACGGCGGTAAAGAAGCCAAAGCCATCAGAAACACCAAAGCCGTCAGGAACTTCAAAGCCATCAAAGGCGCCAAAGCCTTCAGAGACGCCGCAGCCATCTGAGACATCCAAGGCTACAGGCTCGCCAGCGACTAGCGGCGCTCCGGCGGCTCCCGAATTCCAAGATTCGGCGGAGACTCCATCCCCTCCCTCCCCATCTGGAAGTGGGAAATGCAACTGCAGCCCAAAGAGCACCACGACTGTTTACGTACAACCCCCTTCGCTCACCACCGCGCAACCGGCACCCCCAGGGGATATCGCCACGACACCTCTCGGCTCTCAGGCCCCACCGAGCAGCTCACCTTCCACCACCCCGAGTGTGCCGGAGAATGTTTTCGACGGAGCCGCAGTGACTGTCAGGCGGCCGGGCGTTGCGATGGTAGCTGGTCTGTTGGGCGCTCTTCTGTATGTTCTTTTGTAAACTGCATTCGAGGTGCATATTTTGCTTTTCGGGTACTCTATCATTCTTCCATGCATCTGCATAGACAGACTTGCATTTTTGTAGATATGTTTTTTTCTTGTACAACAATACTTACCATCGCGGTCTTGAAAGCGATGCGGATCATACCTTTTAGAACGCTCATCTTAAACACTTTGAAATATCTATTGCACATGTAGATATGTTGAAGGCCTAGTCGTTTGCCAAGCGATGACGCCATACCGCATTCGGCCACGCTGTGAATAGCTTCCCCCTGCCCGCTCCGACAATACCCCACCATCCCGATCGACAATTCGATACCGTCCGACTCCCATCCATCCGTTCGGTCCATCCGCATCTCTAGTCCGCGCGAGGACCGCTCCGATTTCCGCTACACCCCTCACTCAGGGCTAGATTTCTCAAACGTCACAGCCGAGCACGCACACAAACGATCCAGCGTCTCGTCCCTCCAGATCTGACGCGATACCCACACGTATCATGGCCTAGCTCTCCACTTATCTATACTGTATCCACCACCCCTCAAGTTATACCGCCGAACGCTCGTTCTATGCAATCATTTCGGCGCGTCATTCGCACGCATTCCAGAAGCTTCCAAGATTAAATCGCGGTTGCATCCTCTTTCCAGCTCCATTCACTACCATTCCTCTCTATCAATTCCCTCCACGTCTCCAACCTCGACGACCCCTAGCTCCGGAAGCTTTGACCTTTACCCACCACCGCCGCCGCCGCAGCCATGCCGAAGAACGACAAGGGGTTGATGAACAAATATGTCTACGACGCGTTTCTGTGGACCTTCTCCATACTCGTGGAGCTCTTCTTCCGAGAAGTGCATCCGAGGAGTTCGTGGAAGATTCCCAAGGAGGGGCCGGTGCTGTTTGTGTGCGCTCCGCACGCGAATCAGGTATGTTCTTTCAATTGCCTTACGAAAAATCGTACACTGCAACTGTGTCGGCGAATGATGCTGATCTTCCGCGTACAGTTCGTCGACCCCCTCATCCTCATGCGCTGCGTGAAACAGGAATCCGATCGCCGCATCCACTTCCTCATCGCCGAAAAATCAATGAAGCGCAGATTCATAGGCACAATGGCAGGACTCACCGGCGCCGTATCCGTGGGACGAGCAATGGACTCCATGAAGCCAGCGGTTGGCAAAATATACCTGCCCGACCCGGTCAATGATCCGTGTCTCGTGCGGGGCGTGGGCACGAATTTCGAGGAACCGCCGTTCCAGGTTGGAGGCACGCTGTATCTGCCCAAGGTCAACGGTGTGTCTGCCAATGCGGAGATTGGAGAGATTAATGGGCCGGAGGAGCTGAGGTTGAAGAGGCCGTTTCGAGGAGGAGTAGCGATGCAGCAGACGACGGGAAGGGATGATATGACCAAAGACGGGAAGTTTATCAATGGTGCGGAAGGGAAGACGGGTCCTGCGCCTGATTTTCAGGGAACGGATTTCTTGGTGGCGCCGAAGCTTAATCAAAAGGAGGTCTATGATAAGGTGCATGCTGTGCTTCATGCCGGTGGGAGTGTGGGCATTTTTCCTGAGGGAGGTAGCCATGATCGGACTGACCTCTTACCATTGAAAGGTTGGCATGGTCTCTTGTCAACATGCAAGGTGCATCGCTAATAATCCGCAGCTGGCGTCGCCATCATGGCACTGGGCACCGTCGCCGAAAAACGCGACTGCAACCTCAAGATCGTCCCTGTAGGGATGAATTATTTCCACGCCCATAAGTTCCGATCACGAGCTGTCATTGAGTTCGGCAATGCCATTGATATTCCAATGGATCTGGTTGACAGATATGTCGCCGGAGAGAGGCGAGAGGCCATTGGCACCATGTTGGAGATCGTTCGGGATGCTCTCCTCTCTGTTACTGTTACCGCGCCAGATTACGAGACACTCATGGTATGTTAGCGAACCCAGATTGCATCAACAGACGACTGACTTTTGAACAGCTCATTCAGGCCGTACGGCGCCTCTACAACCCGCAGGGCAAGCGTCTCCCGCTACCATATGTCATCGAGCTCAATCGCCGCTTGATCCAAGGCTACACCCGTTACAAGGACGATCCACGCATTATTGACCTCAAGAAGCAAGTCCTTGAATACAACCGCCGGCTCTTCGCGGTCGGCATTCGAGACCATCAACTTTCCTACGCCAAACGCGACTTCGTCACCATCTTCTTCACCTTCTGGTACAGGCTCATCAAGCTGTGCCTCCTTTCTATCCTGGTTATTCCCGGGCTGCTCCTCTTCTCCCTCGTCTTCATCTTCACAAAATGGATCTCCATCAAGAAGTCTAGAGAAGCGCTCGCGGCGTCCAACGTCAAGATCCATGCGCGCGACGTCATGGCTACCTGGAAACTGCTCGTCGCGCTCGTCGTTGCGCCCCTCTCTTATACGTTCCACGTCACGTGGGTGACTTGGCTGTACTGGTACAACAACTTCTTTGGCTATGTTCCCCCGGGAATACCCCTCAAGGTGCTCATCATCGCGCAAGTCATTATCTACCCCACAATCACGTACGCCGCCCTCCGCTTCGGCGAGGCGGGGATGGACATCGCAAAGTCCCTCTGGCCCTTGCTCAAACTCATGAGCCCCTTTTCAGGCAGCGAGCTCGTCCGGCTGCAGAAGCGAAGAGAAGAGCTCGTGAAGAACGTAAATGACATCATCAACACGCTCGGCCCGGAGATGTTCCCGGACTTTGACTCGAAGCGCATCATCAAGGAGCCATGGACGCATACCCCGCCGCCGGCTTCGCCCACGAGCACCACGCCGGACAAGGGACAACAACAACGCATCCCTGCTGTCCGCGCGAGGAGACCTACATCCCCGTCTGCGGGCCGAGACGGTGCCGCTCTCCCCGTGTCGCCAGGAAGCGATAGCTCGCACGATGCGCATCTCATCTCGCGCAACGAGTCGTTTGGGGATCTCACCAACCAGGATTTCTTCTCGACGCGGCCGTCTACACCTAGGAAGGGGCATAGCAGAAAGGGCACGGGCGAGCATGGCGTGGGTACCGGGTTCCAGCTCAGGGAGTTTGTGAGTCTGGAGGAGGTGAGTCGGGGGATCCGGGCGGCGATGAGGGAGCGGGGGAGGAGGAGGAGCGATATGGATGTTCATGGGCAGCTGAGTGGGTCTGATACCGAGACGGAGAGTGTGGCGAGTAGTGCTGGTGGTGGAGGGGTGGAGATGGGAGGGAGGAGGAAGGCGAAGGTGAATTAGTGAAGGGAAGTGAAGAAGGGGCCGGGGGGCGGGGATATGAGCGGCGAGAGGGCTGGAGTTGTAGGATTTTCTTTCCATTCATTTATATGCCCAGGTGGGGTTTCTGTGATACCAAGTTCCATCTATCAAAATTTTACGGGGGGTATGACGCCCCTTTCTTATCCTGCACTCCACACTTCCTCACCTTTACATCTTTATTGCACGTTGTCGAATGCGCTCCCCTGCGCGTACCATGGTTAAATATCCAGTAAGACGAGAAGCATGTCCCGCCAGCTGGTCTTTCATCATCCCTGACAATCCGAGAATGTGTCGCGTAACACTAACGCGCAGGAAACGTCCATGGTGTTTATTTAGGGTTGGTCCGTGAAACCGTACCGTATAGTTCCTAATATAGTAACTCAGGAGAAACAGTAGACAGATAGTCGGTACCAGGCACGAGGCGCCCCTGAATAGCTGACTAATATCCCCTTATTTCCCCCTTCACTCCGTCTCTCCTATCCTCACTCCACTTCGCAACCCTTCTCTGCCCCTTTTCAGCCTACCAAGCAAGGTAGATAGGCAGTACGCTGTAAGACTTACCAGATGCAGACACGAAGACGCACCTATGCCAACAGCACCAGGACATACACAAGCTAGTCCTCACATAATAGCTCTAACAACGAAGGATGGACGCCCAGGTGCAAATCCATCACATTACACACTAGTCAAGCACATCTTGATCCCGCATCCCAAACGAAGGCGCGGAGATTTCCAAATCCTATCCGGATTCCTTCCCCTCCCAGCCACCGCCGCCGAGGAAGAAAGAAGACGACGACTCATCGCAAGAACCCCGTCACGCCTTACCAGAAACGCCATCCAGAATACTATACAGGACTCAACCACCACAGAAACCCTTCGGCACTAGCGGTTTCAAGCCACATACTGAGTGATTCCTTGCCTGGTTCCAAGTTAGTGGAATCATCCGATCCCCTCCCTCTTTTTTTTTTCTTCCGACCTCGTCCAACCTGAATACTTCCCACACAAGCCCATCGAGGATAGGGGTCGTACGGCGCCAAACCAAAGTCTTCTTTTGGATATCATGCAAACAGCGCCAATCCAGACATGGTCAAAGAATTGATGGGTATTATCTTACAAGGAGCTGTAATCCAGATAGGGCCTGCACCAGGCCGCATGAAGAAAGATTGTCAACGCAGATACGTATGCGTTGTATATCTCTTGCGTGATTCGCCCTATGGATTTCGTGGACGGGAGAAGACGGCGATGCTCCCATCAGAGCGTACAACTGGAGGTGTGACTGCAATCAGGACTCTCCTGACGGGAGTGCCTCTTCCCACGGGTACTGGTACATGATTCATGATTTTCGCAACACTTGTCGAGAGATGTAGATGGTTCGCTGAACCCATACAATTCGAAGATGCAATACGCTCCTCCGAAACGGTGTCCGATGGAGGATCTGCTGCAGAATTGACAAAGGGCTTCTGAGCCGGTATCCCTAAATTCAAAATCTGGTGCTAGACCTGTCGTCCCAACATCAATACTCAACTCCCGTCAAAGAAAATAGTCTAAAAATACATGGCCTTTGTGGGAAACGAAACTCACTGAAAGGTACACGCTCTGTACTCGCTGGCGCTGATGCAGATGCGGATGCGGATGCTGTACCCTCCTCCTCCACCTCTGCCGACGATAGCGACTCTCCTGTGCAACACCAAGCTCCTATGCGGTGATGTTCGACGCTCCATCGACGGCCTGCCAAAACCGATACAAATCCTCAATCGTGCACACTTTGATGCCAAACTCCTTTCCGAAAGCAAGGCACTCATCCCTGCGCATCATCCCGCTGTTGCGGAACTCGGGCTTGCCTTTGACGGGCTCCCCGTCCCGCACAATCTCGCAGATGGCGCCGACCGGTTGTTTTCTGGCAAGCAGGCACAGGTCCACGGCGGCTTCGGTGTGTCCCTTGCGTTCCCGCACGCCGCCTGGGCGTGCGTGCAACGGTACGATGTGACCAGGTCTTCTGAGATCGCTCGGCTTGCTTTGGGGGTTCGCCAACTGGCGACAGGTCAACGCGCGGTCGTGCGCGGATATTCCCGTCGTGATGTCTGGGTGGTTTGCGTCTACCGTGATGGCGTAGGCGGTGCGGTGGGGGTCCTGGTTCTTTGTGACCATTGGTTCCAGACCGAGCTCGGCGCAGCGTTGTGTGGGCATGGGGACGCAGATGTAGCCGGAAGTGTAGCGGATCATGAAGGCGGCTTTCTCGGTGGTGAGGGCTGAAGCAGCGATGATGAGATCGCCTTCGTTTTCGCGGTCGGGGCTGTCGAGGACAATGACGAATTCGTCGTTGGCTAAGCAGACGATTAGCGAGGAAGGAAACCGAGGAGATCTTGTAAAGTGCGCATACCGAAAGCATCTATCACATCGGGGATGGAATCGAAGGCGGCATCTAGAGGCTTGAGCAGCTCGGGATCGATGTTCTTCCCTGCCAACCATGTGTCTGAGACACGTTGGGATGTAGACATGGTTGCAGTGCCGTTGGGGCGGTGTATTGTTCCGTTAACAAAATCCGACGAGATGGTTGTGTTATGTTGTTTGGAGGAGGTCGTAGTGCCGTTGACGGCGATGGATTGTGTTGCAGTCATATGGTGGGTAGCAACTTCTTCTCCTGCTCCGAATAATGTCTGCCTCTTTCCAATGCTTCCTTACTTTTATACGGATATGCGTCGTTTCGAATGTAGAAAGGCGCCAGTGACAGTGACTCGGAAAGAGGGTTCTGCAGTCCCGTGCGGATACGTTTGCTTAGAAATGATCCAGTTCTTGGTAAGCGTGCGCTCAATGATTCCGCGATAGTGGTGGATGATGACTGAAAGAGCAGTGAATGAGGATCCAGCAGCGAGAATGGTCAATGGCTCCGGACGGGTGGTTGAGCGACAGTCGTGAGAGTCCCAAGGGGGGGAAGTCGTTAACCTTCGGAGGGGCGACTTTTCGGACACCCCACACTCAACCACTTTGTTGGAGGGACAGGGTCTGGGCATGGCTGTCGCTTCCCTTCCTCGGCTGCTGGGCCTTGGCGTGAGGCTGGTGAGCGCCACAGTTCCGAGTTCCGAGCCTGTGGCAGCTTCCGAGGTCCGATGGTGATTGTACATATCAATCTAGGTACTGTGGTATAGGGGACTGGAGGCATGTGGAGGGAATGGTTTGATAGAGACTTAATAGTGCAACGGTAAGCCCAAAACAACTATTACTGTCCAAGTTCCATCGAGGTACCTTGGGAATATGAACGATATATTCTACCACCAGGAATACTCATGTGAACAGCGAAGAACTGCAAAAGATGGTTCCTACGCGCTTGTTTTTGTAGCATTAGCTGTATTTCTACATCTACAATTGGAATACTCGGCTAGTTCTAACTCGTGAAAGGCTCATAGTCTCGCTGCGTACAAGCCCGATCCTTTACTCCCTCTCCGTCCGGTTGCATCGTCACCCAGGGCTCGATAGGATCAGCCGCTGGCTTGTACTCCCTGGGTCGTGGGTTCATATACATGCACAGCCTGCCGACCGGCATGCCATCGCATCCCATGGATCGGATAACCGCTTCGTACCGCGCGATATGGCAGGCTCGAGCTATAGCGGCCTTGATCTCGTCTTGAGAAAACAAACGCAGCAGAGCATGGGAGCGAGGCCTGCTTTCGAGCACACTGCTGAGCATGGTGATGAGCTGACGGATCTCGCCATCTGTCGGAGTGCAGCCATCGCCGTCTTCTCCTATCTCCGTGTACATTGCATTGTACTTCTCCACGTCAAATGGATCTACAAAGTCGAGATCGCGAGCCCAGGCGTCCATGAGGTTGTCTTTATCGTCACCGGTCCTCCTTGTGAGTCGTTAGCCGCCAAGCTGCTATCAAAAGTAGACGTAGTCAGTAAGGAATGTCGTCGTCTCACCTCGCGTGCGCGTGGAGGGCGAAGGTCAGGAAGGCCCAAGCAGCCCTCTCCGTTTGCTCTCCCATTGCCGCCAGTCGCCTATCCCCTTCCTCGTCCAAGTCAAAACCGAGCCAGTCCTTCATCAACTCGCTGAGCGCGGTCGCGTAAGCCGTATCCACTGATCCCGCGAAGAGCGCGATAGCGGTGCCTACATCCGTGACCATTGGGAGATGCAGCTTTGCCACGCTGGCATCTCTGTCAACCTGCAGTGAACGGATGAGATCTAGGATTTCGTTACGAATGCCCTGACCTATCTCAACTTGGCCGGCCATGTAAATCCATTGATATTCGTCCGACTGCGTTTTGAAGTCGGTCACCGTCCCATAGGGGTTGTCCATGGGGACAAACTCCTTCATGAAAACCCTCCATAGATTCGCAATGGTCCCCAGAACTATGCGGCCGGGCACGCGGGACGCGTCTATGTCCTTGGGCTCCAGTTTCCGCCCTTTGAGGGTGATGATGTAGCATGCAAACACAACGTGGGGTGGGACTCCACGCAGCCATGCTACCTGGTTGTCGTAGCGGCCGAGCAGATTGTTCGGGAGCCGTAGGCCTCCATCGGTATTGTGCACCATTTTCGGATCCATGCCGAAGGGTACATGTTCGAGGTAGTCATCGTTCTTTTCCATCAAGATTGGAATAGGCACCTGGTCTACTGGGTTGTTCGGAATGGCAAAGCCATAGCCAAGTAGGAGTTCTGAATTGGACTTAGGGCCATAGTTATTGTACACCTGCTCTCCAGCTTCGACACGATCCGAGATCCGCATGTGGAAGGCCTGCCCTGTAACGTTCCATTGAACGTGTGCGGTGGGCGAGTGATTTGCAATGTCGAAGACCGGGAAGAGCATCTGGAACGATGCTCGGAACGGGAAGCAATATGTGGATGCAAAGGCACGCGAGCATAGAACAGCATCTGCCCAGCGAAAGGTCGTTCTGGATCAGAATCAGCAGTGGGACCTATGGTCACCTAGACATTCAGCATCAGCTGCGCTGCAGCTTGCAGTTGGAGTGCGCCTAGAGTTGGGGTTTCCGGTGTAGTGGGTTATAGGAAGCAGCCATGATGCTTGATGCCGCACTTACCTGTCACACTCGTCGTACAGCTCCGTATTCTTTAAACCGGCTTGTTCAAGGGCGGCTAGTGCTTGCTGCCAGTGATGGTCCACCTTTGCGAGTCTGCGGTCCCGAGCGGCTGGGATGACTGTGGATTCAATATACTTTGTGCTTTTAGGATACAGGGTGGAGACCAGTGTCTCGACCTCTGGCAGAGTCGCAATGTAGGGGTACCATGGGGACAATTCCTCTAGGATTAACTGCTCAATGAGAAGGAGGCAAGTCAAGACGGTGTGATGGACCTTGTCCCATAGAGGGGTCAGAGCACTCTTGACCCTTGGGATCACAGAGGGTGGTATACCCACATCGGGCGGGGCGAGGTTGAACACAGACAGCGAGAGATGCAGAGGGCAGCTGACGGCGTGGAATGGGGGCTCGAGGGTTTCGAGGGCACGCAGATGAAAGCCGCCTCGGGCAGTGTGGTGAATACTAATGTTGGGATGCAGGCGTCCTCCATTTTTGGTGAACCAGGTGAGGAGGCTGGCAGGAGATGGAGTCGTGCTGTTGTTGTTGATGTCGTTGTCGTCGGCGTTGTCGTCGACCGGGCGTGGGTGGGATGAGGCTGACATGGCCTTGGGCAGCTGAGGGCAGGGGTTGAATATCGATTGGCTGTTATTTTACGTTGAACAAGTGGTGAATACGCGGGGCAGCGGCAGGGAACGCCGAAACAGTCAGGCCCTTGCCCAGGCGGTGGCAGGTTGCATTGTGTGCAGAGATTAGCAGCAGTCGGTGAATTCTGCCAGGGCCAAGAGGCGCGGTTACTAGGGAGCAGTCAGTCTTACGGCCGATTGATGACCAGTCCGGTCGGGCGATGGGACAAGCAAATGGCCGATCACACTCTGTCTTTACTGTTTACCTTATATTATTAGTAGGCGCGGAGTAACTGTTGCAGCGGGCTTTGTCGGATGCTCTTGAGGGCGTATTTCGACGACCGGTCAATGAAGCTGATGGCGGTGCGGCGTCTTTGAGTCGAGTCGCTGAGAAGCCGAGTTCCTAGCTGATGAGCTGCTGAGCCGCTGCTGAGCCGCCGGAGCTGATGCGCAGAGTCGTGCGAGAGTTGAGCCAGCTCCAGCTGTGGACCGCATCTGCCACAGTTATTAGACAAGCTAACAGTTGTTCCGTTTTTCTCTCCATTATCGCCTCGGGCTAGCCGTCCCGCCAAGAAGTGTATTCAAAGTAAACAGGAAAAACGTTTGACAAGCAGCCAATCATGGAGCGGCACAGAAACCCGCTTGACTGAAATAGCAACCCGCGTGTTCGGGACCCAAAACTGCCGATGCGCCGACGGCAGGGCGTCCGCCTGCATGGGCTCGGCCCACTCTCGACCCGCGCCACTTCTTCACTTCCTCGCTGGACGAAGACGATGACGAGGAGGTGAGAGGGGCCACGGACGGCCGACGGAGGACGGAGGGACGGAGAGTCAACAGAATCGCCAGAAGAAACGGCCGACGACAAGGACGACGATGCTGAAAACTTACCCCGTCAATTCCCGACCCGGACTTCTGCCCCTCTGCTTCTTCTGCCCTTCTCTGCCTCTCCTCATCTCTCTCCCAACAAGGTTCATCTTTGTCTTTTGTTTCGCTACGCCAATACGGAGTACTGTAATACTAGACAGGCAAACGTCTGGAAAACCCCTGGGTATGAGTGCCCCTGCTGTGGCTCGTACGTTTCCCGTTGTGGCTGGTACGATTTCCCCCAGCCCCTGTCCTCCTCTCATCCGTCCCGTATACCGCGCCTCACCACTGGACGCCTGTCACCTTGCTTCCTGGGCGACTCCACCAGGACCGGTAAACATGTGCGAGGGGCGACCTGCGCCGCCTGGACAGCCATGATCTGCCTGTCTTTTATGCCCTCTCTCGCCGTCGTCATGTTCCTCTGCTGCGCTGTCGCTGCTCACTGACCCCCTCTCGCAGCATGCTCCCCATCCGTCTACGACTCGGTAGCTGCGCCTAGCCATGCTGGATCTCCTGACTGCTAAACACAGCCATGAGTACTCGCCCCAGAGCCGCCCAGATCCCTCACCCTCCGGCCATGTCTTCTCTCTCCCGCAGATGCCTTTCCACATCTTCAATTCACTCTTGCCGAACCATCCCTCGTCGTCCCCCTCCGTCCCAGAGCTTGCGAGCCCGCCCCTTCGCTCTCTCGAGACTCCACCATCTATAAACCTCATGACTTCCGAGTTAGGCACTCCTGCCTACTCTTCTCCCTCCGCCTCTCGTCCGGCCTCCGTCAGTAGCACCGCGTCCTTCGACGGCAAGCCCAAGAAGAAGACGCACCGACCCAGGACGACCTACAACCTCGCCCAACCTCCTCCCATTGCCGGCCCTCGCCATAAACTCCACCTCCGTCCCAAGGTCCTCCTGCAGCTGCACCAAGTCATTCCCGGCCGTCGCCCAAAGCCCGTCTACGAAGTCATCCCATTTTCGCTCCTAGCCCCTCGCTCCACTCGCCGGCTGGCCCGCACCTTCAACACCAAGGAGAGGTTGGGTCCCCAGGACTTGTTGGTGGTCAAGGCAGAAGCATACGAGAATATCTCCGACGAGGAGAGGTCCGACGATGAGCGATGGGGGACGAGGGAGGTCGTTGGCATCATCTGCCCTGCTAGGAGGGCCGACAAGGATCCAGGCGACAAGACGGAGCTTCTCCTAGACGATGGCACGAGCTGGGAGGTCACCAACATGCCCAATGGGGGTTACGAGTTTTCCTTCACCGACGAACATGGCCTGACCCTCAAACGCCGGTGGGTGCCCAAGATGCCACACAGTCGCCGTGTATCCACCATGGCCAACACCCCTCATTCCCCCGTCTCACCTGCGCTGGCGCAAGAAGACAGGAAGTTCAACTTCAGCACCATCAGCCCCAACTCCAGACGTCACCCCATCATTGGTAGCATCTCTAGAACCAGCATCGACGTCTTGGATGCTTACACTATACCCCCTGCAACCACAACATCAACGCCCGGCTTGGCCCAGTCTCCTTTTGCAACTCCTTTACCTACACCTGCTAGCGTTCCTGAATCCGTTTCCTTCTTAGATAAGAGCACAGAACTGCCACTCGCGACAACCGACGATGCTCTCCGCATCTTCATGGTACTCTCTGGCATCTGGGTTGCCTTCTCCGAAAACTGGTCTCCCGCATATTCTTCGTCTAAACATTTGGCCTGCACGCCCACAGCCTGTCGTCCTGTTCCGAACCGCGCAGTATCCATGTCTTTTGTTGATACCCCCCGTTCCGCCTCTCCCGCTTCCACGGGTGAGGACAACCGTCGCACCTCATTGCCTAGACTATTTCGATCCACTGGTCAAAAGCCTCCAAACGGCCACAGCACGCCAGCATCCATCGCTAATTCTCCAGGGTCTGCAACCACGACCCCTTCCTCGACACAACCCGCGCTCAAAACCCGCTCTCGCCGCGCCAACTCCACCGGCAACGCCGAACTCATCTCCAAGAACGGCGCGAGCCGCAAACGCTACGGCCTCGCCTTCGAAGACCAGAGCCTCCCTGAGACGGAGGAGGAGCGCCAGAGCAAGCGCAGTATCGAGCTGCTGCGTATGAAGGAACTGGCTCGTACGACTCCTCCTGTGCCTGCTCCCCCTTTTCCATCTTCGGACAATGGGCTTGCTCCTCCCACCCACTCCTTGCAGCCACTTAACGGAGACGAACCATCCCGTGACCCGTCTCCGGTGCCGCGGGCCGAGAAGACGCGAAAGACGCAATCTGCGTACAATCCCATTACTACCAAGGGCCTGTGGGATTCGGAAGTCGTCGATGGGCCTGGTGGCAAGAAGCGGCGACCGACGAGCTTGGTGGTGCTCAAGTCGAAGAAGGAGAAGGAGCAGAAGAAGAATAAGAAGCAAGAAAAGGGCAAGAGGAGGGAAAAAGAGAGAGAGAAGGAGAATGATAAAGGGAGGGAGGTGTCACCGAAATCGTCGGGTGGCTTGAGACGCTTGTGGGGCTTGTTTCATAGGCATAAAGAGTAGGACCTTCCTACTCTCGTTGATTGTCATGTTGTTGCATTGTGCTGATGAGCATGCATATTGCATATTAGGCGCATCTTTTGTCCCTTTGGGATTCGACCACCCTCTTCTTCTGTAAGACGGTGACTTGTATATAGCGGAGCTCCTCTCACTCCTCACTCTTACTGTTGATTGCTTCCGAATGATGCGTTTCAAGCGCTGCAATGCCATGTACGGCCTTCCTTCCGCATGTATTCCCCCTGCCGTGTAATCTATAGACGAGGTAAATACAAAGTCGATGAACTCGTGCAGTATAGCTTAGCAAGTATACATCAGCAATTGAGAGGCCAGATTCTTTTCTCCGATTCCAGAAATCCACTCTAAATCTCATCTGGTGGATATACATCACTTCATTCGGTTGCCCACCAGGTAGTCGAACCTCGTCCACGTGACCGACCCGCTTACGTACGCCGAAAAAGGGGTATTGTGTGAGTACTAGGTGGCCGTTCCAGGTGCACGCAGACAAAGTAAAATAACGAGAAGAGAAAGACAAATTTCCATTCCATCCCGTTCGACTCCCTCCCCTCATCCCAAGGTTCCCGTTCCCAGGGTATTATATCGCGGGGCATCCTAAAGTCAAAGTGTGTATCAAGCAGGGCCACTCGCCCATCGACAAAACCTCCAAGTAGGCAGCTCTAATGAGACACGTCTGAGAATATGAAACATAAAATAGACTGGGACACATCCCTAGACATCCCTAGACATCCCCTCCGTCAACGCCGCTGAAAATGCCAAGCCAAAGAGACGACGTACGCCACCTCGACGGCGAACAAGAAGCACGAAAAAGACGCCGAACCCGCCAACTCGACACCGTCGTCCTAGTTCTGATGCTGGGGCCTTCCGATTCCTTGTTTCGCCTGCAAGACGCATTAGCTTTCTTCTCCCACAACCAGAGCGAAGGAGGAGGGACGTACCTTCATCATCTCAATCCGCTGCTTGAGATTCTGCGTCACCTCGGCGGCGCGCTTCCAGCTCTCCGCCCCCGCGCTGGCCTGGCCGTATCCCAATCCCGCACTGCTGCCACCACTTCCCCCAAACCGTTCCCTCTCCCCGCCAAATCCACCCGCACTCCCAATCCCAATCCCACTGCCATAACCACCACTCGCCCCCAGCCCCTCTGAAGGCGACCCCGCGCCCCCACCACGACTTGACATACTGCTCGACTGTCTCGATCCCGGCCCTCCACGCAGCGGACTCAGCTTCCCGCTCAAACTGCCGCTCGTGGGCCTGTCGAAATTCTCCTTACCGTCAGCGCCGGGACTCAGCGGCTGAGCACCATACCCTCCTCCCCTGTCCCTCCCAACCCCAACACTTCTGCCATATCCACCAGCGACAGGCGCCCCATAGCCTGCATCCCCATACAGATGCTCACTCAGATCCCTCGGCGGCGGACTGCTCGCCCGAACCTGCCTGCTCAACTCGCGCTTCAGCCTCTCCACCTCCCTCCGCTGGTTCTGCACTGTCTGCTCCGCTGCCTCGTAGTCGCTTCTCGCCCGCACCAGCTGCGTCTCCTTCGCCTTGATGGACAACACGTCCCGCGTATGATCCTCAATCAGCTGCGCATTCTGATTCTGCAGCTCGTGGATCTGGCTCGTAAGTTTAGTTCGTTCCGAGCGCAGCTCCTCGTTCGCGCGCCGCAAGTGTTCGACCTCCGCGCGAAGTTCGTCGAGTTCGGCGCGTTCGACAAGCGACAGGCTAGAGGGGTTCTGGACGGGTGCCGCCGGCGCAGGAGCTGGTTCCGCGACAGGTTTTCCTAGAGGACGCCCAGCAAGACCGCGTCCCGGGCCGAATTTGGGTTGTGGTGGGGGAGCAGGCTCTTCTTCCGGGGGTGGAGAGACAGGTGGCGGAGGTGCTGCAGCTGCTGGCCGGCGAGGAGAGCCTGTGGGAGCGGGAATACCAGCGCCGGGCTTTTTGAGACCCCCTAGACGTGAGGGCGCCGCAAGGCCGGATTTCGGGGCTGCCAGTTTGGAGGCTCCGGGGCGGGCGGTGGGTTTGGGGGCTACAGGGGCAGCGGGCTCTTCCTGAGGTGGTGGTGCTGCTGCTGCCGGGGGCGCCGCTGCCTTCTTCACTCCTCCTGGCGCCGGCCGTCTGCCTGGCATGGGTTTCTTCCCTGCAGGAGCCGCCGCGGGTTTCGGCGGAGGTGCTGCTGCTTTAGGCTTGTATTTGGCTTTGACTTCTGCGGCGTCGTAGTATTCCTTGATCTTATTCTTGCGGATATCGTCAAGACCGTCCAGGTGGGCGTTCATGATGCGGTCTCCCATGATCTTCCATAGCGTACCCAAAACCTCCGCACCAGCTGACCGCTGCACCTCCTGCGATTCCGTGAGCAGTTTCGTGGCCGCCTCGGAGATCGTCTTGACTTCAGGGGGTGAGGGTGCCTCTCTGGTCGTCTTCAGGCAACGAATGAGGAACCGTGTCGATTCGAGCTTGACCTGCGGATTCTTGTGCTTGAGGAACTCGAGAATCTCCTCTTGGCATTCTTGAAGACTAGTGGATGCAAACACAGCGTCCAAGGCAGCCCCTATCGCATCAGACACTGATTGCTTCTTCTCCTTCAGCCGCTCCATCATGGGATTCATAATCGTGGAACGGTACTTGGCGAAACCCTTCCGGAGGCCCTTAGCTAAGAGCTCAGTGCAGTTAGCCGCAGTCGTTACAACGGCAATATTGGCGTCTTTCATGCTTTTCGCGAACCCCCTAACAAGCTCATCGAAGGGTCCTTCGGCAATCTTTGGGTGGTTTAACGCTTTGTGTACGTCATCTAGCGCCTCCTTCCGGTCCTTCCATTTTGAGGAGGCTAGCCTTTCGCTCCAGTCTTTGGGCAACAATGGGAAAACGTCAACAGCCTCATGTTCTGGCTCGAGATCGATGCCTGCATCCTCCTCTTCCTCTCCATACTCTTCTTCTCCACCGCCCGCTGCAGCTGCTGTTTCCCTTGCGGCCTGTTGAGACCGCAACAGCCTTTCCTGCTTTGGTGGCGGCTCATCCTTCACTTTTTCAAAGAGTTTGTCCAAGTCCTGCTGCTGTACGGGTTTGAGGTCATTCCAAAACAGAGGTTTCATCGCATCCTTTAGCCATCGGTAAAACTCGACTGTCAGCTCCTGGGCTTTGGCTCGCACGTTCTTATCCGCATGACCGTACACCTTGGGAAGGGCTTTGAGGACCGGTTTTGGCTCTATTGTCTTGCAACCGAAAGCGTGATAGATCTGAGTGAGCGCGTCTAGCGTCGCCGCGATAACCTTGGGCTGCTTGTGCGACAGTATGGGGAGGAGTTCTTCGATGACGGGCTCTGCCTTGTCCAGTTCAATGTATAGCATAAGCGCTTCCAGTGCCTTCTGTTTTGCCGCTGGCCTCGTGGACGGTAGGCCCTTCTCAGCGATCGTGGCGATTGTTATGTTTCGCGTCCTGCCATCCCCCATAAGCAAAGGATCACCAAAATGTGCCAGACAGCGTGTTCTCCTACCTCGTACAGCCTTGGGTACCCGCAATGTCGAGGAAGGCGCATAGTGCTCCCAAACCTTCTTGTTGTGCCGCGACATTCGAATCGCCCACCACGCCCTTCCATATGCTTGCATCCTGTATGAACTGGCGGACGACGGGGTCCGACTCGCTGGCGGCTAAGCTAAACTCCTTCGCGGCGGCCTCGTAGCCTTCTTTCCGGACTTTCCAGTTCTTGTGGACGAATCGGTCTGGGAGCGGGAGCGAGCTGAAGTCCTCTTCTTGGTCGGCCATGTGTGCTGTTTATGGCGGGGTATATGGGCAGTAACTGTTCTTTGTTAATGGGGCAGGGCAAACTCCGGCAGGCGGAGTGAGATGGGAGTGAAGACTCAGGTCTTCAGGCACCGGAAACGACGGTGATGGTGAGGATGGAGGGATGGAGAAGGGGCAAGGTGACGTGCAGGTGCATGCCACGCACGTTAGAGTGGGCAGAAGGAAAGCGCGCAAGCCAAGGAGGAGCAATCCACTTACACAAAGGGAACCTGCGGCGAGGGAAATATGCGCGCCACGTGCTGGCGATTCTGCGCGCGCTCCAAATAAAATGATTAAGAGTGTCGTGAAAACGTAGGATTTCTTTGTGGTGGTGTTGCTATGCCTGTTGTATGATGGATATTTCGCTCGGCGTCCGCGGTTGCGGCAGCAACCACCATATCACCGCCAGCCCACGTCACCTTCACTCCAACACATTGATGACTGGAGACTCCATACACTGCTCACAGATCTTGCTCGTTACTGAACGGCACCATAGAACACCGAATCCGCGCCGCATCGCCCTCTCCACTCCAGAACAACGCAGACACTAGCCCTGCCGCCCCTGCATAGACCTTCACCGCGCATTTCCCCCGCCGCCAAGACTTCGACCGTCTCTTTCAAACATCACCTACGTCCACCCGCGCCCTGCGTTTCGAGCATCTTGAGCCTTTTCCTACTCCAGTGCATGGTCGCCGTTGGTGGCGCTTGCGCATGATTGCTGAAACACCACCATGAGCAACATACTGACGGACCGACAAGCAGAAGAGCTGTGAGCCCGCTCCTTTCTCCTTACCAGCTCCGCAATCCACTGACGGGAGGCCAGAAATAAAGCCATATTAGCATACCTTGGGGTGATTGGGGCGACGAACGCAGCAACTGCCTTGCGTCAGGAGGCCAATATCCCAGAATCTTTTGACGATGCCACCCGGAAGAAGTACGAGGGTCTTCTCGAGAAGAAATGGACCAGCGTGGTGCGATTGCAAAAGAAGGTCGGGATCCATGAGTGAGGCGCATCCATAGAGTAATTGACACAGTGTAGGTCCTAGAGCTGGAGCAGCGAAATCAGAGTCTCCAGAACGAGCTGGATTCAACGACACCCACATCTCTCCTCCGCAGAAACCAAGATCCAACGAGCTGGCTACCACGAGCTCCCGCGCGGCATACATTACAATCCCACCGGCAACCTGTCACATGCGTGGCCTTTCACCCTATTTTCTCCTCCCTTGCCTCGGGATCGGAAGACACCACAATCAAGATATGGGATTGGGAATTGGGCGAATTAGAGAGGACAGTGAAAGGGCATACGAAAGGGGTTCTGGATGTTGATTTTGGTGGTCCTAGAGGAGGAACGCTGCTGGCGTCCTGTTCAAGCGACCTGACGATAAAGTTATGGGACCCATCCGACGAGTATAAGAACATTCGAACACTCCCAGGCCACGATCATTCCGTCTCAGCGATACGCTTCATACCCAGTGGGGCAGCGGGCTCCCCCCAATCTGGAAATCTGTTAGTATCCGCTTCAAGAGACAAGACATTGCGCGTTTGGGATGTGACAACTGGATATTGCGTAAAGACTATTCGGGGGCACGCGGACTGGGTACGAGATGTCACGCCAAGTTTCGACGGTCGCTGGTTGGTGTCGGCGGGAACAGATCAAACCGCAAGGCTCTGGGATGCAAGCTCCGGAGAGGCGAAGTGCACCTTTTTAGGCCACGAGCATGTCGTGGAATGCGTCGCGATAGCACCTCCAGTTGCATACTCGCACCTGGCCTCAATGGCGGGCCTCAAGAAGGCACCACCCCTCAGCAGCTCCGCGGAATTCATTGCGACGGGATCAAGAGATAAGACAATAAAGATTTGGGATGGGCGGGGGACGCTGATCAAAACGCTGGTCGGCCACGACAACTGGGTGCGTGGTCTCGTCTGGCACCCCGGTGGCAAGTACTTGCTTTCCGCGAGCGACGACAAGACGATACGCTGCTGGGACCTTACCCAAGAAGGTCGTTGCGTAAAAACGGTCGAAGACGCACATGGCCATTTCGTCAGCTGCATTCGGTGGGCACCAAATGTCATCAAGGATGTACCGGGGGATGCAGCAAATGGCACCACAGTCAATGGCACGACAAAGAGGAAGGAAGAGGAAGCTGCCAAGGCCACCATCCGGTGTGTCATTGCGACAGGCAGTGTGGATCTCAATGTTCGGATATTCGCCTCTTAGAAATGCATGCAGAGAAGAGAAAAGGTCAGGGTGCCGTTTGATTCTGCAAACACCTGGCGCTGGTTCAGGAGACCTCACTACTTCTCTTCCGGCGCTCACGAGTCTGAGCTAGTTAATACCCCATCTTTCGGACGAAGGTTCGCCAACGTTCCGTTTTACGTTCCCGTACCTTCCTGTCTTTCTTATGGCATCCCCGTTCAGCATACCCCTTCTTTGGTGATCCTTTTCAGGCGGTGCGACTCGGCGTTGGGGTTCAGGTCAAATCTCAAGATCTAAATGGCAAGTTACTGGGCTTCGGTATGATAGACTCGCTGTACTGTTGACCTATGCTGCCCCGCAGATACTTTTAATCATATGCGTCGACACTGCTCTCACGATATCTTGAAATGTGAATCCCGTGGTGCACGGACCGAGAAAATGCCAAGGATTTGCTTAGTCATGTGCAGGGACCACTAACCGGAATATTTTGCTTCTCGAGCTTCATCTTTCTCAACACCGACATCACGACTTTTCGGAGCGCTTTCCGTTCTACTCCCGCATGATCTTTTGGTCTTGCTGAGGGTGTGCGTGTCTCACCATGTAGCATACTATCTACACAGGGCCCATGAGGCCCAGCTCATCCAGCAAATCTCTGATGGGCGATGGAATAAGGTACGGTCAGGCTTTCTTCTACTCCCCTTCGCATGATGATATACATAGCGCTTTTCAAACTAGAGTCTTTGACCTCTAAGGAGGAATGAAACTCACGCTTTGCACGTCAGTCTGATAGCCTCCAAGCCGTTATTGCTTCATAAATCATCACAGCTTCACCTGCTGACTTCAGATCGTAGAACTACCCTCAGCCATCACCTCGCGCTTCGGATACTCCCGCACCTCGTGTCATATGTAAGACTTCCCTTTTCTTCGATGGACACTTTATGATGAACACTTGGTGCTTGCACCGCTGGAAATTACCGACTGAGACTTTGTCGATGTCGAAAAAAAATTGGCTGTTTTCTGACTTAAATGTTCTTCCCCGAACTTCATGTTCTCGAAGCTCTGGACACCGAGCTAACATATTCCAGATCAGGTGCTGCCCCGCCCATGTCGATGTCACCTCGGCCTTCATAGAGTACGCGTTTCTTCCCTACAACCTGAACAGACTATATGATGAATGGCACTGGGCTCCGACATTTCATGACGGATATGCCCCATTGTGGCAGGCCTAGAAAACCTCGCCCACTGAACCATGTCGTCACTATACTGTGGATCATACTCGTTGGAAAACTCCTGCTGACTGGCTGATCGAAGCGGATAGACTTTGTTGTCTACGTTGAGAGCCGTTCGCCACGATGGTAAGCTCTTTCTACCAAGCATTCGCATTTCTGGAATGATGTCACTTGATGACGAGTCTTATTCGGGCTTCCCGATGACGAGACCATCTTTTTTATACCATTCATGCCAAACTGACCCAACATCTTGCCAATACATATGTATCAGATCGGCGTATCATCCGCTAATTGTGCCTCAGATGAGCTCTATGGCCAGGAAGTCGTCTCTGAAATATCCGAGTGTAATATGAGGTAGGCAATCGTTGTTTTCTAAACACTGCTCGGCGCCGATCAAATGATGAATCGACAAACACAATAGACAAGCATATGTCCAAGCCACCTCTGGTGACGACGACGAGACTGGTCATGTCTGAACTTCGGACCCGCTGTAGCACTTCATATCTGATTCACTTGACGCTAACTAATTGGATTCACAGGCACCCACCCTCTTGAAGCGTTCGCATGTTATGACGTGAGCCCGAGGTGGAAGGTATCAAGCCGTCGCAAATACGCCGTCGGCGCAAACCCTGAGCTCCACTTCTGGAAAGGTATGTTTCAATATCTTTTTATCCCCCTCCGAATATGTCCAAAGATGAACATTCAACTTAATCACGACGGTCTACCGAGCTACGGCTATGGTGATAACTGCCGGTGACACGGCAAGAGTCTGAGAACGACGTTGTCTCAACGCTCCTTACTCCAGCTCTTATTGGGACTGCAAGCTGACTGTTACTCAAAGGTCAGGAAATACATTGTTACCCAGCAAAGTCATGCTACGTTCCGTACTGGTGTCAAGAGTTTTCGGAACCGGAGGATCTCAATTGAGATTTATAAGCTCGTCCACCTAGAATTCAAAGTTCTGATAAACCAGTCTCATTGTCATGAAATCACTGCTCTCAGTATCCTACTTGTACCATCTTTCCAAAGCTGATGCCCGTACCGGCGCTCAGTACAACCCAATCGTGATATCCCTCGTGATATCCCCCTTTATTCTCGCTGTCAAATGAATCTCCGCCTCCAAATCCAACTTGATCCCAATAACAGCGCAGCATCTTTCAGCTTGCCGTTCTCATCCGCAGCCCCCTTGATGATGTTGCCAGCCGGTCGGTTGAAGTTGTTCGAAGTAGGCGGGAGACCGACGCTGGGACCTGGTTTCGTGACTTTGCGGCCACCAGTGGATTGGCCGTCTTCACTGTCGGACATATAGGCCATGGGGCGGGTGGCGGAGTCGCTAGATGTAGTGTTAGTGTAGAGTTGGAGAACTGTGTTTTGAACCCCTTACACTGTGGACATTTTGTGGGGGAATAGTGATGATGGCGATGGTAGTTCTGCCAGAGATTGGGTTGGTGGAGTTGTCGGTGTTGAAGAGCCGTTCGCTTTCTTTCTTGGTTCAATATTATGGGCTCAAAAAGGATAACGTATAATAAAGGCGTGACGCTGAGGACGCGGAAGGGACACCAAGGCGGTGAAAATGAGGATACCGTTGGTTGAGAGGCAGGCCGGCCGTCTGGCTTCTAGAAGATAGTGGATGTGCAGCTTATATACAACTAAGAATGTTCTACTGATACTCTGGTAACTACAGTTCATGGCATGATATTCGACGGCTCATCCAGCGTGTTGACTCGCCTATCGGTACAGCCACGGGATCTGGAAACACGCCGCGTCCCATTGTAGATCTCGAAGGAGCGGGTCGTTGGATACTCGTACCAAGCTATCCATATTGAAGTCCTAAAAGGGCCACGTTCCGGACTAGGTAGGCTTGTGGTGGCGTTGTTGGGGTGAATGGTGAGGATGAAACACGGGGCGGTTGTGTAAGAAGTGGACGCGTTTGAGCCTCGATTCCCTCTCTCTATGGTCACGCCAGCGTCTACAGTGAAGATCATTGAACTCTGTAGCATCGTAACATATGCATTACACAGTTTGCCGGATAGTCGTGCTGCGTGGTAAAAGTAGGGCTTGGAGACGGGCTCGTATGATGAGTGCGAGACAGTGGAGTTTCCGGAGGTCCAAAACTTGCTGAACGATGTATGCAAACGTTTGAGATTTTTTATTATGGAATAGTTGATATTTCTTTTCGTACGGGAAAACAGAAAATCCTTGGGTGCTCGCGGTCATTGGCACTCATTGTAAGCTAGATCATGTTCCTACAGACTTCAATTTCTCATGTTTTCCCTTCCCCGTACAGAAGACCCTACTTCCGAACCCGACGAATTGACAAAAGCCTTATCTCCCACCAAGAATGGTGCTAGGCATTCTTGTCGTCGTCATTGCTGCACCGGGCCTCCTAGGCTCACAAGAAGCAATCCGCCAATCGCAGTCCAAAGAAAAGCGCGGGGTGCACCTCGCCCGCCGCTGCAATCTCATCGCCACATGCGTAAAGTCATCCATGCGGAGCAGAGAAATCAAGGGAAGACCTATTGTACTCCGCAACGGCAAGGTACGAAGCCACACTTGATTCGACGCTAACAAAGAGTAAAACGATCGTTGACATTGCGGACAAATTGCTGTGGATCGACACGGGAACCAGCGACGGCACGCCTTACGGCCACGCCTTACGGCCACGCCTTCGCAGGCTACTATCTGCCCTACCCGGATACCTCGTACGAAGGCCTCGTAACCACCGTCACGGACGAAGCGCCTATCTTCAACTGGGTCTACATCGACAAAGATACGTATGAAGTCAAGTACGGCGTGCGACTAGATGCGCAACCAAATCTAACAGGCCCTTTTGACTGCACGCGCCAGGATAGGCGACTAGCTTTTGAGGGGCGGGAAGGGTCTGTGCTGTGGAGGAGTTTCCGACGCTTTGGGCGTTGTATTTTGATAGAGATGATGATGGGTTGAGGGGGAAGGTTGCGAAGGGGGTAAGGGTTTTGGATGTAGAGTTGACGAGGAGAGAGAAGAGGTGGAGGAAAGATGAAAGAGGGCCCGGCGAGGCAGGAAGATCAGACGACGAAGAGGGAGGTCGAGATCGATAAGGATGCGCCAACGGAGAAGGTTGTGGTGATGGAATCACAGTTGGCGAATCCTGGTGTGCATGGGGTGGATTCAGGGAAGCCTCCTGTACTGCGGCCGCAAACACCACCACCGGCGTATACTGCAAAAGCAGCACCGTTGCTGTCTTCTACATCAGCAAAGACGATATCTCAGCAGGAAGAAGTCATGGACTCGACGGAGCGGAATGTAACGCCTATACCGCCATGGCGTTCGGTATACTCGGATTCTTCACCAAACGATGAAGCCATTACAAAGCCAGCAGTGCAGACACAAGATCAGGTTCAGACAATGGGAAGAGGATCAGTTAGTGGCGATCTGTCAATACGAGGGAAACTCGAGAATGATTTCACACCTCCCTCCGACTCGCCCACCCTTCCTGTGTCAACTCCAATACCAAAGACATCCCGAGGATCAGCACCATCTCAGAACAGGCCATCTGCCACTGACCCAGCCATTTCTCAGGACCCTACTGAGAGTTCTCCTCATGGGCGAGTGGAAACGTCGACAGAGTGACAACACGGAAAAGAGGTCGTTCGTCTTTTTCTTCCAAAAGCACAACAGCACCAAGCCAACGTGGAAGATCAAACACAATGTCTTCATCTTCTCCACCACCATCGGGCGAACGGGGTCTCTCAGCATCCTCTCAAAGTCAAGCCGGCATGAAACAATCAAAACGCACTGCAACACTACCAAGCCGACGGATTCGATCCAACAACAGCACATCCGCCACATCCTCTCGGGGACCTGTCCAAACTCGCGTTAAACCGGGAACACCTCTATCGGCTCATCCGCGCACTCAACGCAGCCCAACCAATTCAAGGATATACCGTGATATTGACGAGATCTTCAAACATGCAGCCGCAGTTCCGGCTAAGGGAACATCATCGACTGCTGACGGATCCTCTTCCACGACTAGGGGCAGGAGAACCCCTCCATTTAAAAGACCTACGACGCTGAAGGGACCACTTCGAGGAATGAATGGGATTGCGTCGCCCCGTGGCGGGGCAGGAATGCCGACAATGCGAAAGAGAACATCTAGTGAGTTCAGCTAGTTACCATATACTTATCGAACGTGATATAGAGAAAGCGTCTTTGCTAGGCATACAGGTTCATGCAAGCTATCCAGAATGGTCGCCTTGGCAGTGCTGGTGGGAAGCAACTTCTTTTCTTTCACCCAGACGTGCGCCTTCCTTCCTTTCATCCCTTCCACTTAGAACCCAAAGCCCAAAAGAAAAAGAACCGTTACGACGCATCCAAGAATCAAACCCACGCAGAAACAAAAATATCAACCACCCCTCGACAGGAAGTGCCGCATTCACGTCAACGCATCTTTTAATCCCGACGCAGATCCCCAAACCGCCCGACCTTCTTAAGGTGGATAATGTTAGAAGAGCAAATATTAGCGATTATATACTGCAATGACGTAGTGGAAATAGTGGGTGTATCTCTTGTCGACATCACTGCTGTTTGGGTCACTAGCTATTGTTTTGGTCGCGGCTGCCTGATTTGCCACTCGATGTTGTCGGATACATCAGTCACCGCCTTCGACGCGTCGACCAAGCAACGACAAACATCGGACCATCTCCGACCGTTACCCTTCAAACAAGAAGCATCGGTTCCATATCTTGTAACTCGGTTTGCTACAATCTGTAATCCGCACGAGCCACACGCATGTGGAACTCCAACCACTATGAGGCGACACTCCTGCCTTCTAGGGATTCAAACATGAGCCATGCAACTTGCTTGCCACGAAGCGTGAATGAGTTAACGGACTTTTGGGAATCGGTAAGACACACTGAAAGCAGGAGCATTTGCATGGCTTTTGAACGTAGATTTCATGATTGTATCGATGTACCTTGCGAGAATGAGGACATGAGGGAGTGAACGAGCGTCATGCATTCGAGCATCCGTTTCGGGGATTTCTATTGATATTAAATCGTTTCTCAATATCGCAACCGCGACTATACTTGTTCCAAATACCGCCGTCACGAATAAACATCTCTCAATTTCCTATTAAGTGGCGTAAGTGTGCTGCTGGGCAAACTGTGTACCTCACTGATAGGATATACACTTCTGGCTCTCGGGGTTCAGTCGATATCCATACCCCATGGACCCAACCTCCCGCCTCCATGCCCGTCTCGCTCAAATCCCGTCCGACCCCAGCGATCCCGAGACTCTGGCTGACCTCCTCGTCTGCGCCTTCGGAGCCTTTGAACGATCTATCTCTGCTGGCGGACGACTGGCGGAGAGTATAGGCAAGATACGGGTTATCTCAGTTGTACATACACTTGGATTCGCAGAACATGACTGTATATTTGTATGTGAAGTGCTTCGCCGAAATAACTGACCGGAAGGTAGATGCATACGATCTCCCACCCCTTCTCCACGCCTGGCTATTCCCACCTGACGGGACGACGAGAGATTTTGCCACACTGCAAGTGGTGTTTGGCCGGCGCGAGGAGTACTTCGCCTCGGACAAAGATGGGAAGGTAGAGTATAAGGAGCCGGACATGTCCAAGAACCAGGATCCTGTGAGGAGAGAAGAGACGCAGGTCGAGACGGAAACCCCGAGTCTACGAAGAGCCAGGACGGTCTCGTTCCGAAGGCCAGTGTCGGATCAGGATGCAAAGGCGCTTGAGAAGAGGATAACCAAGGACGCTGCTTTAGCAAGGCGCCCTCAGTCGGTTGCGGAGGCATGTTGGAGCCCGACAGGCCCACCAATCCAACAAACAACACCCGATCCCAAGTCCTCCACTCCAATATCGTTATCACCAAAGCTCCCCCTCCAAACCCGACCCAAAAGCATGTCATTCTCCAAACTGACCGTCATCTCCAACAACTCCAGTCCTTCTTTCGCACCAACGACTCCAAAACGCCTTATCCGCAGACCAACACGACCCCTGAGCGTATCCGTCACTCCATGCTCTCTTCCTCCAGCCCTCTACCAATACACCACTGCCCCTGCTGCCGACACAAAACCGCCCTATCCCCCTCCCCACCACACACCTACATCTCCACCAGCACCCAGACATCTCCCATACCGTCCCCACTGCGCCTCAACACAGCCACGTCCACTGCATTCACAGACCCCAACATCGCCAGCGCAACCACGACGCGAGTCGTCACCCCACTTTACGACGACGCAGACTCAACTTTTCCCTATACTTCCGTGCCTCGTCCTCCACCGCCGCTGAATCCAATTCCATACATGGGGCGTATGCTGGACTACTTTGCCGACCCAGGATATCGGTTGGGAGACACTCTGATATGCTCGTATCCCTCGTACTACAATCACGGGGATGCGGAATCAGAGCAGGTGGGATATGTGGGTGAGCAGGCGCGTGAGAAAGAAGGGGGAGAAATATATCCTTGTTTATGATGATGATGCTTTAAACTGATTCATAATAACCCGTCCAGAGGCTTGACTGGACTAGTGATGGGAAAATGTGCATGAGATGTATCATTTCGTGTTGTTCATGAGCTACGTATGTTGCAAATCCTAGTTTGGAACTGCCAAATCTCACCATCTACGCCCGTCTCCATAGAATCCGTGAGATCAAAATCGTAGCGTCCCAGTTGAAAGCCGACTCCCTGCGGAGGGTAAATGTCCTATTACCCCAAGACGCCGCGAACGCCATAGCCGGCGAAAAGAAACATAAAGTACCGTATCCGCCATAGGAACCAAAAATAGAGAAGAAGAAGACGAAGAAGCCGAAGAAGAAAAAGAAAAAGCATAAAAAAGAGCAAAAGAACCACCACCCCAAGACCCTCGTCCAATTCGGAAAATGAAACCCAAAGAAGGGACCAGCAAAACCCGTGGTTCCCCCCAGCGCATCCGTCCTCTCATCGTACACGACCATCAACGCACACCTCCCCTTCCACCATACCCCCTCGCCTTCTCCAGAAACTCCTCTTCGTCCTCCGCAGGGTTGAACAGGAAATTCGTCTCCTCGACGTGCCTCCCTTGGTCCGGACTCGCGCCGACATGCAAACTGCGCAGTCGCTGCGTCTGCATCTGAGCGGGCGTAGGGCTATTGCGCCTGGTCCCAGTCCCAGACCCAGTTTGCGGTGCAATGGTTCGCACGCCGCGCACGTCGCGCCACCATTTCTCCTTGTCGGGGACGGGGAGGGTATCTTCTGAGAGGATGGACGGGGGAGGTGGGATAGAGAGTGCTGAAGACGTGGCAATGGAGGCGGTTTCGGAGAGAATGGATGGGGATGGGGATTTTGATGAGGGGTGGGCATGGCGAGACGGTGTCGAGCTGTTCGAGCTCGACGATCGCCTCAGGCCGGAAGACGCATGCTGCTGTGCCTTCGTCGCGCGGTGTTCGCGGTAGATACCTCTCAGTCCGTCGGGTGCGGCTGTCGTACCTACGGAAGGCGTGCGTGGCGAGGACGTCGAGCGTATACTTGAGGCCGTGCTTGCATTCCGCGGGCGCTGCTGCTGTTCAGGCACCCTCTGCCGACGATTCGGCACAGGCGTTGCAGGTCGAGCGGTAGAAATAGGTGACTCGGGGATATCCGCCTCCGTTGGGATGACCAAACTCAACCTCGTGTTCTTCAAGGACGCATCCGAGAGCCGCTTCTTCATGCTCTGCATCGACTGCTTGCTCCTCACGTTGACGTCCAAGAGTTTCGCGGCGCTAAGTCTAGCTGCGCGATCCGCGAACGAGAGGCCCTCCTTGCTGTTCTTGCCCTTCACCTGCGGAGATTCCGGTTGGCTGTAGTAATCCGAGTCGAAATGCGCAGTCGAAGGGCTACTAGACTCGTCGATGCTATAAATCCGCGCTGGCACAGCTCCACGGTCACCGCCGTCCTTCCTCGCATGTTCAAGCTGCTGCTTCAGGGCAGCAATCTCCCTTTGAAACGCATCCTTCTCCTCCTCCAACCGGATGATGGTGTCGGCAGCTTCCTCAATGCCCGCCTGCAACCCCTCCATATTACCCACGGCCTCTGTCTGGATCTCCAAAATCTCCTCATTGCTCGCTTCCAACTCGTGCATCCTGTCCTGCATATCCCGCACCCTCTTCTTCAGCTTCTCATTCACCCGGCGCAAGTCTGCGTTCTCCCCTTCCAAAGGCTCCAGTTCCTCGATACGCTGGTTAGCCATGTCGAGTTTATCCTTGAGCTCCCCGTTTTGCTTCTTCAGGAGCTCGCTCTGCAGATTCAGGTTGAAGAGTTTCGTCTTCAGGGTTTCCAGCTCCGCCTGCTGCTCGCGCTGGGTCGGGAGACGATGTTGTCCCAGGCCACCACCTTCGCTGGGACGGCGCCTGTGCCGTCGTGGTGGTAGTGGCACGTCATCGTCCGAGAGTGCGGCGGCATCAAGCCATGGATCGCTGGGTGGTCTAGCTGCAGGCGTCGGAGTGGCATTCGAAGAAGTTGCTGGACGGCGCAGTGGCATGGGGTCCGTCCCAGGGGTAAGAGGGGCATCTTTGGCCCTCCGGGCTTCCAGGACGCTGCGCAGCAGGTCTGACTTCGGTTCCGCGGGGGAAAAGTTGCGTTCACTGCTGGGCGTGTGAGGTGATTGTGAATTGAGTCTCGGTGGGTCGATAGGTGAGTGTGTGACGCTGTGTGCGGACCGGCGCGAAGAAGGTGTAGACATTGTTGCTGGTGTCTCGTTTGTTTGAAGAAAGGAGTCTAAGTAGTGAGAAGTGTCCGAGAGAGTGATGTGCTTTTATGACGAGAGGTTTGTTGTGTACAATGTCTTTGTTCAAGTGGTGAAAGGAGCCAGTCCTGTGGTGATGGTGAGCTTTGACCTAGCTCTTGCAAGCTTTCCAAGCTGTGGCCTTGGTAACGTTTGCGATGGCTGTTCAGAAACCATGTGCAGATACAGTCGTATATTCCTCCTCCTTCAATAGGCGCCAGCGTCCGCAAAGAGTGACATGAAAACCCAAACCGTTCAACGTGTAGACAATCACATTGTCTCCCTTCCAAAGTCCAGATCGAAGAAAAGTCGTAGTGTATTCACTCCAGCATCAATCCCACATCTTACGAGCCGTCAACAAGTCTTCGTCGAAGATCGCGCGAATCCGAACTGGAGTTCAGAGACAAAACGATCGGAAGCCCGCATTCCACGTCATCTCAGCAGTACGCATGCATCTGCGTTAACGTTGTCTGAGTTGCCGCACTTCTCTCCAATATATTCTTCAACCAAATCTATCTCTTCAAGCAGCGAGCACAGAAAGAAAATTCGACGACGAAGCGGCGCAGCAACAAGCCAAAATGTAGGAGAAAAAAGAAAGGTTGTCCGACTCCCCTTTGACGGTGCGATGTGTCTGAGGAACAGCCCCAAAGGAAACTAGCGTTATGCGGCACGCTAACAGGGGAGCGTACCGGGGGAACGGGTAGCCAGGTCCATGCGCGACCCTATTGGTTGGTAGCGTGGCTTGGCGTGTGAAAGTCGGGATGGAGTGCGTCAGGAACGTGAAGAATGCAGAACGGGCATATACGAGGGGGGAGAAGATTGTCCCTGTGAATAGAAGCGTTTCCATGATGAGAGGAACTCCTAGAGGTGCTGCTTTCGAACAGTAAGAGGGTATCTGTAGGCAAGGAATACAGCGGAGAAAACTCGGTCAAACGAGGGACTTCGTGAGCAAGGCCTAATTCACTGCCCATGGGGAGAGCTTTATAGTGTTGAAGGAAGAATCGCCATCATCTCCAAACTATAGGGGATACGCAGTACACAATCCCACGTCAAACAAAGCGTGTTATCAGCTCCCTAAGATTCCGCCTACGGGAGAGAGGCTTCAAAAACACCAGGATGAATCAACCTCTTTCTCCGTCACATAGGCGGTGACTGTCGTAGGGCAGACAGGCGCCAGGAGGCCTGCCTGGTTGCGGCATCGGAGCATTATTCGAGAGGACCATGCGGCGCAACGTTTCGCCCTGTAGATTGCCGAAGACGTAAAAGGAGATAGGGCAATTACCTGCTGTACCACGGCTCACGGATGAGTCTCAATGACGACAGCAGAGCTCCGGAGAGGCGGTATGCGGAGAGCCGCAAGTGCAACCACCATCCCCATGAAACCATACAACTGTGATACCTGTACGTGATACAAGTACCATTGCACAGAGGTTGATCCGTACATGACCCTCCTATTACGTAGATCCGTTTGTCGATTCTCGCATCTCTCCTGTACGACCACTCCAAGCAAGCAAAATGCAGGACCTCACTCACTCCATTCTGACCCCCACACCGGCCTGTTCAAGCTTACCCTCCCACTCCACCCTCAACCTCTCCATCTCCTCCCAGCACTTCCTCCCCGTCTCCACAAACTCGCGCCTACTCTCCTCCGTCAACGCCTTCGCGTACGGACTCCTTCCCTTCCTCCTCGTCGATTCCCCCAGCTTCCCTCCCCACCCCCACCCTTCTACCTCCGTGCGCTCCACCCGCTCGCGCCCCCACCAATCCGTCGCACTGCCCCACTTTCCCACGCCCTCTTGCGCCTCCATGGTGTCCAGGAGGCTCTGCTTCGCGAGCGCGAGCCAGACCATGGCGACTGCGCCTTTGTACGCCGTGACGGGGTGCCATGGACTGCCCATCCAGCGCGCCATGTAGAAGGCGAAGAGCATGAGGAAGTCGAAGACGAAGTTCATGGGGAAAATGCCGGTGCCGCAGATACCCGGGTGGGCTACATAGATGCGTGGTTTCGTGAAATCATCTGCATCTTTGGGGCGGTCGAGGTATTGGTTGACGAGGGGGGCGGTGCTAGGCAGCACAGACGTGATGCCCATGAGATCGGTTTGGCGTTTGGTAGATTCGTACGGCGCGGTGGACGCTAGTCCTTGCATATCGTTGATGTCGAAGGTATGGGCGTAGGCCTCCACACTGCTGACCCAGATGAGCCTGCCTCTTGTTGAACTGCTGGCGTTGCGCCGCTCTAGGAGGGGACCAAGGTAATGACCGAGAAGATAGTGACCGAAGAGATTGGCGCAGAAGACCCGTCCCAAAGCTGGCTCTTCTACCTTCTTTCCTTGCTCAGAATTCGGGATTTGTGGCTTCGTGAGCCATCCAACGCGTGATTTCTTGAATGTGGGCCAAGTGACAGCGTTCCTCCAGTCCGTCAGGATCGACCACACTGCCCTGCCCCAGTACATATCCTCCCAGCCCCCAATGCCCGCATTACATATCACCACGTCGAGTTTTGGCGTAGTGTCACGTAGCCGCTTGGAGAGCTCTTGTACTGATATCAGGCTTGTCAGATCCAATATTTCGTTTCTGAACTGGACGCGTCGCTCATTCAGGGGTGAGCTGCGCGGTAACGTCTTCTCAGACCTCCGACATGCTTCCGCAAGATGTTTCTTCAACTGTACAATGGTCGCATCCCCCTTCCGTCTATCGCGGGTGGTAATGATGAGGACGAGAGATTCGGAAAGTGGGCGGGTTTGAAGAAATTCGTCGATGAGGCGGCAGCCGATTCCAAGGCCTAAGCCACTGCGGCCCCGTTAGACAGAGCCATGCTGGGGGATGGGAGGGGGATTGTACCTGTTAGCACCTGTGATCACGACATAGAAGCCATCCCCAGGATGATGCATTGTTTTCGAGATGCCGTTCACCATACGCGATGTTTACTGCGGCGAGGTTCCAAGTCGGAACGACTTGCGGTTAGTCTCGCTTGGTATCATCACGTGCCCTCGGCTTCACTTGCCCGGTTGCCAGGCACAGGTTTTAGAATTTGCATCCTCGCCGAGGCACGTCCACTCTCATCCAATCGCCGTACCTTTACGTCGAAGAGTAAAATATTAGTAGTCCGTATACATCAGTCAATCATAACATAACGCCCGTATGTTGAGCAACGTGTCGCTTCTTGAAGCCCTCGGAATCATAAAGAAATTGGACTGATGGCGCAAGCTCGGGCCGGCCCGCACAAGCCAGTCTATTCGCACCACGACTCGCAGAGATGGGACGGTAACTTTCTCGAACCGCGAGTGTCTTGTCGCTGCTTATGATGATGTGGTCGAAATGTTGTCGGAGCAGGGGATCGGAAGGGAGTCGTGGTCCGCCTTCACCCTGTTTCCCATTTCGACTCCTGGAACCGAGTGCCGCGTGGCACAGCGCCCTCGGAACTCCGTACGACTGCCGACATATTTTGTCTACGCGCGACAATACAGTAATCATTGGGCGGGTACTTCTTTCCAACTGGCTCCAAACACTTGCGTTTCACGCAGCGCTGACCGACGCGGGGACTTCGCGGGAGTAGACTTCCTCCGGCTTCTCAGGAACCTTGTCCCAATCGAACAAGGAGTACACGGACTTGGCCGATGCCCAATACCGGGTGGACTTGCAGCAGTGAAGACACACCATTCTTATTATGTAGGTCCAGACATTGCGCTTGGAAACTGGTCGCGAACATTTCGAAACCCAACAACCTTAACTCTAGTCAGTTGAACTTGCTCATGGAATCATTCCTTGCGTGGAGGTGTGACCTACTTCCCACGCGCGTACTTTAAATTGCAACAATAGCTGGGGTTTTCCTTGAAAATTGCTTTGATCCTTGTCCTGTTCGACAAGCCGGTTTGCATCTTGCAGGCAAGGCGTACATGTTGAACACAGTAGGCACTCCGATGTCGACGAGATATGCCAGTAACCTGACTAGCGTAGTTCAAGATCTTCGTTCGCAAGTCTGGTCGCCTAGAAGAACGAACAGCTTGGCTCAAACCTGAGGCGAAAATATGTAGACACTTGGTGCGACTCGCACTATGTATCTCGTCGGCCGGATTGCACCCCCCGTGTGAGCAACCCGCAGCAACCCTTGCTGATGTATAAAACGTCGAGGACTGACGCACATCAGACTAACGCTCGTGTGGGATAATAAACTTTAGAACCTGTCGCCACAATATTGCGAGTGTTCCTACCCTTGGCGTGCTTCTGCGGATGCATTGGTTCACACGACCGGGAGCTTTCATCCACGAGTGATCACACCAGGCTCCACACGAGGGTTTGGATCATTATCCATGCACTTGGGAGAGGGAATCCCAGCTCTGGTGCCGCAGATTGAGACCAGATATTTTGGTTTGCGCGGCCGGACAAACAATGGGTGGGATTTCTGCCAGAAACCTGGAAACCTGGGACAGGAACCGTCGTGCGTACATTTTAAAGACGCATGCGTTGGTTACGGAATGCGCTTGAGAGTACACTGGAGATGCACCATGAACAGAAACCTTGAACCTGCAAACAAAGTTAGCGTAGTCCATGCTCTCGTTAGCTGCTTCGTCATTTTAAGTCCCCACCAGGTCCTGACTCTTACGCTTCCAGAAGGCTTCTGGCGAGGTCGTCAAGTCCACGACTCGCAAACCGTAACGGCCCTAGGATCCACCCCGATAGCCGAAGCCACTCGCGCTGAACGGTGAAGCGGGACGGGTCCAAAACGGTATCTGGGCGAGTAACTTCTCACACCACGTGGTTACGCTCCACTCCAGGGCTTGTGCATCAGCAACATGGCAAAGCTCACGAGTCGCTGCAGACGTGCCCGTAGTCGACCAGTCGGGGCGAAAGGCATATATGACATGGTCCTCATCTCGCGTAGGAGTTGAAATGACACTAGAAGAGTCGAAGGAGGTCACGCTTAGCAATCCTGGGCTAAGGAAGTACTCCACCAAGGGGCACAATGGAATTTCTCATAGACGGCTCGCTCAAAGTGGTTGGTGTCCGTCTGTCGTAATGCGCTATTCGCGGTAGCCGGTGATACCTGCGCGACTTTGCGCATGGCAACATGATGGCGACATGGTCCGACGAGAGCTAGTGACGATGCATGGAGACAAGGACGAGACATGTCCTGAGTTTCGTGTAGGAAGATAGTCCAGTCAAGCTTCAAAATTCGGTCCAATCAGCGAGGTTCTCGAGTCAAAAAAACCAAGCGAAGCAGCCAATGACATGCAACCGAATTGGGTACAATTGGCTTGATTGGCCACTCTTGTACTTGTAGACAATGAAGGAACGTACCATGCCCACCATTGTCCTCTGGTCGTACAACGGGTGATGTCGTACATGCAGAATTCCAAATCCCAAGCCGCCTTGGACTTCTGTTGTTATTCTTTTGGCGGTGCTGCATTTTCTTTACTGGTATGCGGTTCTTGGAGGGGTGGAGGGGTGGAGGGGTAATCTTCTTCAGCCCATGGATCCGCGTAACGCCCAGCACATGATTGCCCTGCAATGCATAACAGGACCAGGTTGCCAATTAACTTAACACCGGCTGCTATGCAAGGAACCAGCAGAGTCGGAGGGCGGCATGCTTTATGCCATGAATGACGGACGATGTTACGAGGCCGATTCCAGAGACCTCTGACCCGAGGCTCCAGCGAGCTTTGAGTCCAGTTGAGTCGTGTGTCCAGCAACGGACGTTGTCGATTCCGTGGGAGAAAGCATTGCGACTGAGGCCGACGAGGAGGGTGTACTGTAGCAGTGATGCGTCTTCGCAACCACCAGCGTGGTGTCGGATGTGACTCGGTTATACCGAGCACCACATGTCATATCGGAAGGGAAGCCGGTAGCCGCGGGTATGCAAGAAGTTCGATGCCATCCATCATCCATCGTCCATCCTGCGGATTCCGATCGGTGACGTATGATTCTCGCGGTGCAGCCGCAGCGCCCTCTGACATGTGTAACTGCGGCTCGGAGATTTCCAAGGGGTACAGAATGCAGCATGGCTCCATCGTGGCTTGCCGTTTGTGGTTCGAGAGGTGGTGATGGTGGTGATGATGGAGATGGTCATGTTAGGAGTTGGCTGTCGTAGCGGTAGACGTTGTTCGAGAAAAGAGAGAGCGAGAAAGAAGGGCGTTGGCGGCGCCGAGGAAATATTAGTGGCTGCAGCTTCCACCAGCGGTAACTCTGGCAAAAGAAAGAAGGCACGCGCCTTAGCCATGGATACACATTGCGTCGGATAAGGCAGGGACGACGAAAGACAGCACGACATTGGAAAGAGATGTCGCTAGCGAACAGAATTGTGTGATACTGTGTACACTTGTCTACAGGTAGATGTACAGGACCGTTCCCATGGGTATTTTGTTCCTTGCACCGTGTCCAAGTGCGCCGTACTCCGAAATCCATTTTACAAACGACAAGCCGACAGACAGCAATGAAGCTCTCACGGAATCGTCCTCATCTTACATACATTCTGCCAGCAGAATGATGTTTGCAGTCGCCTTGGTATGTCAGTAACAAAGTCATGATAGCCGAGAATTTGACGTCTGCCAGACATACCGCAGTCTTCTTGTCTGTATTCTCTGTGCGGCCGTCAGTGGGTTATCTTTCATTTTCCGAGAGCACGATCATCCTCACATGGCAATGACATTGACTGGGCAGCGTTTGTGGGTTTCTTGGTACTTTGTACACCATGCTCGGACAATGTAGCGGAGGTGGGAGCACTTGTACTGCACTTGAGTATAGTCGCACATGCCGAGGAATAACGATTGAAAGGCAGTGATGGACGGTAGGTAACGAGGGTAGATTGAGAAGGATTGAGCACGTTCGGTCAGGCGACGGGTGTCAATTGTGCAAAGATTTTTTCTGAACTGGATCGGACAATGACGAGAGACACGCCTCGGGCCGTCCCATATATACTATGGTACATACAGCGTTACTGTGGAGGCCGCATGGGTGACGGAGGGTCTAAGCATTAGTGTGACCTACACCGTGGCCAGCGCCGAGGACATGGGACGGTGTGTAAGGGCTTGGGTGGTAGCGAGACAGCAGGGCAGCTACTGTCACGGCATGTTCAGCACGGTTAATGGGACCCAGACGCCCGTGTGTACGTGGGCGAGTGGTTGCGACTTTGTAGGGGAAAAGTGGGCGGCTGTCGTTTGAAGTGGTTCCTAATTTGGTGTAGGTGCAGGACCACCTGGCCTGGCCGGACAGGTACGGGCAGCACAGCGAGGATACTCACAGCAGGACTGGCATCAAGGCCAAGGGGAAGCCGACGACCGAAGTACGACAGGGTTGCGGCAGACGGGGAGGATGCCGAAAGGTGGGCGCAGTGTGGGTGCTCAGTGCTGAAAGGCTGTTAAGGATGCTGGCGCCACCAGAGAGGGTGCAAAAGCAGAGGCCGCCCTTGTCCCTTCACCACAGACACAGTAATGTTCTGGGGGACCCAAGGAAGGGATGGAGGCATGATGCCAGTCTAGGCGGATCTGCAGCAGCGGGTCCACGTTGAGAGCACACGGGTCTCCGCGCGTGGGATGTCGAAGTCGAAGTCGGACTTGGTATTTTACACAAGTACTGTGGATGGATCGTGCGGTGCGCCGTTGAACGTTGCGCAGACCCAGGATTAGGACCTGCACCCACGCACGCACCTGGGCACACCCACAGACACAGGCCGCGCTAAAAGCCGCTGCTGGGGTGAGGCTCCCGGCACCTGGGATCCTCTTCCCCTTCTCATCATGGCCTGCAGGCCAACTAAACGGCCATGCATCTTAAAACACCACCAGAACATGGGGCCCCGCCACCATGCTTGCTTCACACTCCCTGATAGCCTGGGGAGGTACTGTAGCTTGTTGGTCGCTCCAGCGCCCGCCGTCGCCGTCCTCGACCCTCCGCTCCTTTGTTGAAACGCAACTGGCGACGCCCTTCATTTCATCGAGTACCACACCACACCATGGCCACACCACTGCCCAGAGACCGCGTGTACCCGCCCTACCACCACATGGAAGCACCGCATATCCTGCGTTGTCATCCGCTGGCCGCCGTCTGCCCGCCCGTCGGAATGCCATTGCCATCACCCCTCTCCGGAGGAAGCCCAGACATCCGCGCACCCGAGCCCGCCGTTCGCAGTGCTTCTAAGGTTTGGGGTGTATATAAATGTCATCGGCTGGCCCTCGACCAAGTGAACCGCGTAGGAACCGAGTCTCGCGGAACGCTTTAGTTATTGTGTCCCCTCCGCTCATGCATGCTGCTCTCGCCCGAATGTGGCCTTCGATGTATGCTCAAGCGTGGCGTGAACTCGACGTCGTCGAACAGTCGCTACATTGTCCAATTCGTTGCTTGAACCCCTCAGATGTGATGGTGGTCTTCATCTCGGGGTACGGTACTTTTTCGACACGGGGAGACAAGGCATCGAAGTTACCGCATGATGGGATTGTGGGGAGCAGTCATCGTTGGACCCAACCGGGAAGAAGACCTTGGAGCGCATTCCCTACACCGCCCCATGAGGAGTCAGGACTATGACCTTGGGAATAATAATAATGAGCAGCGCTCATTACAGGCCTCTCTTCGACCCATCAAGTCGAGGACGGCTGAGCTATTATTCGGCACAGGGGGCTGTCTCTGAGAAGGTGTGGGCACTACGTATATCAGCCAGCCAATAATAGAGCAAATATAGGTTACCCTCTCTCCCCCCATCGCCAGACGGAACCTGGTCAGCTGAGACGGTCCGCTGCTACTCACCAACTCTCTGTCAGACACGGGCCGAAGCTGTAAGCAGAATTGTGACACCGCAAGGTTCCTCGCAAATCATGTCGAAATCAGTACTCACCAGACAGCCGATGGGTACGGAGATAATGCCTGCGAACAGTCGACGAAGAAGCAGAAAGCGACCCATGAGAGCCTATTTTGGAACCTTGGATAAACCGTGCGTCCCTCGCACCATGCTCGGTAGTTGAGATACCGAGACACGGGACAGGGACTTGGGAAGAGTGGGTTCTGTCGTGCTCCAGACAATCCAGATCAGGGAAGCCGGCACTCGTCACTGACCCTTCGCCACGCTTCCTCGCCTCAACGACGGGTGCCTCCCTCGACCAGGCAAAAACGTGCCGCTCTCGTGCATGCGCAACCGTCGGACAACGGGGAACTGGCGTATGTGCAAAATCCAGGAAGACGCAGGCGACCGTTTACGGATGTATAACAGACTCAATTATTATATCAGAAATCCCCATTCGCTTCGTCAGTGTCGACCCACCCCCGGCACATCTCCACGGCCCGGGTCCATCTCTTGAACATCTTAGCGCTCTGCTCTGGGGTGATGTTCGGTTCGAAGATGACGCGGTCCTTTTGGTTGATCTCCTTTAATTCGTCAAACTCTTTCCAGACGTCCACGGCAAACCCAGCTGCTATAGCTGCCCCCAGTGCCGTCGTCTCACGCATAGCAGGCCGATTCACGGGAATGCCGATGATGTTTGCTTGTGTCTACGATATGGTTGGTGGTAGAGCTCAGGGTAAGGGCTCAAAAACAGGTTATAGGAGGACTCACCTGCATGCAGAGGTCTGAACTGCTCATACCCCCGTCGACCGCAAGTTCCGTTAGTTTATGGCCACTGTCCTTCTCCATGGCGTCAAGGATCGCTTTTGTCTGGAAGCAGGTAGCTTCTAATGTCGCCCTGGCGATATGTCCTTGCTCGGTATACTGGGTGATGCCGAATATGGTTCCCCGAGCATCGTCGATCCAATACGGGGCAAACAAACCGCTGAAAGCCGTGACGAAAACGCAGCCACCGCTGTCCTCTACAGTGGCAGCGAGGTCACTGATCTTGTTGGAATGCGAGATGAAACCAAGATTGTCCATCAGGAACTTCACGCCACTGCCTGCGACAGCGATGCTGCCTTCAAGCGCATAGACAGGCTCACGCTTCCCACCAAAGTGGTAACCAACAGTGGCAAGGAGTCCATGCTTGGAAATGACGGGTTTCTCGCCGACGTTGTACAGCAGGAAGCATCCGGTGCCGTACGTATTCTTTGCAGAACCCGGCGTGAATGCTTGCTGTCCAACTAGCGCTGCGGACTGGTCGCCCAGGCACCCTGCAATCCGTGTCCCTTCCAGAGGGCCATAGGCGAAATGTCCGAACTCATGAGCCGAGGATGATGGCACGATCTTGGGCAGCCTCAGCTTCTTGCCGTCCAGTCCGAAAAAGTCGAGCAGTTTGGCGTCGTATTCCACCGTGTGCAGATTCATCAGCATGGTCCTGGATGCATTCGTGGCATCTGTAACCACTAGATCCTTCTCCTTTCCTCCATTGAGGTTGTATAATATCCATGCGTCTATGGTCCCAAAAGTTAGGCGGCCCTCCTCATAAGCTTTCTTGACGGGATCAACATGTTCAAGAAGCCAGAGGAGTTTCACAGAGGACGGATATGTGGAGAGCGGGAGGCCAGTAATGTTCAGCAGCTCGTCGGCACCTTCTTTCGACTTCAGTGTCCGGACCAAGGCACTGGTCCGGGTGTCAGACCATACAATGGCATTATATAACGGTTCACCCGTGTTGCTGTCCCACACAACAGTTGTCTCACGCTGGTTGGTGATACCCACTGCTCTGATGTCGGAGATTTCATGACCCAGCTCCACAAAGTCTTCCACCGCAACTTCTATGCATTCTTCGATGGATTTGATGATCTCCCTGGGATCATGCTCATGCCATCTTTTCACTGTCAAACGAATACATGCGGAAAAGGGGGGCCAACTCACCCTGGCTGCGGGTATTTCTGTGAGAACTCGATCTGGTGTTGGGCGACAGGCTGGCCAATGCCGTCGAAGATAATAAAGCGAGTACTTGTGGTTCCTTGGTCAATAGAGCCGATATAGTATTTCTTTAGCTTCTGTTCGTCTAGGTGTGATCCTGGGGAAGGGTCCGTCACTTTCTCCCTCGGAGTGGGCTCGAGCCCGGTTCGTGCGGATGTTTCCTCAATTGCCATACTCCGAGAATATCGACCTGGTGATGCGAGGCCTGTGTGGAATAGTTCGCTTGCAAGCTCAAGGAATTTTTCCGGGAGAAGTTGGGTGTCGTGCAGTTTCCGTCGAAATGGGGAATGTTGTTTTGATTCGTGATGACGTCGATTTGGAGACCACCAGTCCCTCGCCGTCGCGGTCCTTCTTCTTAGGGAGTCGCACCTGGGTTGAACGACTTTAAGCTGTAAAACCCAGATACCATCTTTCGAAGAGAACCTGGGGCTCGGCGGAGATCGGCGGTATAACGCTAGGAAAAATGATAGCGTTAGGTAGAAGTTCGTTCTGAGGCTGGGCAGTGATGTGTGGTGTCCGGGGAAAGGCGGGGGCGCCCCGCTAAAAGTCACTGGCCTGGGACGTTCCAAAACTCCGACTGAACACACCCCTGCGCTTCCTCTTGTCGGATGGAACAGCCATCTAAGGGACGAGTATATTAACTATCACCTTCTATTAACTAAGGATAAGCGACTATTAATTAACTACTATTAACAACAGAGCAGGATTAAGGGAATAGCTATTATTAATAATTGTAGTTAACTATCTACTAACTATTATAAGAGGATGAAGTAGTGTAGAATTTAGTCTAGCATATATATAGTACTAACTATTATGTAACTACACATAGAGGACAAAACTAGCCTCTTAAGCAGTTTGTTCTTAACTATTGATTAATTACTTCTCTCTAAAATAAACAATTATTTTTATCTAAACTTTATAACATCTTATCTTTATAATTCTATTATCCTCTGTTAACTATAATTAAACAGTTAGAATCTAATAATCAAGAGTCTTACTACTTTAACTGATTATTATAATAGCATTATTATAATTACACCTTGTTATCTTTATAGACTATACAATATAGATACTATAGCTACTCTAGCTAAAGATTAAATGCAACTTGCTAAGACTCTAGGATATTGTTAACCTTAATAAAACAGGAAGCTTTAAGCTAAAGCCTATCCTACTAGTTAAACTATCTATAATAAGCTATAAACCTAAGCTACCTATAATAAATACTAAAACATTAAGTATAATTAGTGCACATATGCGCTGCAGATAGTCTATGTAAAGTATAATTATACCTAACAATCTTAACAAGTTAACACTACAAGCAATAATATCTACTCTACTTTCCTACTTATTAGCTAAAGGCCTTAAAGTATATAAGGATAATATAGAAGAATATAAATAGGAACTTAAAGTATACAAGATAGAATAATAAGAATAGGAATAAGAGGAAGCTAATAATAGAACCTTTATTACCTTTATTTAATAAACTATCATACTGCATCTATAATAGACCTGCTGCTAACTAGACAAGATAGTTAAACAATAGCTGTAGACACTTAAGATTACTATTAGAATTAATAACATTAATAAGATAAAAAGAGCAAGAGCTTAATACCTAAATGCTCTTTTTTTTTTTTTTTTTTTGGTCAAAATATATGTATTGAGTCTAAGACTATGACACAGCTATACTAACTAACATACATCCTCTCTCGAGGCTCTCATATATGTTAGGCTTAAGCAAGAGCAGTGAAACTGCTTATTAAGGCAGAAAAAAGGAAGGAAAAGAGATAGTTAAAGGAGTATAGGGGAGAAGAAGGTGATGAAAGGAAGTGAGTGTGATAGAATAAACAAAGGAAAACCTAAACATTTTCCTCCTAAGATCTTACCCTATTATACATGTTGTCTTTTTATAGTTTTGTCTGTTTTCTGTGTATTTTTCTGTTGTCCATCTTTTATTCCATGTCCTCTAGAGGCTCCTATTGTAGAAGCCACTTTTGGGTAGCAATTTAGGTCCTTTCAAGGTAGATAAATAAGACTTTCCTACCCTCTGGCATGCAGAAGAGCCTATACAGAGTAAGAGAAGACTTTAGTTCTTCTAAAGCTTCTTTCCTTTCCTGCTTGTAGTTCTTGCAGTATAGAACAAGGTGTTCTG